ACTCTGATTTTAACTTAATGAAAGGCATTGGGTGCACTTCAGTGGCTAAACTGCAGCCTAATGATTTCAAACTTCAAGTGTTCAAAAGAATTATGGACACCTAAAGAACACTGTGCAATCCTACCCTTTTGACAAGCAGAGCACAGAAATCTTAGTTCTGGAAACAAAGAACTACTTTCTCACCGAATATGATTTTCTGTCATCTCCATAGAACCCCTGATATTTGCATGTTTTTTTCTCTCATGTTTCAATGTTTGCCTTAAAAAAAAAAAAAAGAGCAAGGGATGGACTTGAATGGGCACTGAAAGATAAAGTCCATGGTCATGAACAATAAGGCAGATTGTTTGTTCAGGATGGGTTTCATATAGCACCAGTATCATAAGATATTCCCGGGAAAGGAGATCTTTGTCACGGGAGATTTGAGCACCATCACTGGCGAATTGACACGGGTACTCTGACAAGCCAGGTTTGGTCCCCAAAGCTACATGGTAGAAGGAGAAAATTAACTACCTCAAGCTATCTTCAGTTCTCTATGTATGTGCTATGGTATGTGTACACACACACCACACAGAGACTAGCTAAATGTAATTTCAGAATACTTTATAAAGATTTTAATGCCTTTGTAAAGACATCAACTAGTATAGAAATATCTACCCTGTGTTCTTTGTTTTAAATATTCACTAGACTATTTTGAGAATGCCTAGGAACATGGATAACATGAGGGAAGTGGGAGATGTGAATAAAGTTGGCATAGAATTTATTGCTTAGGAATGTATTTGAAAGCTTTGTTTATTGGTCTTTCCTCTTAGCACAAACCATTAATCAAATGATGCTTTCCTAGAAACCAGGGAAAGATTTAACAGAAGATATTAATCTATTTCTGAAGACAAAGGTTACTTTTCTTTCAAGCACTCTGAATACTAATTTAAGCTCAGAATCACTATTCTTTCTTTTAACTGGAATGAGTGAACAAACAGTAAATAAATCATTTATTCAGATGCAAAATATTGAAAAGTATTACTTTAAAAAACACCAGAATAAATTGTCTAAAAGATGTCTTCTGCCTAAAGGCTAGATCTAGCGAGGCCTGCAGTTTAGGTAAAGAGTAAAGTGGTGCTATTGTTTCCAGGGAAAGGACAGGTAAAGTGGCCCGGGATAAATGTAATCTTTGCCCAAGGCTGTAGTATTGGAGTGCAATGTATTTTTCTTTGATTGTGATATAATGCACTCATTCAAACATATAACATACAAATAAGACATAGGTATCAAACATTATATGCCTGAGTATATAATAAGATACCTTGGTAATATCAGGTATTCTGGAAATATACACTACTGTTTGTCTATACACATACTCACTTGCCCAGGTTGTTCCACAGGTTTCTACTGCAAAACAAAGTTGTGTTGACTAGACAATGCAAAGACCAGCTACTTTCCTAATTTTTTCTTAAATATGATGCATAAAGCAATAGCAATGACAGATCTATAATAGATCCATCCCTCAATTCCTTATTTATGTCTATGAGTCTGAAGGTTATGTTTTACAGTGCACATATATACGTGTGTGTGCATGTCAATGCTTTGACCCTAATAGCTAAACTTGTAAACCCATCTTTCCTTTTTAACTCTTAAAAATATATTTGTGGTAATATCTGGTATTATTTCACATTTTTTGGAAAGTAATTTTAACCTGAGGTCTGCTGCTCTCTTATCTGAACAAAATAAAATAGGTTTTCTTAAATAGGAGGTACACAGTATTATGCTTTGTGTGAGCATTCTTGTAACAATGACATATCTTTTATTGAGCTTGTATATACAATAATTAAGAAAGTATGTATAAACTGTTTTGATACTTTTATACATTTTCCTAGTCTTGGTGTTTCCAAAATAAAGATTCAATAAAGTAATGGTGGTTTTCTCATTCTTCTGTCATTTGACACACAGGTAACTGGTAGATTGTTTTTAATTTACATGTTTATATGTTTTCATCATATTGTGCACATTATTTATAATTATTCTAATAGTATGTTATTCCCTCCTCAGTTAGTTAAGATAAATGTAACTGAATTACACGGTCCTTTAAGATACTTTAAAATGAACATTCAGTGTTGCATAGTTTTCCCATTTTTCTCTTTATTTTTATTGTTTCTGTGATTATTAATGAACACAAATGCATCATTTATTTTGGCAAGAATCATGACCTATAATTGCATTTTTAATGAAAAAGATTGGAATATTCATTAAGTACAAGAGAGAATACTTTTCTTTTCTACTCATTCCCTGAATTGATGCATCAGTCTTTATTTCCTAACAGAGATGCATCATTACCTCTCTAAGACAAACAAGCAAAAAGGGACCACTTGCTTCCCGTTGCATTTACTTACCTTTCAAAATATCAGTACAGTAGTTCTGTTGGTCAAATAAGTTTGCTGCTTACCTAAACATCATTATGTATGTGTGTGTGGGGAGGGAGGGATAGATCTGCAAATTAGTGCTGGACAGAGAAGGAGGTATAATTGTAAATACTTGTAGTCTTTATTGGTGTCTTTTAATCATGACTACCTAGTCAACATAATTTCCTACTTAGCACTTCTGATCCATCTCTGAATTATTAAAAGAAATATGAATAGGGCCAAAAATATCCACAGAGCTCCCAAAGTGACACAACGATCTATTTTTGGTTTGTCCACAGACATATTTGTTTTACATAAATGGCTTTTTTTACAAAATTGAAATGTGAATATATTTTTATTTTTCCCAGTGAATACACAATACACAACTTTTTGACAATACTATGAATCAATTTTATGCCCATTTCTTTGCTGATCTAATAACATCCAATGAAACACAACAAGATTTGGGATAGTGTTTCTTGACTCAAATAAACTACATTGAAAAAAATTCATCTATAAAACAAAGTATAAAAAGTCTACCCACGGCCACAAAATCCATTATCTTGTAACACTTTAAAATCACAACGAACACTTTTAAAATTATGAGAGTAAAAAATATCTGTAAATGGCATGTCCTTTAAAAATGTATGTGGTATCATTTGAAGTAAGCATTATGATAAAACAAAGAAAAAATCATTTCACCTCTCAGATAATGTGGAGAGACAGGGTTTTTCCCCACCTGCAATATACAGAAGTAGATGAACAAGCTAACAGTAGTGAATATTATGGTTTTGCATATCTTCAATATCAAAACAAGATCAATTCTCAGGGAAGTGATCTGCAGTTGTGAGCTCACTGATGCAGCAATTGTTTCATCATCAATGATAAAATTGCATAAATTCAATAAGTAGAACTTGGTAGTATTTCATGAAATCACTTATAAACTTGCAACTGAAATCCTACTGAAAATGTATATAAATATGTAGAACATTGTACTATAACATAGAACATACTAGATCTGTTTTTTTAGTCAAAGTAAGTAAATTTGCAAGCTTTTACTTCACTTTGGTGGTATGTTGTCTTACACATTGGTCTTGACTTTCCTATATACTTCTTTGAGCTGCTCCAAATGCTGTGAAGGAGTTCAATGTTTCCATAGTCCCATCCTCACCAAAGTTACTTTTGTAAAATGGCCTGGAAAGGGTAGGCAGACTCCACTGCTTATACTGGCATACCTGAGTTTGGGGGCTGCTTTTCTTGCATTCCCTAAGGAGACTTTGCTTGTTCTGAAAGAAGCTATGCTTGGGTCTGGCATGACTACACAGCAATATTGCCTATGAGCAAAAAATGAGGTTTCATTTCCACCCAGAATTCCTTCTGATGGCTTATGCAGGTTTCTGTTCAGGCTCACAGAAGAGTGAGCTCAGTAGATTTCCTATCACATTCAGTTGACTTCAAAAGGGGAAGACACGGGACTCTCATAAGGTATGTGATCCTCTGTCAACAATATGAATATTAACGATGAATGTATTTGTACAAATACCTAGATGATTAATACCTTTCTGTTTGTGGTAATATGTCTGAATTCAAATGGTCATAGCATGTTTTCTTGTCTTCCCGGCAGATATTGGGTAAAAGATTTTGCAGTAATCACAGTCTGTAATCTGTATGAACACAATCTAACTGTTTATAATTCTATACCACAGACAATGAGGAAGACATGGTGCTATAATCCCAAATAATTCTCTAAGCTATCACGTGATCTGACAATCTCATTTTTTGTGACTTGGTTTAATAATAATCTGTCAATGTCAGTAACCATACTTATACTGTTTTACAGTAAATTATGTTATTCATGAACATAAAGTGAAAATCCAACTAAATATGTTTCTTAAAAGATCCCATGCTTTTAAATAGAAGCCATGGAAAAGGGAACTGTGGAAATGCAAAATTAAAGCCATTGTATCTTGGAATTGACAATAATTACATAATTCTCTTTCTTTTTCACAGAAACTGTTTCAGCTCTTCCCATTTCCTTGTACCAGAGACATCAAATTTCAATAAAATTTAGGCACTGATGGTAAAAAGTTGTTAAAGGGTGTATCAGAATGATTTGTCCCTTCAGTGAAGAAAGTTAACTATATGGCACTAAGAAAATTTTGAGACCCACGAAGAACATCACATTCTATGCTTGTCTGTGTGGTACAGTAGCCTTGAAACCATGAACTTATGTATTTCATATTATAATGTCATATGAATTGGCATCTGAGCCAATAATGCACAGTGTGTATTGTCAATAAAAATGTCTCCTACTTGAAAACTGAATATCTTGACCATCACAATGAATATTTTTTAAGATACCATCTATTGAACATATCATAAAAAAATAATAGAAGACATTGGCAGGACTCAAATTTAAGATTGTGTAGGTAGCACATGGGAAAATGTCATAAGTGGTAATTTGAGGAAGGCTATCATCTACTTGACTTACATACATGTACAGTAGCTAACATACATTTCAAAGTCACATTTATTTTGAGCATATGTAATTGATGTCCAGAAGCTCCTTGTTCTCAAAGCCGTGAAAACAAATGAGGCAGGACACTGTTATTAATGTCCACTTACAAGATTTGGTTTTATTTAAAAAGTGTATAAACATGCATTTTCTCCCGTTTAACTGTTCTTTCCAATTTACTCATTCAAAATGGGTCAAACAGATTTTTGTTGGTAGCCAATTTCTGAGAATGTACCATAAAATATTTAGTCCAATAAATCTACTAATTGTTAACTGAACATACTGCGAGTACTGCTTAAGTTACTTAAGTTGAGCGCTTAACAACTTGCCTATACATTTGGTGGCATCAATTTCACTGCTTAATCAAACTAAAAACAAAATTGTATGTATAATGCATTAGATTTTAAAGTAATGAACTTAAGTGATGTGGTCACATCCTCTAGTATGTACTGTACATGTATTAGAAAGATGAGCAATATCCAAAATTGGCTTGAGTATGCCCTAATAACAAGTTGTTTCTTTAACTAGTGGCTAAAATTTCTAGAGTTGCTTCTTTGTTTCCTTGGGGAACTTCATGTTATACTCTGACTTAATGAATTAGAAAGGTTAATTATGGTCTTTCAAAAATGTTATTTTTTAAAAGCTGTAGTATAAATACAGATCTCTTGAAACACCTTCATTTCATTTTGCTCATTGTAATTTTCAATTGGGTCAATTACAATGACAGTAAAGTTGATTCTAAATAAAACTTTAATTATAATTTTCAAGCAAGTTAGTACATCTTTGCTACCAACATACTTTAACCCATATTCATCTAGACTTAAACTTCTTTCTTTTGACCCGTGCTTTTTTCCAATAGTAAAAGCCATCTTTCTCCTTCTTAAAATTCACTCAATATCTGATGTTTCAAGAAGACTTTGCCAACACTATCATTCCTTTGTATCTTCCTATTTCTACACCCCCAAATGAAAACCATCTCACAGGATTGGTTACACCAGTATTACCCAACCTAACTTACAGTACAGAAAACTCCCTTCACATTCAATCTTTTTCTTCATGTCATGAGAAGTAGAGATTTGTGCTTATCACCAAATAAAATTGCAGTGCAAAATTTAAACATAAAAAGTTACATAATTAAAAGTTAATATATGGCACCACAGCCCGTTAATTCACATATAGTACAACAGACCAATAAGAACAGACAATAATATGAACAGAGTTGAAAAGAGTGAGCTTGCATAGCAATGCAAAAAAGAAATTATATACAGAGGAAATCCTTTTCTTCCTGGAGGGTGAGTTTTGTTTTCTTTCTTTTTCTTATATACTCCTGACAAGAAAGAGTTAAGGTAGGTGGTGTAATCAAGAGGAGAACACAAGAAAAGAACTGTGGGATACGTGTGGCTGTGTGTCTTTACATTGCATTTACAGTTTTTTAATAGTACATAAATAAAGAAATTGTTCATTGCACTGTTAAATGTTATCACTTCCATGAGTTCAGACCTGGTGGTCCTCAGAGCATCTTTGTATGTCCCCTCTCAGTTACTCTGAAAAACAAACAAACAAACAAACAAACAAAAACAATATTCATAAACAAAGCTTTCTCATATGTTATTCTTCTATCCTCGATAGCAATAAAATCAACACAGCCGGACTGTCATCTAAAGATTGTCAGCTAAGTATTGCATTTGTGAGTTTAAGTCGTTCTCTTTCAAGACTGATCAGGGCAGGGAAGTAGTAGGAAGCTTGCAGATCTGTGATGCACATGGCGGCTTTCATGGAGTACTTATCAGGTGACAGATACCGTAAAGTATGGAAAGAAAAAAAAAAACCCACACATGTGTGAATCGTAGCAGAAGTTATACACAAGCCACAACAACAAACTTAGCAGTGGCTGGTGGTAGTAATTCAGATTCGTATAGAACTCCGCAGCTTTGTCAGAAGTCTGCCTTCATCACAGGATGGATTAGTTCCCAACACTGACACAAAACCGCCAGCACATCCACATTTCATGGGAGGAAGTCGATGTGGAAGGGATTTATGTTATCTCTTTTTAATTATGTATTGGTTGATCGAATTGGTTTTTTAAGACAGGATTTTTGCTGTAGCTTTGGTGCCTGTCCTGGAACTAGCTCTTGTAGACCAGGCTGGCCTCAAACTCACAGAGATGAGCCTGCTTCTGCCTCCCAAGGGCTGGGATCAAACACTGCCCGGCCTGTTTATTTTTAAAATGTACGAATAAAGACCAACTCAAGTAGGGGGAAAACTGCTGAAAAGGTTCACAAAAGCTAACAGGAGAGACAAGATCATCTCAGTGCTAAAGAGGAGATACTACATTCAGTCCCCATCACAATGAACAAACAAAGTATCGAGTGGGGAATTTCCATCCTTTTCTTTATTGTACTCAGTAAAAAAAGTGCAAAGAGGCCCCCTACCAAATGAATTCTATTTAACTTTAAATATTAAGTTTAATTTCAGGCACTAAAAGACTGGTATAGAGTTTAAATAAACTTGAAATACCCATGAAATGTTTGCGTCACTGACTGCTATAAACCTTATCCTTTAACTTATGACCAATACTGAACAAAATAATTTGGTTGTTTATTAGCAGAGGAAATTTTCTATCATTCAGAAAAACGCTTAATATAGTGGTTCCATCAGGCCAATATGCTTTCTGAATCACGATGGCCTTTAAAATGACCCGAAAGGCTTACATAATTCACCTGTAAACTGTCCTTGACTATTTGAGCCCCCATATCCAATGTCCAGAAGGTCACTGGCATTCCGCTGGTGGCCGCCCCTCAATACCTCGGCCTTCCGAGGGCCAGTGGACCCTTTTGAGGAGGCTGTTCCCGAAGAGCTGTGCCCACCTGGAGATGGAAAACTGGGCTTGCTGTAGGGTACCAAGGACTCCTCTGGAAAAAAAAAAAAAAAAAAGAAAAGAAACAAATCATAAAAGACTAAACTGAACTGCAAAACAGGGTCCAACCCAAACCCAAACATTATTTTCCATCCTTGAGCAAAATTAAAACCATGAAGTTTAAGCAGTCCCGAACATTAAAGGTATTTCCACATACAGGCAACATTTCCTAACACAGACACTGAGAGGGATGGGATTAAGAGATTGGGATAAGTACAGAATAGTATTTCCAAGGTTTAAATTCATCGAAACAGTGTTGCTTAAAAGAGCCATTATTTTTACTAAATAAAAATAATGTCTGAGAATTATTTCTGGAATTCAGTGAAGCTTAATTTAATTTTTTCATTAAGACTGAGGAAACATGGTTTTTGTTTTAGTTTAAATTATGGCAATATTGTCTCAATCAGTTTAGAACTAGAACTATATATTAGTGAATTAAATATGAATCTTAAATTTCTGTTTATTTCTTGAGCCAGAAATCCATTGTTTGAAAGGTTCTGTGTTTCATTAAAAGAGAACCAAACATTAATTATAATGTATTAATGTTCTTTTTAGATATTGCCTTTCCAGAAATAAATTATGTGTTATAATCAATATGTTAATGCTTAGAGCTCCTCTTCTCTTTATTCCAGTCATTTCTCATCTCCCATCCCTTCCAGCTCCACTATTGTTTCTTCTGATTTTCTGGGTATATGTCATTATTTAGTTAATAAAACATCTGATTGAATTTACCAGTTCATTCCTTAGCTACTTTTTAATGAAAAGGGGCAGGTTGTATTTCTTTTACAGTGGGTAACTTTCCAAAATATTTAATTAAATCTCAATATTGTGATTGCCATTTTCTGGCCCTTTCACAAAAGAATTTTCCAAGACTTGAGCATCACATGGTGAAAAAAAATGTGATTATGGAAAATGCGTGAGGCTAAGACACACTTAGACAAGACCAAGTACAGATTAATAGAGAATAGATAAAGGGATGCTTTATAAAAGTGTGTGTCTGTGTGTTCATTTCTAGTAGGTACTAAACAAAAGTGGAAGTTCCCCCCAAAATATATTTGTGTAATAGATTTACCTCCTCCCCCAAAAAATCCAAGCAGGAATTATGGGGTTTATGTTGTCAGACTTTCAGGAATTTTTTTTTTCTTATAAATAAGAAGTCTTCCAAATGTTAACATTTAACATCATTTAGTCTGCTGGATAGCATATGAACTCAGTTCCACCTTTTCTAACCTTATGATACTGATTGGACATCTATTTGCAGTTTTGTGAGCTGAATTGATTCCCCCTTTTGAAAGTTGTGAGCTTCTTTTCAAATGAGTGGCTACTTCAATCAAGTAGACTAAGTTAACATGAAAGAAGAAATTCAGTATTCTTAAAAACACTCAGTATAGATGTTCAAGGATATCAACATCAAGCTATTTTCTGAGCATTGTTGATGAAACCTGGAGGTTTTTAAGATCAAAGACCTTATACAGGGTTAATTTGTGAACTAGGCCACACTGAATGTTTGCTGTTAAACTCTGCCAAAGAATGCCAGTTCAGACAGATTTAAGACAAATGTGTTCCAGATGCCACTAACAATTGCCATTCCTAAAACACCTGGTAGGAAACAAACACGTGACAGCAATCCCACTTTCCTGGGACTGTGCGGCACACACCTGATCTAACCCCTTGTTTGTGTGGGGCTTTCCGTGTATCTTCTTGGCGGTCAGTAGAGTTTATCCAATCCTGGGTGGGACGCTGCCACTCTAGGGCGGTTTTAGCTGGACAATCCAATGAGCTCTTTGTGTCTTCTAAGTCGGCCGCTTGTTGTCTCTCTAGAGAGCTTCCTTTTCTCTCTGTTGAATTTTCCACGTTACCAGAATGCTGGCTCAGGCCTATCTGCTGTCTTAAACCCTGACTTGGTGGGGGATCTGGTGGTGGGGGAAGATCTAAAAATTTTGAATAATGTTTAGAATGAACTATGATTTAATGAAAAATACAAGTTTAACTTCATGTTGAAAAATTGAAAAAAAAATCAAAAAACGACAACAAAAAGGAAAAACCCCTTGCCCTTTTACAAGCACCACCCATGCAAAAGCAATTTATTGAAAATAAGAATCAATTAATGGCATTCAAAATGCATGCTATTGCTTTGTCTTCTATCTTCTTGCCATAGCATCTTTGAGCTAAAAATCGACTGTTTTCATCCATCTGTTCAACAGGGAATATATTTTCGGCAGCATGCTACAGGCTAACACTCAAGGTAAAGAATGGGTTGTTGTTTAAATTCAATCTCCCTCTCTTCAAGATAGAAATACAACGAGGGAAAAAAATCACAATGGATTCTAGCAGCTGTACTAGTAAAAGTCCCTGAGAACAAAAGCTCTCTAAATAATCTCCACAGGAAAGATCATGCTCCAGACATTAGGGACCAGAGTCCAAAGCATATGCGGGGTAGGACTGTCTTTACGCAAGTGCGTACCACATTGAGCAACAGCCAAAGGGTTAAGCTAACTGTATTAAATTCAATTAACATTTTGCCTGACAACTGATCCTACTTGTTCGTTTCATGAGTTAGCTAATGAGTTACAACTAATATACTATAATCGTCCCTTGTATTAATTTTCATAAGTAATAACCAATGTTCAGAGTACTGATTGAATATGCTAAATGGTAACTAGTGTAGACAATGTATTGTGGGAATTAGAGATAGAGGGGAAGAGATAAGATTTTGAAAGAACGTTTTAGAAGAGTCTGGTTGTTTGAGTGTAGCCTGAAAGAGCTTTAAAATGAAACTTTGGAAACGAAGAAAGCTTAAACGTTGAATGTGAGCTAATTTTTCATTTTCCTTTGAAAGCTCTTTAGATTTTCATCTTCATATTTTGAATGTCTTTGATTATGAAGTTACATTTCCCTTTATATCTTTCTAATATTATTTCCAAAATGGCATGATTAAGGACTTTGAAATCTTCTAAACATTCATTTGTACCAGGATCATTTAAGTTTTCTTTCAAGCTATTGTAAACTTCCTGGCTCACCCTAAGATGAGGCAATTATGTTACTTATGTATAAAACTGATGTATCATGCAATATACATTTATTAAATAAATAATGATGTTCCATTTAATGTGGGAGATTATTTTTCATTCCTTTTTTTTAAATACATTTTTTGTTTCTAATGATACTAGTGAAATCAGAAAGGCGAAGCCAAATTTATACACTAGATGTCAGCTCTCTTAAGAAGAGAGTGTTCACTTTACGGCCTTATTGACTCTGTTCTCTGTTTTATGAACAAAACATTAGTATCATCCATTGGAAAGACACTAATGCTTTGTTGAGCATTTGTGTTCGAGGTTCCAAGTTGAAGTAGCATTCTCAGCTCTCACGAATGTCTTCATGTCAGATTACAACTACTAACCATTGATGAGAAAGGGATGTTGTCTGGCAGGATAGGATTGCATTTGGAGCATTTCTCCCAAAATGAAGAGCTAATGCAATAATGAGTTATCTGTTTGCATGATAATCTAATGAGTTTGGTGTTTCCTTTACATTCAATACTGGCTTCCTTTGCTGTGTGTTATTATGGATGTAAATTAATTATTTCATTTGAGTTATTGGACTTAGTCTGTCGGTGAGGGGAAAGGATTGCATTGGTTTCTAAAATAACATATCTTGTCATTGATTTTTCTTCTCCATCTGAGCTGTTTAATTTCTAAAATGGCCAAAATGGCATTTGCTTATGACAGCTGAAATTCTGATGCCTATTTAATTTGACTTGAAATTATATAGCTTTGTAATTATATAATATCCTTGGAGATTTTATCTTCTAAGGATAAGGGACATTGAATGCACAATGAAATAAACTGGAAAGAGATGGAATTATAGATGATTGTGGAAAATAAAGGTATATAATACAATACATTTACTTAAATTAAATTCATTATTCAATTCTTAGTGGAATTATTTCAAGTAAGTCCATTCACTAGAGTATCTCACTGGCCTACTGTGGGTTAGCTATTGTCCAGCAATGACAGTCCAATGACATAGGTACCTTATTATTCTCATTTATTTTTTAGGTAAATGGATGGGGATGGAACACAAAGAAATCAAGCATCTCCAGCATATGTCTTTCTTTTCATAAGATCCAATTCATGAAATTGTGCTCCCAGGGTCCAGCTCAGCTCAGGAGTTTAGGAAGTACTTCCACATAGCTTTGCATCATCCCATGAAGACATACGTTTTTACGACAGTGTTTCTCCCCTCAGTCTGCTACAGTTCCATTCTTCTCACTCACCAAATTGGAAAGTCTTTGAATCCCTTTCTATTTGAAAGGGTGAGGGCCTATATTACCTTATGTTTACACACTAGTTCCATCTCCAGTATCTTACCTTTCTTATTGCTTTCACTGATCTTATCTTGGAATGAACCACCCTTAGTTATTGCTTCTATGATCTTCAATTATCTATATTTTTTCACTTTTGGGCACTTAATTCTTTGTTACAAAAAAAATCGAGACTATTTTTATATTAAAATATATTGCATGTTTAATATTAAGATATAAGATTATGCCACCATTTTACCTTAAAGATATAAACATGCATTTTTCAGAATACACACACACACACACAGTCTTCTAGGAATTTTCCATTCAAAACACTGTAAAAGTTTATGACAGTTCCTCAGCATACAGATCCTTACGCATCTCTCCTTCCTTGCATGTTTGGCATCATATTCTATATTATTTGCTCTAGTCATATTGCTCACCTTCCTTTTAAAAAAGTATCAAACATGCACCAGGATTTCAATTGCTGTATCAACTTCTAAGATGACCTTTCCTTGGAAATAAGTATTGTTCTTTTCCTCACATTATTTCTGTCTTTTCTCATATGTCAAGCTGTTGTTGAGGCTTCCCCCTGAAAACTCCCTTTATTAAACTACTTCCTCCTAAATACTTTACAATTTCCTGTTGTTTCTTTCTCCATGGCAACAGTCACCATTTGCATAAATTACACATTTATATTGCTGTCAACCTGTTTGTTTTTTACTAGATATCAAGTGCAGGAGATTAAGGAATCATATCTAAAATATATGCTCACACAGTGTTTAACTGGAGGGACAAATGAGCTCATAAAATTGCAGAAAGCTAAATTGTGGCAGATATAGGGAGGAATTTTTTCTATGAATTAAAGACTAGGGGAAAGACAGAACAATTTAAGAGAAAATAATCTCAGAAAAACACATTGATGGGGAACCTGCCATCTACCAGAACTGGTCAGGATATTTTCTTATAGGGACAGAGACTTATATTGAACAAGCTCAGCTCACAAGAGACATTCCACAAGAAAAACCAACATGTCCATAACTGTGTATGAGTTTTTACATAGCCTTTGGGACAGAAACTGACATTTCTTTTTATTCCAAATTCCTCTCACTGGACACAGAGAAAACCACCTCCTTTCCTTATAAGGTGATTTGACACAAGGAGACAACAATCTTGACAATGATATATGAGAAGTGGGGTGTGGTGCTTGCTATAGGACATTCTGCTATCGACAACAATCTGTCATTCTAGCTTTGGAGTCCACAAAGTCCAACTCTAAAATTGTTGTTACTGGTGGCTGGACAGATGGGTGAGTCTTGTTCTGCATGAAGACCTGATTTCAATCCTCCAGAACTCACATAGAAAAAGAAAAGGCGGTGCTACACTGGGTTCCCTGTGCCTCTATGTTCCCAGTGCTGCTGGGCTCCAAGTGCTGATGGGCTCCTAATACTGGGGAGGACCAGGCAAGAGTATCTTTGGAGCTTGCAAGCCAACTTGTATGAACAATGGCTGAGCTCCAGAAACCCTATCTCNTTTGTTTAAGAAAACACCTATCATTAGCTGCTAGTTTAAACATGCATGAGGCAAGCTCACACACAAATACATGTGCACCCCTCAACATATACACGTGAACATAAGTACATACAGACAGTAGACAGACAAGCAGACACACACACACACTCAACATACACAGTGATTACCCCAATATTTCCAAATCCTAATGCCTGTTTAAATAACTGGTTAAAGGAAAGTCATGTGACCTTGTAAGATGATTATGTCAATGAGAATAAGACTGGTATTGTGCTAAGATGCTGAGGTTAAATATTAAAGAAAATAGTCAACAATAATTACCCTAATTAATGTGCTTGTAACGATTATAAAATCTTTAATTCAAAAGTTTCAATGTAAAATGCTTATACAGTAAATGCTGCTAAGCAATGACCTTCTGCAACAGAATGATTTTATCAAGAATACATATTAATTTGGATGTTGGAAATGAGCATATCAGTGAGAGAAGTTCATATATTTAGAGAATGAGATCAACACTACAATTTACTTAAAGTGATCAATTAATCCTCAGAGCATCTGAAGCAGAAAGAGGATCATAAACATTTTCTTTTTGTGTACATTATGGGTTAGCAAATTCCCCACCTTTGAACACACCTGTATCCTTAACTTCCATATTCCATGAAAACACTTCTCAAAGAACAAAGAGGGGCAATAAAACGAAAGTGCTTGGTGTTCTAAGTCTTAGCATGATGAGATTGAAAGAAAGTACAGTGATGGCTGCTGGCTTCTTCCGCCACAAAAAGAAAGACAAAAACCATCATTATTTTTTTCTGGCTAAAGTTTAACTCAACATTTGTAAGTATGAGGCCCACTGACTGGTAGTGGCTTCTCCAAACCAAGATACAAAAATACCAGTAAGTGTGTTCTACCTCAGACAATTACATCAGAGCCAGATGATAATATTTTAGAATTTCTACAAATGGTTCTAGTCTTCAGTTAGCAAGGTGCATCCTTTTCATTCTTAGTAAAATGATCTCATGATAAAATTTAGGAACATATAAGGTGGTGTTTCTAAGAAGATAACAGAAATCTATCTTTGCATCTATGATTTCAGTAAGTATTTCAAATGTTTTAAGTAACAAGGACTTAAAGTGAAAGTTTAGGATGAATATTTGAGAAGATATCAGAACTGAGCTGAAAATATTATAACTAAAGTACTCAGTAGACATACTAAAACAATCATTATTGAGCTTGTATGTCTTCCAAAACTTAGCAGTATCTAATGAAATGCTCAAATATCAGATACTCTATGCAATAAAATTATTTAAATAAAACATCATCATTCAAATTCAGTTACTGATTCATTGATAAATAAAGTTGGATTGAAAATCATTTGCACTAATAGTTTTTGAGAACTGGTTTCTTATTGCCCAGGTTCTCCCTTAACTTGAACTTTGTATATTGCTATCTCGCCCTCCCAAGTGCTTGGATTACCTGTAGGTGCCAGTTTATGTATTGTTAGTTAACCAATCTCAGGCTTCATTTTTATGCTAGGCAAGCATTCTACAAACTGAGCCACACCAGTTATATTTTATTTTTTTTTTGTAGGTACACTCACTCAACAAGCAGTAGATTTAGAACATAAAACCCATGTTCCACAAAGTCAGAAGTATTTACTATTTTAACATTAAAAAAACAATATTGAATCTTTCATATGGATGGAATCATTATGTCTCTAAAATTCATATATTGAAGTTATTCCTATTATTTATTGGTATGTTATTAGGAACTGAGACCTTTGTGGGGTCATCAGATCATGAAGTTGGCTCAGGAGCCTTATCAAAAACACCAGAGAGTCCTTCTTTCATGTGAGGTCACAATGAGGAGGCACCGTCTACATCCATAAAAAAGTCTCTCACTTGATACCCACAATTGGATATTCTAGACTTTACAACTGAGAAACAAATTTCTTTTTCCATCTTTTCTGCTGTTTCTATGATTGTGAGCACATATAGAAGATCCCGCAACAAAGAAAGTTTTCATATCCATCGCGTATGGCTGCCTTCTAGTTCTGAAATTCAGAAACTTGAAACCTTAATAAATCACTTCACAGACTGATCTGAAGGAAAAGGAGCCCTAAGGAGATTAACATGTGATTATAGATGTCCTGATACAATGACAAGAGCACATGCTACCGACAGCTTCCTTCCTACACTTCAAATGAGATACTGAATATTTTCAGAAGAGCTGAAAATTTGGAAAGTTGCATTCTAGATCTTTCTTGAGGCATGATAATAGTAATAGTAACAGTAACAGTAATAGTAATAATAAAATATTCCACATGAATGTAAAAGAGTCTCTTTTACTTAAACACGGAATGTTGCCAAATGAGCAATGCCTATGCTATAATAGCTACTTTACTGAAATTTAATGATAACGCCAAGAATATTTCTTCATACAGAGATAAAAGTTAAGACAAGACACCTACCATCTGGCATCCCTTCCCTCCGATGAGGTAACGCTGGCTGTGTGTCCATCCTCCCTCCCTTGTGTTTTTTGGTTGGCCGAGGCCGCTGGCTTTGATTCAGGGCAGCGCTGGTATTACTGTCGGTAGAAAACGGGCTGGTGGGCCGTGGCCTTTGAGAGGAGGTAAAGGCTTTTCCTGAAACGAAAACCAAGGGAGTAGACATGGAGAACGTCCCTATAATACTCTATTTTTGTCTTGCCTGTGTCCTGCTCTTACTAGACTACCTACCACTACCTACTACTAGTGAATGCATCTACAGATGTTGTTCAAAGACACAAAACCCAGCTCCTTATCTCCATGAAATGCATGAATTCCTGCTTAGAATTCATCCATTTTTTAATATGCTGAGAACACCCTGCTCAAGGAAAACACATTTCAAACAAAGGAACCTGAAATAAATGCACCGACCGAAAGCTTCCCATTGCTTGATCATAGTTTTATAGGATCTTCACAATCTTCATAAGACTTTCATAAATCTGGGCCAGTGCACGCCACATTTATTTCTCAACTTAAGATAGTGGATTTTGAAAATAATGAATTGTCTACTGTTTTATTTGAATTAGTCATGCTTTACTCTTAGAATCATAACTTTGAGAATTACATTTGAAGTTTTATGTGAATGGTCTGCTGAGATGCATATGGAACCTTACCACTTAGAATCCACCCACAATGAATTCTAGCTCTTTTAGCAGGATGAAGTAAGATCAGTGTAGAAGCTAGCAGCTGTCTATCCAAAATATCATAGGTGTATTCTGCACATATTATAATATCTGAATAGACCCTATACTTTAATTTTTTAAATGAATTGCTCCATTTCTTGATAATTTAAAATATATGAATAAAAATTTTCCAGGACAAAGGTCAGCTAATACATTTTCTACAGTGAATGATTTTAGTACTAAGTTTATTATGTAAGAGAGGAGTAGTTTATGTGCACATATTTATTCTCTTGTGCATATTTTTACTTTATACAAAATTATCATATATAGTTGCACTGTCCTAAGTCATTGTGACTTGATATTGCCTAATGCTTTATTAGCGATTAGCATACATGCTGCTAGTGCACTTATGCCTTCTAATTTATTAGCTCCCTTGCACCTTCTCCCTTCTCTACCTATAGCAAATGCCGCAGGAAAGCACTCAGGGAATATAAAGATTCTGACTTATGTCTTATGAAGCAAGAAAATTTAAATAACAGTTATATTGCAACATATTTTAGCATTTGGATGCTACATAAAAATAAACCTTTGCAATGCCTGAAAAATTCTTCCATTTTGTTTAAGGAATGCTTAATGAACACTTGAAAGAAATATTGATGGTAAAACTTAAAGACAATGTTCAAGACATAATTTTATGGCCAGAAAGTGTAGCAAAGGTTCAAAGTAATTTTTCTTTACTATTTGAGCACTATTAAATTTAAGAGTGCATTTGATAATTCATAAGTTTATTTTGTTTAGGGAGCATACTAAATGCACATATCATATTCCTATTATATGCAGCAAGGAAGTACATAAACAAATATAAGGGCTGTTGTCAAAAATCTTCATGTTTACAAATTATTGACAAATTACCAAAGTTAATCTTACATATCTCCTTCCCGCTGTTACATGAAATATACATAACAATTACATAATTGACTTCAATGTTATTATTTAATGCTCTTGGTAATCAAAATGAATTTACTTAAAGAGCAATACACATATAGATATTATCTTTTCGAACTCACAAATGCATTTGGTGTATCTTTAGTTAGCATCCTTTAACCACAAGTAATAAATTATTGTATTAAAATCTTAGTCAAACCATTAGGACCATCAGCCAAGTGAAGTGTTAGACAGCAGTTTTAGACCCACTCACCCCATGCTGGGGAAGCCTTCCCAAAGAGTGCCTCTGCAGAAAGAAATGGGGCAAGGCACCATAGTGGAGATAAAAGCTGAATAATTTTAATCATCAGGTTCGGTATTGATTTTGTGAAGGGTTTGCAATATGTGACTTACTGAGGGTTTAATGACAATATTAGTTGTGCCTTTGTTGTAATATGAAAAGGAAGCACAGTGCAATTAACCAGTAGAACCATGAAGAAAAAGGATGGATGAGATGCAACATAGTGAGTAGAAGCCTATTTTTGGCTCTTCAGTATTAGCATCAAAAGAGGATTCTGGTAACATAGCATCCATCCAGTTGTGTTCATGCATATTTTAAAAAGCCTGTAGTTAGATTCACCAAGAAGAAAGAATAGAAGGAAAGGTCAATGTCCAGAGGACAGGATACTCTCATGCAAAGAGTGTTGACTTGGAGTCTACCAACCTGTTCTTGTAAGACTGGTTCCATCCAGTCTAAAACCAGCTTTATCTGCTGCTGCCACCAATGCTTGTGCAAAGCTGCCGCTGGCAAAGATGGAGCCATCTGAGGAGCTACCTACACTAGATCTATGACTAGAAAAGTTACGATCCTCATCAGATGCAGAGCCCCATCCATTTACCATTGAACCTAAAAACAAATGTAGTGGTCCAGTGAGTTGTATAGATTGGATATTTGATCTGCTGTAACATAGTGTAGAATGAACAAGTTGGTTATTTCATTCCCTCACTGCTCCTTTAAAGTTTCATTGTGAGTTCTTTATTATCTGCCCCATTATCTATGTCTCCAACATTCTAAGCACTAAAGAACTAAGGCCATTTCAAATCTGTATCTACTTGTATCCCATTGACAAAACACATTCAAATTGGTTCAATTCTTACATCGATCAAACTGTCACATGATTATTTCTCTATAACAACTGCTATATATATTTAACTATGTATCAAAAAAGAATAATCTGACTGAAGTAACCTAGTGAAATGAAACAGAAGGAGTGGGATGAAATAATTTAGTGTGAGTGTATTTTAAGGGTAATTCGGATTCCATCAACTATATGAAGAATTTAATATAAAAGTTACCCATACAAACAATAAAAACTCATATATAAAGTGTCTAAACAATATCAAATCAATATGGAACATAAGGAAAACTATTTTTCTGAATTTCTAATTATGATAATGTTTGTTATATGTTCTTTAATTTTTATTTAGCTTAATAACTCCAGTTTTTCTCAATGCTAACAGTTCTTTTAAAATAATCATAAGAATATCATGAACATTAATGTGTGTTTTTCTGCAAAATGAAACACTGTTAGTGGAAAACTTGCAACTTTTTGTGTTGATAATACAAAGTACTTTGAAGATATAAGTAACATTTTCTTAAGGTTCTAGGGAAAAAGTCATCTTTCATTCTTTCTTAAACCGGAGCAGGAACTTAACCAACTATTTACTGTAACTAACATAGTATTTATTTAAGTTATATGATTAGTCCATCATACATAAACTACCAAGTAGTGCTTACCCTAATATATTTTAAAAAGGGACACAAACTAAAAATCCATGTTAGGTTTTCTAACTGACAAAAAGATTTATAAGAAATGGGTAAAATCTAATACGGTAGTGTTTTTCTTTCTTTCTTTTTTCTCCCTCTTCTCAAGACAATAGTGTAGTTAAGCATTTGAAGTACTTGGAATGTTAAGAAAAGGGTCAGTGACATAGCACATCCATTTCAAACAGAAAGAAAGCAGAATCGCAAAGATATTGGATAATCTGAGATGATAAAATAGTGTTATGGGGAAGAGAGTAAGACAGTTTGGACTCTAGTTGGCAAAAGCACACAGACACACTGTTTACATTCCAAATAAATCCCCTGTGGCAGGCCACTGTACAGGAACTAAGATAACACTAGCATCCCAGCCTCCTGTGGAAGATTCATTTCTGGGCTAATGATCAATGTCAAGGACCAATATACCACAATGAAAGAAGAAATGATGCAAAGGACGATGTGGTGTAATGTCACAGGAGACAAGGAAAAAATCCAAGGCTATTCAGTTAGGAATCACCACAGACTGTGGAACCACAGCTGAGAATAGACTTCTGGAATCTGAAACCTCATTATCTGTTCCTTCCACAGGCTATTTTTATTGTTTTCAATATCAAAATAGTCATGGCCTTTTTCTCTCACTTGCATTTCATCTTTCAACTCTAACTTGTTTCTTTGTGGTACCTCCTGTCTTCCTTATTGTTGTCTGCATTTTCTTTCTCAAGAACCTACCCACTTTGATATCTCAGTTTTGAGATCTCTAGACTACCAACATCACATCCACATTCTTGCTAGACTTCTGAGTCCCTGGGTTTTTATAGTATGGAGTGCTGCCTACCTCCTCAGCATCTGCAGTCACACATTTTCTCCTACCACTTCGGTACACTTCAGCATTGCTACCACCTCTAGTATCTGGTGGGTCAATGAAATATTAGCCCTTAGTTGACATGTTTCTGTTTCACATTCAGGCTTGGATTAGAATCAGTCTCAACCCCTTGGTTGCCTAAATATTATGCATATAAGAGTACACTGGTTCTATCCCTTGATTGTACTTGCTACATATACATTCACTAAGAAGAAGAGTTTTAGATATAAAAACTACCTGTTATTCACTCCCATATATGTTATTCAGAGATATTGAAGATCAGAAATTCAATAAAGACTGACATATTGAATAAAATGCATTTGGCACTTTTAGTCTACACTATAAATTCTTTGAATGAGTCTTTGTGATGTATAATATCTTTTGGTTTGTTTGTTTCTCAAGAAAGGGCTTCTTGCCGGGAGGTGGTGGGGCAAGCCTTTAATCCCAGCACTCGGGAGGCAGAGGCAGGCGGATCTCTGTGAGTTCAAGGCCAGCCTTGTCTAGAAGAGCTAGTTCCAGGACAGGAACCAAAAAGCTACAGAGAAACCCTGTCTCGAAAAATCAAAAAAAAAGGGGGGGGGCTTCTTTTTATAGCCCTGATATCATCCTGGAACTCACTCTGTAAACCAGGTTGGCCTTGAACTCAGATTTGCCAGCTTCTGACTCACAAGTTCTGAAATTAAAGGCATATGCCACACTGCTCAGCAATTACCTATTTTACTTGCAAAAGAATGTCTTTATAAGCATTCTTAGAAATTTCAGTAAATTTATTTGCTTTCTAAATAAAATATAATATTAGTGAATTATGGTTGATTATTTATAGACATAGAAGGTAATGATGCAATTGTCTAAAATAGCAACACAAAATGGTAACATATATGATTTTATTTATATAAGTGGATGCATATTATGTAATAAGATGCATATTGTACATACATATACATATCTATATGTTGGTTATGCTTTACTTCATTAAGATAGTGGTAATTTGAATTTGCTTCAAGTCACAATTTTATTTTTGAGTTTGAAGCTTAGTCATACTCATACATATTTATACATTTAGTTTAACATTTTGTTTATTCAAAACTTTTCTCCAGTATACGAAACCCAAGTTACTTGTGTCTGTTGTGTTGGTGCCTGCTCTGTGGTTCCACAATCGGGTCTCAGATACTACAAAATGCAGAGGAGAAAGGCCCGTGTCACAGCAGCGTCACTAGTGACATTCTGCACTGCCTCCTGAAAGAAAGTCAGCTCTTTGCTTTCCTCCCAAAACATCCTGGTTTATTTCTTCACAGTAATGAGTCCTTCATGTGAATTTCCATGCCTATCTTTGCCATACCATAATAGATAGACTACCTTTAACTTCCCCCATTTTCCTACAGAGTTCCTCCTTGGTGTATTAACTGTCCGTTCTCTGGAAAAATGCATAGACAGTGTTTCTCACATGGTTGTCCTACAGCAGAGACACTTTAGTTGTTCTGGTTTCTTTACTTTTGTGTTTTGGAGCAAAGGATCTGCATAGATGACTTCTGAGCTGAAGAGATACATACCATGGACATGTCCCCTCATTAGGCCTTGAGAAGGCTGGTGATACAAAGCAAAGTCTATGGAAGACAGTTTGCTGTCTTTGCTCCTTGATAATGTAGATTGCCTTTCTCTAACGAACACTTCACTGGACCAGGGGTAAGCTCACTAATATGGACAGCAGTTCAAACTATCTGGACATATATCATTACCATACTACATGCTGTGTGTTCAAATTCTTTCAATGAAATTCTGAAACTATTTCTGTCAGTTACTGGTTTTGACCCTCACTGGCGACTGTTTCCCTTATCCCTTAAACATTAAAAAAATACTCAAATATTTACTTAAATAATTACAAAGAGCAAAGGTGTGTGTGTGTGTTAGTGTGTGTGTCAAAAAGAGAGAGATGAGAGGAAAAGCATTAATTGGTAGGTTAAAGAGCATGTCATTTTCTTAACTATGTCTTTTATATCTATGACCACAAGTGTGAAAATTAGAGAACATGAGGTAAAAACAACTTGGCTGGAGAATATATAACAAATTGCAAGCAAGTCCCACCGCTCTGACACATTATAGTCACAAATATAATCAATACATATTTAAGCATTTAATGAAAAATGAATTTATGCCACAATGTCAAATTTATTGGTCTTTACAGCTTCAATCTTTTCAAACCCCTCAACTTAAAAACTCAAAAATGCCAGGAAAAAAAAAACTGAAATTAATTCCAGCTGATGAAGAAGAATCTCACATAGGACATTAAGTTGCTTAAATGTTACTGAGCATAAAATGCCATGATAAAGTGGCATCTTGCTGTGTCTCTATTACATCTTCAGCACTAAAATTAATTTATGATCAGTCGTCAATTCATTTACATGTCAATTTATGCTAAATCCTTCCTTGCTGACAAATGCTACCCTAGGATCCATTAAGCTGGAGTAAAGTCTGTGCTCTCTTATACGACCCTGCTAATTGTTGCATTACCATTTTCATGAGCTACAAAAACTTATGGCCCCCCATTTTTTTCGCCAATATTTAATCCAGGAACTCTATTAGATAGCACGGCTTGTCTAACTACTTGCTAAGTCAAATCTTCTGCTATAATTGTCGTTGATCAAATCATTCCAAATATTGACCTTTTCTAGATGTAAACAAAAATGGAAAAAAATGTGGAAAATGCTTCTGATACTCTGAAGATTTGGATATGTAACAAATATACCACTTCTTCAGGTATATGAAAGTTTGTGTGTTTGTGTTTGTGTGTGTGTCTATCTGTGTGTGTGTGTGTGTGACATGTGGGAAAAGGAAGTAATTAGAGAGCATTTTCCTTAGTTTGCATGACATCTGTTAACTTGTTTCACTGAGATAAAAATCATACATATAACGTACATCCTTTCATCTGTCAAATTTTGGCATCTAATTTGTCTTAAAGGACCTAATGCTGTTGAAGTAGCTTAAGGCAATAAATTTGTCACTTGTAGGGTTTATCAGAAATGATTCTTTGTATTAAAAAAATTTAAAGAAGTTTTGTAGCAGAGGGAAGACCACAGGTGAGATATTTTATTGGCCAACTTTCTAAAAAACCTGTGAGGCAGAATAGAGATGGAGACTGTCAAATGGTTTGTTTTCACACTGTTCTGGTGAATGAGTTCTAGAAAACAAATTAAAGTATCCCAAAATAAGAAAAGAAAGCAGTGCCAGAATTTCCATTTAGCTACTATGTGCTGTGGGCCCACCTCTCAAGGCAATCTCTACTTCAATCAACAGAACTCATTATCGACCTTAATTCTGCCAACAGGCAGTTCAAATCTCAACTATCTGTTAAGGACACCATTTTTCAATCCCTCTCTGCCCTCTCCTATAATTTTCTTTTCATGGTGCTGTTAAATTCAGGAAGTGTCTTCTACCACGTGAGTTGAGAAGTAAATGCAAAATTCTGTCTCTTTCTTTCCACTCTGAGATGATGGGTTGACGTTTAGGTGGCTATCTTACTAGCTTATTTCTGAAAATGGAAGCTTTTTGTTGTTTCTTTCCCAAGGCACAACAAGAGCACCCCACAACACTAAAACTATTTTTGTGCTTTGTGGCAATCAAAAAGATGTGCAGGATAAGTTAGATGCCCAGTTTACCAAAAATAAAGATAAAAATGATAACTCCTTTAAAAAATGCTGACAAAATTTGACAATTCATTGTAAGTGAATGTAGAATCAAATATGAGAAAAGTAAATGTCACATCTGAAAACCCTGATCACAGTCAGGTAAGTACAGGGTTAGAATTAATGTGTCCATATGACTTTATGTGATGTTTTTTCTTTAGAAACAGTTATCTATCCATTTATACATGCATACAGAAGAGATAAACCTCATGTTGGGTAACAAACCAGCCATCATTTTTATATTTAAAAAAATAAGTCCGGAAATAAATGTTAGACATTACCAAGGCCAGGATTACAGTCATTTTAAAAAGCATAAAACTGATTTTTGTATATATTTTTTAACCACTTGAGGTAATCGAGTGTCTGTGACCTGCTTTCCTAATCTTGACCTGATGTTTATATCTATAAGCTTATAGCATCAGAAATCAGAGTATTGATGGTTAAGTGAACTATAACCTTGAGTAAACCCTAAGAATGAGGGACAGGACACATTTGCTGGGTTCTAGGTAGTCAGTACTTTAGACTTCAAAATCTCAGTCCTGCATTCTTTTTCTGTCTTTGGGGTTCTTTTGCTCCTCTGAGAATTCTTTTTATTTCCCTTATCTTCTGTTTATATTTTCTTTCCTTGCTATGCTTTTAAAATGTAAGAAACCAGTCGGGGTATGGTAATGCATGCCTTTAATTCTAGCATGCAGAAGCCATCCTGGTCTGTATAGTATGCTCCAAGACAGCAGGACTACATAGTAAAAACCGCTCTCTAAAAGAAAAAAAAAAAAGTTAAAAAATTATCCTTAAATCTCTGGGCCATCCAAATGGCAGCCACCACTGCTATCAGAAGAATGGCTTGTTATCATTATTATTATTTAACTGAAATTCCTAATCTAGTGATTATCAGTGAGGGATACAGAATAAATGTTTGTTTTGGAAATAATTCTATAAAACAATAAGTTTGTGAACACATGCTCTTTGCCACTAAGCTAATATAATTTAACCATCGATAACTTCTCCTGTCTATTTTCTTAAATGAATGTTCATTTCAGAATTTAAGGAACTCCACAGATTGTTTTAGCTGTTTTGAATAGATTCTGACTTCTTTACAAAGAAGTGTTCTGTTATTATAATAATTTTATTTATTTGCTTTTACAGGTGTTTTGTCGGAATGTATGTCTCTGCATCATTTGGGTGTAGTACTTGCACTGGGAAGAGGGGTATCATGATTAATACATATGTGTACCTCAGGTCAAAGCCCCAGAATGCATGTATGTTTGCAGCCTCCTTGCATGCATGCCTTCTGTCAGTTCACAAATCTACACATGAACACTCCCTGTACACACCCACATATTCTTTCCATATACACTCACTCAATTTGTACACTCATGTAAATTTATGTACTTGCATTCTCTATATCCATGCTTACGTACATTCTCATGTGTGCCCTCCTTCTATATACTTACTCACACTCCCTGTGTATGCGTATTCTCTACATGACCCATATACTCTTCATGTGCACTCATAATCTAATCTACATTCACACTCGTTCCATCCTCTCATACTCAACAAATAAGCACTCTGTTATGCTTATATACAACTTTTGTCACATACACACACAATCACACACACAGCCTAGAAGGTAAATTAGACCTCTGATTAAACTTTCTCCTCTGAGTTTCTGGTAGAAGAAAGGAGAAAACAATGGAAGCTCTTGTTTAGGGAGTGTAGGGAAAGATACAAGGTAACTTAAGAGATGTACTTTCATGGGACACATTATGGAGGACTACAAACCTATATGGCCTGAGGAATTTTTTATGTAGGGCAAGAATTAAGTAGGGCATTCAAGTAGAAACTTTGTTTTCTCAGCAATGAAAGTTTTCTTTGGCATGAACATAGAATTAGTTAGAGAAGTGTACACTGCCCTCACAAAAGACTCCCTAGCTATCTCCTTTCAGTTGAGTATGTAAAGGGCAAAATGGGGTTCTGCTAACTTAGAGATGTTCATATTGTCTCTGACATAATATTTAATAATATCTTCAGAGCCTATGGCTGACTTTTGCCATTATTCCTGGAACATGTATTGCATTCTTAATGAGAAACAGTTTGGTATTACTAGTGAAGTATGCAAAGATATTCAGAGTTTGCCCTAAAGTAGATTATGCTAGAAATCCAGGCAAAGAGGCTTAACATAATAGTGTAATAATAAGTCAACTCCACAGCATTCAAAATTTTAACTTTTGCTCTGTCACCTTCGGTTGGATCTATGTTTTAATCCCAGGAATATATCTGTGTTTTTAAAATCTTAATTAGCTTCATAAGGAGTTCAGCCTCCAGGCAAAAAGATGAACTGAAAATTAGATCCATGCTTCAGATGCTGAGAAACACAAAAAGGAAGGCAGAGGTTTCTTTGTGTCCTCTGTACTATTATACCATGGTCCATCAGTGTTTGTAAATCTATTGAGAAGCCCCAGTTCTGTAGAGATTAGAAGCTATTGGAGTCCAAGGAATCCAGGGACACTGATAAAAGGTATTTGGGGCTGAAAGGAATCATTCAAATGAACATAGACATAGGTGGTCCGAGGTGACCCAAGAGAATGCAGAGATCAGGTTTACGTTTGGAGTAGCTATGTCCTCATTATCCAGGAAGCAGCATGTTTGTGAGTCAAGAGGCAGATAATTCAGGGAGAGAAAGACTGAAGTTTGGCTCTCACCACTTCCTTTGTGTATATGCAGGATTTCAACTGGACCATTTTGAAATCATTGGAAATAGGCTGTGTCTCAGGCCTAGAGTCATCAGAGGCATGCACCGACTGAAGTCTTTGCTTATCGAACAAGAAAAATAGGGAGGGAAGCCTAAGCAATAAACAGTCAGAACAATTACACTTCTTGGCAGAGGACGGGTGATTCGATTCAGCAGTGTGAAATGCATAAATGTATTGCTTATCTCGCCATGCATGTTTCCACTCCAGAAATAATACCACGTGCAACCTAAGAGACGCTCATTCTGAGGACTTGCTTATTTTCAACACTCAATGATTTTACAGAGTGAAATATCAAGAAGCATTTTAAGATCTCATTCACTTTGTATGTTGCTCCCGATATACAAATTATATCATTTCTAAAAGTAAAGGCTTTTCATATAATAGACTTGGTTCCCCAGCAGAGTGAACTTTTCATGAAAGCCTTGGATATAATTGAGTTTTCTTTCATGTCTTTAAAGCTTTTTAAAATTCATGAATTTCCTTATCATTTTAGTAGCAAAGCAAAAGTATTTCTAAATCCTTTTTGAATTTGGTGTTTAACATTAACATATTTAAAATGTTACAAAAATAGATGGAGTTGAATAAATCTTACATAAGGAGGCATTTGATTTATGATACATTTTAATATCGCAAATAGGTCACTTATTCACATTCTATCAGTTTTGTTACCTGTCACAGAGCTATCTAGATTGTCCATACTGGATCCAGGTGTCTGGTCTAGTGCTCTGAGGGGCCTGGGGATTTCTAATGGTTCCTCTTCATCATCAGCATCCTCATCTGGAACATCTGTTTCCAAATCAGAAATCAAGGCTCCAGACACGTAACCTAATGGTGGGACTGGGGGCTGTGGAGGTGGAGTATTGCTTTGAATGTGCCTGGGATTTAAATGGAAAGAAAAAGAAGACGAGAGGCAATTCATTAACATCCGACAAAATTATAATTCGTGGTAAATGGCATGGTATGCTAACCCATACTGTCTTTCATGTTGACTAACTCATATCACATTCTTTATGTTAGCAGAGATACTGTGATATGACTACAAGCCTTACTAAACAGCAGCCACATAAACTACAAAAGCTCTTGTTTTGATGTTTATAAGGTGATACACAAAGATGAAAATATATACTGAACACTCTTGTATCGACAAATTATTCCAAAGAGTATAGAATTATTTATCATAAATCATTTTTCCCCCCCCCCGCCCCATAACCAGTGGTATTTGGTTTCACAGTTAAGTGTTGAAGAACTCATTAGTTTTAACCTATGAAGCATGTTTGAAGAAAGTTTGTCAGTTGGGGGCCTGATCATTCAGCCCTGCCTCTGGCACACTTCCCGCCCTATGAAGATTGGTTTTGGGATGATTCCCATCACATCAGGCTGAACAGCTGTTCCATTATCCCAGTGTAGATTAGACACAAATATTTTGTGTTCTCTAGATATTTGCAATGTATCACAAGAACCAAATCTTAAAGGGGGTTGGAATTTATAACATAAGGCGTGTTCAATAACTTCTTAGTAATGAGTAAATAAATGTAATCCCAACATTACAAAATTAACAGAACATGCACGGCCATTTGTTTATTAGAAAATACTTAAAGAAAGCCCGAGTGACTTGGCTCTCATTTTATGATTAACAAAAATGTGAATCTGGACTCTGCCGTGCACTTGCTGTGTTGTGAGACTATTAAATAATTCTTTCTAACTTATAAAATGCTCAGTTTGAGGTAACTCACGACTATTTGCAAGTGTCAACAAAGAGTGGATGTGTTCTATGTCTGAATGTTTTTTTCTTGCCTTCTTACAGAAGTATTGAAAAGGCCCCTCTCATGTAAGAGTCATCACAACTAAGTAGAATGCATTTTTGCCTCTGGCTTTTAAAAAGGCGAAGAGTTATTTTTGCTCTCATTTTAGTCTTTTGAGAAGATGTTTCCTGTCCTAAAATTTGCTTAATATGCCTCTGCGATTTTCATCTGTGAATTTATAAACTAACTGTATTCTATGTCCTTCAATGGTAAAACCCCAAGAATGTTAGCTCTGGACATCACTTCTGTGTAGCCAGATTTAATCGCTAATGGTATGTAGCAGGTGTTTCAGGCAGCATGCAACCCCTTGGCACGCATCACAACCCAGTAATCTATAGTGATGAAAGAAGAACAAGTTTTACTAAGCTCACTTAGACTGAATATTGTGCATTGACAAGCCCACATTGCTATACGTGTGTCGTCACATTCAGTTTGTAATGAGGAGAGGGAGTTACGTGACAAACAGGAGGACATCAAGCAGTATGACGTATGTGGTCCATTTCACTGCAATGTTATAGATTTCAAGGTGGGTGAGGAAAAAACAGACCAACTATGTAATTCTATATAGCTGTTGGCATGTGTTGATGGGAAAAATTCTATTCAATAATTTAAACAGAATTAGAGGTTAATCTGAAATATGAGATTATGGCATGCAAGATTTATAACTATCTTCTAGTAATAGGAAGTGTTTTGTACATTTCATTAGTCAGTATGAGTAGCATCCCCAGAGGTACAGCTGGGATCTTTTATCTTTAGAGTTCTGTGAATGTGATGTGTAATCTTAAACAGGAAGCTCTTTCAAACCACAAGAGCAAACAGGCATTTTTTGGGGGGTAAAGGATGAATTCCTACCCTTGTATAAAAGTTAACGGTGGTATTCAGAATACTGGTAGATTGTGTAAGACCATCCTCAAGGTGAACATTCTCAACAAACAAGGTCCAGTGTATATGATGATTGAAGATATGGAAATAACACAGTTCATTCACCCATTTGGGATATACTTATGAAGCAATTACTCAATGGGGGATTTTAGGTGTGAAAAGATATCAGTAACCAACTCAGGTAAGTGTCCAATACCTTCTAATCATTAGAAATTAAAATATAGACAGGTTAAGGAACATAAGAAGTGCAAGCACATTGAAATCTTAAAAAAAATAAAGCATAGTAGATAGCTTCACCTTAACTTAAAAATGTTTAAAACTGGGAGTAGTATACTCTGATAGTATATTTTTTTCTGGTATAAGTGCCGGTTGACTTGGAAACCACGGTTTGCACACTATTTAACAGGACAAGTTATCATAGGGCTTCTAGTCACAAAGTAACAACTCCATCTCTCAGTGGGCTGACTACTGAGGTCAGTCATGAAAGTAGTCAAATTTAATAGACCTTATTTTCAGCTCTTCTCCTGTGTACCATGGGTTGGTAATACTTCCTACATTGTGATTAATTCTGGGTACCTGGAACTCCAATGGGAGATATCTGCCTTTGGAATTCTTCAGAATATCGTACCACATCTCTTCCCTTGGTTTATTTTAATCCATTGTGTTTTATGAGAATAATCTGTAACTTTGATTATAGAAGATCCAGTGAATTCTTTAAACTCATTTGGCATGTTCTAAAACATCAAAGTGATCCGGGAACTCTGTGATAATATACCTAGCCATAATTTAGGGTACTGTTGGTAGGGTCTTTTTAAAATTCATATGGAAGCTAGTAATTATCATTATTATCATTGTCCACACAGGGGAAATATACATATATATGACAAATTTCCTCAGGTCATACATTTGATAAGACCCATCTATCTTCATGGAAGTGAACCTAACTTTGCTCCTCCTTTATGGAAACCCATACTAAGCAATAAAAATCCACTTGGAGGTAAGGTCTAGATATTATTGTATATTACATTTGTCCAGGTGAATTCTAATATGAATCAGAATTGTGTTTAAATCATAAGTGACACGTAGCATGACTTAATGAGGAAAATAAGAAAATCTCATGTCTCTTCACACGATTATTTTAAACTTAGTTGTATTTCTACAAAGGAACTTTATGTGAAAAATTATTGTTCATGAAGAAGCATGTTTGACTATGGAGAATATATTTGCTGATTGTGAAAAAAAAATAAGTGGCTTCTGCTCCTCTGCAAAGAACATGTTTGGGACAGCATGTAATGTTTTTCCCCACTTGGTATCTTGGATGTATTTTATTAAGAAGCAGTGCATAAATACCAAAAATGACGAATAGTTCACGGTGAATACATCTCAGTGAGTAGAACTAACCAAAAATGGAAAGTCTCTCATTTGCCTTCAAGTATAGTGTAAATTAACAGAAGATACTTTTTGATAGGTCATATATACTGACAAGTAAATCACTGTTAAAAAATAAAATTCTCTAAAAACCACGATGTTTGATCCTATTTCTATTTCTACCATATTTTCACAGAACACCTAACAGTCTTATAGCTGCAATTTGTGAATTTTCAGTCTTATTACAAAAAAATCTTAATGTGTTCTTGAGTTTCTGTTGAGGCATTTATTGTTATTATTTTTATTTTCTAATCCACTTAATTCAGTCCAAACAGGGTCTTTTAATAACTGACACTGTCCATAGTAATTTTCAGAAGCATGCATTTACATATTCACAACCACATATAGAATTAATCACAGGCACTTTAAAGAATTTGAAAGGAGTCCTTTATTGTGGCATTAAAAGTAAGTTCAAGGATAAACTAATTGGAGCTGGTTTGTGAATGAGAAAGGATTCTGGCTTCACCAAAAGCACTTCAGTCTGAATCCCTGCTTCATTCGCTTCTCTAACCAGCTTTGTGATGTTGGTCAGGATATTTAAATTTCTATCACCAGTTTCGTTATATAGGCTGCCAACACATATTCTAAACTGTTTTTCATCCCACCCACACATATTTATGAGCATCTCTGCTTAATATACATCCAAGAACATTTACATAGGTAGAAAGTATAGGGCCTGTGGCTTACTGAGGATATTTACCATGTTTGTTTTGCTATATCAAACTGATAGGCCCTTGTTAACTCATCCAAATGAGCTTGCAGCATGGGTTGCATCTCTTCCCGTGGGGATGGAGTAAGAGTGGCAGTGGACTGCTGTCCAAAGGAGATAGCAGGAGAAGAGGCCACACCACGCACAGGAGGTGTTGGGACCCTATCATCGTCTTCTTCCAGTTCATCTTCCATACCCTGGTGCAAGTATGTTTGCACTGGTAATGGTGGGCACCAGCTGTCACTGTCATAGCTGAAATTAAATAAGAAAATATGTTCACTGACACATATACACACATAATTGCACAATTATACTAGCAATAAATAGCAACCAAATGGTGTCTAAAAGGTTTCCAAAGTCTATGTCTTCCTTATCACATCATCGAGGCTAACATAGCAAATAATCTTACTATTATATTTCAAATTATATCTATTTTTTCAAAATATCTCAACTTATTATTGAAAGGCCTTCTTAGCTAATTGCTACCACACAGCTATAAATAACAATAACTTTCCTCCAATGTTAATCATGTGAAAATACCAAATTACTAATTGAAGACATTAATGAAACCAATGCTTAGAGATGTATCCACTCCCTTTTCTTGTGTATCCTTGTGCACAAACAAAATGTTCCAAAAATGCTGATGGATCATCTAACATATGTGGAGGAATTTTATTTACTCTTCTAGACATATGGAAATTTTTTATTCCATATAATATACCTTTCATCAAAGCATGATGATGAAACTATCAATAATCATCAAAAATTCCATGAAGTTTATCAATAGAAACTCACATTATCCTTATCTCAAAAGTTCCAAATGTCTTGTTATTTTTAGAACTAATTATCTAATTTCAGTAAAATTATTTGGCACAACATCCATCCTTTAATACATTTTTGATTTATAAATTTATTTTGAAAATGTGGAGAGCATATAAAAATGATTTTATAAGGCATTCTGAATCAAGAATATAGGATATTTGTATAGTAAATTCTAAATAAATAACAGTTCTATTCACACCAACTCCATAGTTCTACCATTTTCACCAAACAAATAAATACTAAGATATTTAAATAAAAGACTTTTCAAAAGTTGTTCTTCCAAAAATACTAAATCAGTAATGATAGTTTAGGCACAAGGGAGCTATGGCTGCTAGGAGACAGGAAGTTACTGTCTTCTGTGATGTAGCCACTGGGGAGTGAATCATGTACCAGTGGAAAGAGTCATCCCATGCCCATGTTAATAATTCTGGTTAAACCCAGTGGGCCACAGAGTAAAAATCAAACAGAAAGACATGTGGATAAGAACAGCCTCTATAGACTCATAGATTTGAATGCTTGGTCACCAGGTAATGACACTATTAGGTGGTATGGCTTTGCTGGAAGAAGTGTGTCACTTTAGGTGGGCTTTGAGGTATCAAAATGTTATCATCAGACCCAGTCTCTCTCTCCCTTCCAATCTGGATATAGAATTCTGAGATACTTCTCTAATAATACCATGTATGCCTGCTTAGCATCATGCTTCCCACCATGCTGATAACTAAACATCTGAACTATAAGCCAGCCCCAATTCAATGCATTCCTACATAAGAGTTGCTGGGATCATAATGTCTCTTCACGGCAATACAACATCGTCTAAGACAACATGGAAGAAGTGGCGTAGAGCCTTGTACGAGGAAGGGAGGAAGTTGGTAGGGATATCAGGAAGATAAGAGGATGGAAGAATGCCTCTGCATAGTAGTATCAGCTGATGTGACTAACAAGCACCTGAGAGTGTTATAGGAATAGGTACCTGGAGAACTCAAACTGTCTGGGGACTGTCAAAGCTCTGTTGGCCAATAGCAACAGGAATATGTTAAGTTACATATGTGCAATCAGAGGTAGGTACTGGAGAACTCAGTTTCCAAAGGAGATAAAGAGAGAAATTTATTGGCCATAAGTGAGGAGAGGAAGGAATATGCCGGTTACATAGGACCTCATCACTTGTAGGGAGTTTGGAATTCCAATCTCCCTGGTTCTCTAAAATCTTATTTCCACAAGCCAAAAAAATCTCCACTCAAAAGTTAAATTTACCTTTGAGTTCTTTGTTTCTGTGTCCATGGTCACTTGCTTTTGCCTTGCTGAGGCTACATCAATACCCTTCTGCTTCTGTGAGCATAAAGCTGAAAGCTCGCTTCAGGAGCACTGTACGGTTTGCAAGGGATGGCTGTCTCTACATGTCTTTTCTACTATTGTCATCAGCAGACACATTTCAGTGTGTTATCTCTCCAAGAAAATGCTATGGGCTAAATCTGAATTCCTATTTACTAACTATATAACATGTGCCAATCTGTACTGAAAAAAAAATACATTTTTCTAGCACATTGTCATTTTAATTTGTTTTATGGAGATTTGATGGTTTTCATTTGAAGAGAGAGTTCTATTGTTCTAAAGTCTGTAACCAGCATCCTTTGTTGTATTTAATGCTTTAAGGTTTTCAAATCCAATCAGTCCTACTGACTGTTTACAAATTTATCTATGAAGACATCAGAACAGTATAAGAGAACCATTTACTTCTCTTCATTCTATTATGTTCATTTAACATAGTTAAGCTTCAATGTATTTTCTAGACTGAGTACACAGTTTGTCATCAGGAATCTCACGCTGAAACTAAATGGCTCTGTTTCCTTTCTCTTCTACAATTCTGAGGCCTGGTACAAGCTGTAGAAACAAATTTATTTCAAAACATGTATTTATTATGTATAAATTTATTTCAAATAAAAAAAAGCCTGGAGAGTTTCCCTCTCCAGGTTCTCTGTTCTAATCTTATATGTCTTTAAGTTAAATTCTAAATCACATATCTTTTGTAAAACTTACTGACAAAACTCACTAGTGCTAGAATACTATGTTATATAATTGGTACTGGCAATCTTATTGAACATTGATTTGAAAATGAAACAATGTTGATCCTTTTCCTTGTTCAGTTTAATATTTAGCTTTTCATATGTTTATAGTATCCTTACTTCAAGGGGATTTAGCTCTCTTATAGCTGGCTAAAATCATATTTATTGACATGCAAAAATTTTATTAAAATAAAGCTTAAGTTTCTGTACATGACTTATTTGAGTTTGAGAGCTACATTATTAATGTTAAGAAATACATATTTAGAACCTAATAAAATAATTGCTCATTTTCAGTATAGAACATGATTGCTGTTAGCCTTTACCAATAGTTAAAGTCAACTTTACCCTGAAAAGTTTGTTCAAAAAAATCACATTTTTAGGAGAAATTAATAGCTGTATTTTTAATATTTACACTGGCATGTTGCCAAAGCTATTATATGAAATACTATATATTTAATATTTTAAATAGGCATAGCCCATTAGTACCAAAGGTATGTCTACTTGTTCAATAATAGAGAATTTTTTAGACAGCCTAAATGACGTAGAAATATAGACTATGGCATGAGTAGGATAAGATAGATAAGCATTGCTATATGCATCATTTGTAATGGTAAGGTGAAAAGCATTAGAGTAAATTAAACTTGATTCATTTTTTTGTTATTCAAGTAATACTGAGCAAAAGAGGTTATTTTAAAACTTTCATATCATGAAAAATTATAATACTAGGTAAATAAATTACATAGTGTGCTAAGTTACTAAAATCAATTTTATTAACCTTTCATTAAATTAGGGTGGATACTATCATCAAGACTCCCCAGGATTCTCTGCAAAGATAATTGGAACTACAATGAATAAACTTGATCACCCTTCCAGGATAAGGAAGGCTGAAAAATGTTCATGCATTCAATGTGGTTTCTACTAATAATAGAAAAAATTAAAAATGGGGAAAAAATATCCCAAAGAGGCTAACAAGAATGAATAAAGGAAGTCAAGTCAGGATGTCGTTCATATCATGTAGAGAACTGCTCATCACCTCCCTGGTATTCACTTCTGAATTCACTCCAGAGGGCTAACTAGAAAGGTTTAGCGCAGCCACCCAGGAAAGAAAAGAAGGCAGCAGATAACTGTACACTTCATACTTGCAGCTCCATTTAATGGTTCCCTTCACATTTTATGAGATTCACTTGCTTCAGGGGGATGCTGTTTGTAATGTTCTAACCAAATGGCCCCCATGAAAAGAAACGGGGATGAAAGCAGGGCAGTGACAGTGGGCACGAGGAGGAAGGACTGTCAATAGAGAGTTCTGCCTGGGATTAACAATAACGGTAAAACGACAGTCTCTAGTTGCTAATTGCAATTTGTACTTTTGCACATTTTATTTAAGCATTACACTTTTGATGTCTTATGCAGCACCTACAAAGTCTACAAGAAATACTCCCGCTAGATAACCAAAGCTGTTTTGCCCAACCTTTCAAAGGCAAGTCCTTGTTCACTGACATTCTAATAGCCAAGTATGAGGCATCCTATTATCTGTCTTTCCTGATGAGTAATGATCAAGATGACAGCAAATCAATGCTGTATGTGAACTAACTTATTAAAGGCCAGATACAAATACCAAATTACTAATAAAAATACAATAACATTCAACTCCAGCAGAAGCTTGCCAATCTCTAATTGCAAGAACAAAGCAAAGCGCCTATTTAATTACTATTGAATTCTTCCAAGCAGCCTATGACTATAATAAATGTATAGCAGTCAGAGCTAGGCCCTAATACATTTAACACATTGCCCTTTTCAAACAGAAGAAGCATATTAAGATGGGAAAACATTTGCACCATGGCTACAAGATTGAATTAACATTCAAATATCATTTCATTTGAACAATGATTGAATAACTTCTGTTATTGTGCACTGTGAAGAAGGAAAATGCCCATGAAAGACTTAGAAGGAAAACTGAAGCCTATACTCTCATGAAACAATACTACTAATCACAATTAGTAACTAGAGACTGTATTTTCAACGTTATTGCTAATCCCAGTCAGGACTCCCTACTGACTCTGTCCTTCCTCATGCCCACTGTCACTGCCTTGCTTTCATCCCTTTTCCACTATATATCGGCCATTTTGTTTGGAACATTCCAGACATTATCCACCTGAACCAAGGTTCTTGTTATCTAGTCTGTTATCAGTAGCAAAATAGCTGAATTCGTCTATGACATACAAGAATTCATAATTAACATCAAGGCACCATCTCAGATGTTCAGAGGCTTAAAACTGAGCTCTCGCTTATATCTTCTGGGAGAGGGAGAATCAGTTTTCTCCAATAGAGTGACACTGGGTATATCAGCCACTTGAGGACAGGCCTCATATTCAGAAGAAGTTCACCAACATTTAACACACTTCACGTTTGTTCGTTTTTTTTTGAGTATGTGTGCCATTTTTATTTGTTTAAAGTTTCTCTATTTTGTTGTCTTTCTTTATGAGTGTGATTTTATTTTATTTTTCTAGGTTTTGGGGGTTGTTTTACTTAGTTTCATTTATTTTTTGAGAAAAAACTTAAAAGTGGGTGGGTAGGGAGGAAAAGGGTGTGTAAGGACTTGGGGAAGGGAAAATATGATCAAATTATGTTTAAATTTAAAAGTTGCTTTAAATAAGTATATTTATCATAAAATATCAACATTGACCACCTTCATGAAGCATGTACAAGTTGCTTAAAGATGCGGCTCAGCAATTAAATGCAATCTAGGGATCAATAGGACAATGAGGCAAGTTCAGGCAATGATGAGAAGTAGAAGAAAGGGAAATCATCACAATTAGAATAAGGTGCAAAGGAAGATTGATGGGAATCTTTTCATTTTTCCTCCTTGACCAAAGAAAGGTTCCTTTATTACGTATCAAGTTATATCACTGCTTGTATTTTGTTTTACTGTTTGGCTAACAATCTACTCTGATTCAAAAAATCCCTCTAGATTGAATACTTTCTTCAGGTGATTTTTCATTAACTTTGACTCTGGGCACAGATTCTGATAGCCAACCAGTTTGGGGTACTATCATTTATAAATAAATGATTCAAAATTCACTCAAGACTCCACTGATATGAGTACTCCTCTAGTTTACTTGCTTGCTTCTTATTATTTTATTTCCATTGTTAATATATATTTTTAATAGAAAATACATTTTCTCTCATTCTCTTGTATGTGTGTACATATGTGTCTATATTTGTTTGAGATAAGGAAGGTCATGGGGGAGTGAGAAGAAGAAAGGAGAACATGTTATGTGTGTCTCAATGTATACAGTGCCTTAGGACCGTAATTACATCTTTCCTATTAACACAGCAGATCTCCTCATATATTTTTTTCTGATCACCTGTTCTTATTGCTTCTCTTCCTAAAACTGGGCCTAGCATTTAGGATACATATTTAAAAAATGCTGACAAACGTCTTTATTGTTTGTTGTGTGTTGCAAACTGCTGGAGGAATTTCTACAGCCTTTAAGTTACCTGTCCAATTTGGCGTGGCCTCTTATGTTACATATGCCCATGTCAAGTGCGTATCGGGCCTCTTCCAGCTGTGTGATTCGATTCCTGTTCCTCGTTTGTGCAGAGGATTGTGATCTGTGACTCTACCCTTAAACAAATAACCCTTTATTATACTTAATTCTGAGCAAGTGTGGAATTTCTTTTTAGCATCCTTCTTCAGTAAATGGTAATTAAAAAAATAGAAAAACTAATTTTACTGTAGGATTACTGGCTGGCTTTTACTTCTTTAAAAAACTAGTTTTTTGTTTGTTTGTTTTTTTTTTCTTTTAAATAAGAAAAGTAAGGTGTTTTGTTCTTTGTCTTTGAGAGGGAGGTTTCGTATATCTCAGGCTGGCTTCAATTGGACTAAGCAGCTATATAGCTGATGATGACCTTTAGATTCCAATCTTAAGCACTCTACCTCCTGAGAGCTGGAGGATATAGGTTTCCATTCCTGGTTTCATGCATCGTGGGCAAAGTTTCTCTAACTGAGATGCATCCCCATGCCTAAAAATAGTTCTTTTTTTCCACTAGCAGTTTCTCAGCACTTGAGGCAAATAAGAACTCAAGAGTAAGATGAACTAATGATGAATATCTTAAATGTCACCATAGAACAGTCATTCAACAACTGATGGAAACAGGCAGAGACCCGCAGCAGAGGTCTGGGCCGAGCTCCCAAAGTCCAGCTGAAGAGTGGGAAGACTGAGAATATGAACAAAGAGGTCAAGATCATGATGAGGACACCCACCAAAACAGTTTACCTGAGCTAATGGGAGCTCACCAACTCTAGCCATACAAGGAAGGAACCAGCATAGGCCCAAACTAGTCCCTCTGAATGTGGGTGACAGTTGCATGTCTGGGGCAGACTGTGGGGCGACTGTCAATGGCACCTGGGTTTATCCCTACTGCTTGTACTGGCATTTTTGGGAACCTATTCTGTTTGGATAGATACCTTACTCAACCTAGATAGGGAAGGGAGAGCCTTTGATCTTCCCCCAAAGCAATGTGCCTTACCCACTCTGAGGAGTGGATGAGGGAGGGTAGGGTGTAAGGTAGATAGAATGGGTGGAGGGGAGAGAGTGGAAACTGGGATTGGCATGTAAAATAAGAAATGATTGTTTTCCTTTTTCAAAAAAGAGAAATTATAAAAAATTATATAGCACAATCACTTTTTATGCACATTGGCATGTATATGTTGAGAATATTCATTTTAATTGTCTATAATAATAAATTAATACATTAGAAATTTAAAAATCACATAATGAATTTTGAGTAAATTTTAAAAGTAAACTATGATCACTAAATAGATTAAAATGACCTGTCATATCAATATTTGAAAACCATTTGTATAAGAACATAAAAGTATACTAACATAATTGTGTCATCACCAAAAGAAATACTTCTAGTTTTTCCACTGTTTAATAAGGTCATGTGGTAAGTTTCACAATATTTAGATTGAATTTTCTTTCAGTGATAAGGAGCATCATTTTATCAAATTAATATTTTAAGGAGATTTGTTGGCAAAAAAGAGGATATCTAAATAACCTACAATTATCATGTGATCCAGATGTTATTCTTACAAAGCATTAACTTCTTTCCTCTTCCCATTCAAGTTATTAGTTTCATTTCAATATTTTCTGGTTACAATCTTAAAATACAAACTATTAAGTAATAATCCTTTGATGAAGTGTGTACCTCTTGTTTTTCATGAGTTATTGACATATTTACATCACTGGTGTGAATTAAGATCATATTCACAATTTAATTTTTAGGCCAGTAAAAGAAAGGGTATGCTCACCAGGAGAAGTAAGGGTGGGCTCTTGACTGCTAATTTCAAACGGAAACATTGGTTTAGTTAAGTAATCATTGTTTGCATATATATGGGCACTATTTCCCAGAAAAACAAATGAAATCTATTTGAGAGATAGAAAGATGGAGAAAAGATGTGTGTGTATAAGTATGAGTAGGTTATATACATATCATATGCTATATATATGTGTGTGTGATTATATGCATACTATAAATGTGTATGCAAGATGGAATTTACTAAAAGAGAAATATGCAAAATTTATAAGCAAATGCAAATATTTATATGATTTGAACAAATATAAGCCATACTCCACTATACAATTAAATTTTATTTAGTATGTAAATACTTCTATGTAAAATAAAATTTATGTAGAGAAAATCCATATACTCTGTATTCTTGGGTTGCATACAAGCCTTGTCAAAATACTGACTTGCAAACTGAAAGCAAGACAAAGCATTTAGAAATATTAATTTAGGTAAATATTTCATTTAATTTTTTTGTAATAAAAACGATTTTCTATGCTTTTGTGTTTCAAATCACTCCCTACTCAAACTAACAGGAAACCAACTCATGAGATACTAGGGAAAGAATAGAGAACCATCGCATTTAAGGCCCATCAAAAAAATTATCTGACTTTAAGATTTTTGTTATAGAGTGTGCATTGACGTGAATCCCTTATTATTTCTATCCCTAAATTCCCTTCAGAGCTGGTGATTAAAGTTCTACCCAGTGGTCAAGTCCCCACAATTATCCCATTGTGATGGTTCTCTACTGGTGGCGCCCTGCTATGGCCAGACATCAAGTCATTAGGAAGCGGCAAGGGATGATGAAGAAGGTTATTTTAATTCCTTTCAGCCCCTCTCAGGAGTGCCTCTTTAGTTCACAGAGCTGTGGGTACTTGCTTTCAAACTAACGAGCAATATTATAAATGGAGGCTGATTATCGTGATTGCAGACAATCTAAAGCACTTGAAGGCCAAGGATTCTCACTCCTCAGTATGGGCTGTTTTATATTTATCAGCTGAGAATACAGCAAGAGTGCAAACAGTAAGGGAGGATGCAAAGAACGTGAAGGGAGGGGAGCCAGTTAAATGATAAAGATGTACACAGTAACAATGAACAGAGGTGGAAGTGCAGTCTTGGCCATGTTGTCAGAACACACCCTACTCTTACCCATTTTCTTGTTGTTCTGCAGCATAGTGCCCCAGTTCTGTACCAGGAAGGGGCTGGACTGGAGGAGGAGGTAGAGGGACATTAGCCCAAGTTGATCCATTGTTTTTCTGCGCTTTAGAAGAATTTTTGTTTTTCTTCTTTTTTCCACCTTTCCCACCTGAAAGCAATAAATTCACAGAGAATGATTATCTAAAGAAACAGAGTAGAGCAGATGGCAGGATGTATTAATGTTTTCAAAACAGCAGAATCAATATGTTAGGCATGATAAAACAAAAGCTATAAACAATGAAATGGTATTCTCAAGAATATGTCAAGAATGAATTCTACCAGCACCATTGTCTCTCCTAATTCACTCTCTGAAGAACCGAATAAACCAAAAAATATGGCCGCTGTATTAAGAACACATTTATTGATTTATTCCCCTCTGCTACTTCCATGTTTCATTGTTAGATGAAATAATGATTCAGAGCAAATTCTTTTAAATGTCAGATTTTACTGTGTTTATAATGCTCTTTTACATAATCTGTCTCAGTGGAAAGTGCAGTATCTAAAGACTCAAGTTAAACTTCCCATTACAATTTATTCAATTGAATTAATCCATAAGAGTAACATTCTTCTCCCCAAAGCCATGGGTTTAAAAAAAATCAATCAACTATAGCCCAGAGAGTATCTGTAAATGCCTCACCAAGATATATTTCATAGACTTTTTGTCCAATGAGTAGCAGCATTATTTGTGCATATATCATGCTAGTAGTTCTCAACCATTTTAACTTTAATATTCCATAAAATTCCAAAATGAAGGGACTTTCAGGCAAAGAAACTAGTTAGCATCTGTACTTTATATAATACAAATGAATTCATGCACAAATATGAGCAGAAAGTAAGCCAACAGTGTATAAATCCTATCGGAATGTACATGAAAATTAATAAACTATGAAAACAAAACATTACTTAAAATATGCTATACATTTTATTCTTCCAAAATTAAAAAAAGTTAAAACTTCTTCATTACCAAGGATGGTACCAAGGTAGACACAGGGATCACTATTCCTCGAGCATAGAAATAAAGGATGTTTTAAGGGTACCCAGCAACTTGTATGACTCCTTTATCAGCTTATATGCATGTGCACACAGTGGTACTGACCCTTTGCACTTAATCTTTATTAAAGTAAATGTTGTGAGTGTAAGATATTTTTAGCGGGGCTATCTAGTCATGCAGATGAAGCGCATCCATTTCTTTCTCCTATCTATTACTAATCTGAGTCAACAAAATCAGATTATAAAGTATAATAATAATATATTGGAAGCCCGGCAACAGATAACACTGGTACACTAGGCATTCACATCATTAGAGAGTACACACTTTATGTGTCATGCATGCCTATGTTCACAGCCATCATGTCATCCCAGAACATAGCGTTTTCACTTTTTGTTTTACTTCTTTGGTGGAAGAAAAGGTACCACAGAAATGAAAGCAGGCATCTTCTACACTAAACTTGTGTGGGTAAGAGCTTGATTTCTGGACCCGAGGGCCAATTCCTTTATTATCCCAGAGGTCAGTAAGTAGATGTCATCTAATATATATATATGCATTTTTTCTGTATACAGAAAATAGATGTTTCATTGATCTATCTTTAGAAATAAAAAGACATTACATGTAAAATATTAAATACAGGATGACAGTCATTATTGGTCGTTTCCAACTCCTCTCTCACTAAAAAATAAATCCATTTTCTAGCCGCCTCTGAAAGTCTCCAATTTTCCAGGCTCAGTGAATATTCCAGAAACTGCCTGAGTTTTTGAATTAAACAAAGAGTTTACTGCTGAATAAATCTTTATTTTTCATTATAAATAAATCCTTGACTCCTTAAGCCTCTGAAATCATAAACAAAGACCAAGATCTATATCATTTTTTAATAAAACAGCAATTGAAGTTTACTATTTCCAAAGGAATAGGTTGAGCACCTCGTCTGTCATTGCTACCACCTAGCTGTACTTTCTCTTTTCCTTTTTGTCTTTGTTGAGGACAGTTTGTACAAGTCCCACGGCCCTTTTTGAAATGTTATGCGGACACCAAGAGAACTGAGTGATATAAGCAAGGAAGACTTGGTGTGTCCATTTTAAAGGTGAGATTCTGTGATTCTCTCTGATTGCCCAGGTTTAACTTTCACATTCACATAGAGAGAAATCTGAATTCACCAGGCAGCAGTTTCTAAGAGCCACCCATTTGTGAAGTGTCTAAACTTCAGTTTTTATATAAACTCAAGCTGAAATCCTTACTAAAAATCAAGAAAGCAATTCAGCTTTTTTACAACTACTATTGTAAGCAACAGGCTTTACAATGTGATTGGAAACAGCTGATCTTGGAGGGAATTTCCCAGGGCCTTCCACCAAACATCTGTTTCCCCTCTTCTAGAAATGTACAATTATCTCTTTTCTCATTTTGAATAATCAGGATAGGAATCCTCACCAACATGGCTGTGTGTGTATGTTAGCTCCATGCTAATTGGTAAGCTTCTATGATAGTGGGGTACATACTACCTAGCCTACTAGTTAAATTCTGATTCTGAGACCTGAATCTTCAGTGAAATGAAGCATCTCTTGCTTCAACCTGCAACTAAAAGCTTCACCATTTTAAGTGAGAACTTCCTATACTATGTTTTTGAGGCTTTGCCCAAATATTTGAACTTTCTCTTAAAGTCAAATTGTGTTTAGATTTTATTTATCTAACAAATGAACTCCATGGAAGGAAAATTATGAAAACAATATATTTTAGAAATAAATGCATGGAGAGGGGAAAAGAAGTGAGTAATAGTTGCCTAGCAAGCATGAGGCCCTGGCTATGACTTCATCACTATCACCAAACATATCACACACACACACACACACACACACCACACACACACACACACACATACACACACACATATAATTGAATGTATACTCTTTTTAAAAGTTGGCGCACTAAATCAGAATCAGTAATTTTCATATATGTATTTTATATATGATTACTATTATTTCTGTGACAGTTAAAAATAGCTGAGCTTTAATTTTTAGTAGTTAAACTTTTAACAGAAGTTTTTGACCTTAAAAGGAATATATTGTAAAGTATTTTAAGAATGAAATATATTCACTCAAATAAGTCAGAAATGACAGTTTCTTAATCTTTGGGATTTTAAAAACATTATCTGCATCAGTGTGGCTTGATCATTTATGAATGCTATACTATGGCTTAAAACATTATCAGCATGAATGTGAATTGATCATTTACAAATGCTGCGCTATGGTTGGATTAGCTAGCCATAGGGCAGCTTAGTAATACACTTGAGTGTCAGAAAACTTCTTTATGAAGCAGAACAGAAATAATGAACTCCACTTGAGTTTAAACTGAACAGAAAACTGAAAAAAATAATCATTTTAATCTCAGCTCCTGAAAATTCTATCTCCTATTGAAGTAATTTAGTATTCAAATGTAGATTAAGTATTCATTATAACTCCTAGATCTTTACATACATGTCATCTGGTATATTACTGGGCTCAACAATGCAGCTTAAAACTACTGCTTAAAATTCTTTCAAAAATAACTTTTAAAAACTCATGACAATCGACCTATACCAAATATTTGTTGGCTTGTATGTCTAAAGACCCAATACTTTATGGTATGCAGTATTCTTTATATACATTGCTTGGTATTTACATACCTTTAATGAAGTAAAAATGGAAGCTTCAGCAAAATTACTTTTTAATTATACAGAACTATTATGGGGCTAATTATACAGAAATGACAGCAAAAATGACATATAAGGTCATTGCTAAAGTTCCCCGGTATTATTCAGCCACTTTAAATTCATAACAGATGTTTAAATTTTTTTCCTATTCTATAATGTATTTAATCCTACCAATAAGCAGGAAGAGAAATGGCTCATTTTGGAGGGAAAAGAGGGCATTAACATTTCAGTCTAAGAAGATTCTATCTCCTGAGGAAAAGTAATTTGGTAAATGTAATCCTAGTGGTGTTGAAAGTTAACTCTTTCTGCTCTTGAAGTTGTACATGGCATATCATTAATCTGAAAAGATCAAAACAAGTTGCGTGGCGTGATCAATTCGAAATAGAGACATGAAATCAACAGCCAAATGGTGTGAATGCAATGGCAAGGCAACACATCTACCACCACATTTTCCTATTACAGGCAAGAATCCCTGTGGTGGAAATGTCACTCTTGCTTGATAGGATAGAAATGCATTTCACTGTAACAAAATATATTCCCGCCCATGTGTTGTATTATGTCTGCATTAGAATTAGCTCAGCTCATTTCATTCAAATACATGTTCAAATTTACAGGATAAAAATAAAAAGCCACATAAAATATTATATGCATAGCCCTTAAATTGTTAATAATCTCCCATACTAATTTTTCATATTTAGCAGAGTCACCTGATTTGACAGATAATAAGGCTCTCGTGTGATATTTTAGAAAACCAATACAAAATTATGAGGCTGCATTGCTTAATCATTAATATAAGGCCCCCAAATAATTTTATTTCCATCATGTGTATTTTCTAGAATCAATGACCTGGGACTGAATATCATGTATAATCTTTCCATTATAAAGTTCTCCTGACTCATAAATAGGACCCAGGACAGACAAAACACATCTGTTCTTCATGAGCAGTCTTTATGAAGATGGCTCTATTTTTCTCCACGCACATCAGTGCACAGTTCATGAAGGGGTGACAGTGACTTTATCCCTCCTCCTCCCCCAATCAAAGTATAACTTCACTATGGTCAACCACTGTCATCTGATAGATAAATGGCTGCTGGCTGCTACTGGGTTGTGATTAAATATTTCTTCAATGGCAGCTAGAAACACAGGTCATACGCTCTTGACAAACAAATATTTCTCCTTACTGTGATCGGACCAACCTGAGAGACTGCCACTCCTTTCTGAGCTGTTGTGGGAGCTGGTGGTGCTGAAATCCTGTGACTGGTTGTGTGGCATTCTATTAGACAATCCCTCAGCCAATCGGTAGTCAGGGATGTAAAGTAAGGCTAAGGGTTAAAGGGCAGAGGTCATAGTGGCATCATGGGATTAGTTCACAGCACAAGCCCATGCAGAACATGCAGTTAGCAACTCAGAAGCAGATGTTGTGGGAGAGCAGAGGAATGCTTTATCTACCCTTTCCTAATGGAAGTAGAGATGGATTGCTGGTTATTATACTGAAAAAATGCTAAAAGAATGAAACCAATTGGTGTTGGTGTGTGATGGTGAATTCAGCAGTGGTAGTGATTATTTAAGGTGCTGGAGACATACATGCCGAGAGAATATTTTAGTTCAGGTAAAAAACCTTGGAATGGATCCCTAAATTGAAGATTAAACAATAGATACAAGATTTCTAGATCATGCATAAATGATGTGAAATTAATTTCTCAAGATACAAGAAACTGACTCACCATTGTTACCTTTGTTCTGATCAGGGAGTGAATAACCAAAGCCCATCAGGTCTGTTTTTTGCTGAATTGAGCTTTTCCACTGTGGATCAGGAAGATCAACGGCCAGTTCGTGGATGCTGTTGGAATGCAGGATCTGGGTAGTGGCATACGGGGTGGCCTGTGTTATTTGGCTGGAACTATTGTAAGTGGTTTTGGTAGTGAAGTCAATGCTGCTATAAATGGCTCCATCTGAAAGCATCGTTGCTGTTTTATCCCCTTGGCCTGGGACTGGCGGCAGTACATCTGCAAGGAGCATAGGGAAATGAAACTATTTAATGATGCACAGGGACCCAAACTATCAGCGCTGAAGATGAAAAATAAATGTGTCACACTGCGCGTCTACATTGCAGCCGAGATGGGTTTCATGAGCCAATGAAGGGGAGATGATATACAACTCTCGTCAGACCATCAACCCCAGTGACAGGCAGGCGCAACCCACGTCCTTCACGTCTCGCTGCTTACTACAGCTCTTCCCCATTGGCTTCGAGCACGAATTAGGAACCTGAGATGTGCCACTACTGACAAACATACTCAGTTGCTCACTTGGTTTTAAAGGCAGAGATACTGTTAGCCTTTACAAGAGTGTTGCTAAGAGGGAATATACAAATTAGAGACGAATACATCTCTTTCCACTTCAACACCAAAGACAAAATACATAGCTGTGGTACAGTTAAAAACGGCCCCAAATCATACTATCCTTACTATGAAATAACTTTTTGTTTTTCTTCTTGAGTTTTAACTTGCCATTTATTTTGCTTTATTTCAGTGTTGGAATTGGAGGATAACTGGAAGGAAACAGACTTCTTTTGGTGAAATAACAAAGGGAAAAAAATTCAAGAACAAGTCATTTTTACAAAGCAGAGAATTTAACTCAGAAAAAAAGCAGTCTTGGTGATCAGTGGGTTTAATTTGTGCTATCAGCTCTGAGAATCAGAAACTCTCATTTCCCACTGTACAACAACAAGAGTTAAATTAAACTTTAGGAATAACAATGAACATCAATCAGCCCATTTATCATTCGGGGATGTGAACTGATGCTTTGTAACTCAGACCTGCTCCCTCCCTCCTGAGCTTGTTTTCTCTTTTCAAATCAAAGACAACTGATGATTCTGCTAACACTGGTTTTAGACACTTAGAATTAATATCAGTCTGAGTATAGAGCCCCCCCCCAATACCTGTGCTCTACAAACCTTGCACCCTAGCTCTTGAAGACATCACATGACTTGATTTTTTCATTATACAAACATTTTCAACTCTCATTATTTTTTTTTTCTTTTTGGTTTTTTGAGACAGTGTTTCTCTGTAGCTTTGAAGCCTCTCCTGGAACAAGCTCTTGTAGACCAGGCTGGCCTCGAACTCACAGAAATCCACCTGCCTCTGCCTCCCGAGTGCTGGGATTAAAGGCATGTGTCACCACCACCTGGCTCAACTGTCTTAAAACTTAGACTTGATGACTCTTAACGGTACTTGAAATGGAGATTTTTTTAATTAGCTTTGCTTTTGTAACTTATGATAGCTAGGGAATTTGTCTTTGTAACAGAAAATTTATAATTTTGTACACCAAAAAAAATTTCAGTTCCCAAAGGTTCTGTGTCCCCAACTCCTCCAGTCTCTTTACGTTAAAGTGTATTTTACTTTACTGAAGTAAATATCTTAAATGAAGATCAGTGTGGTTGTTAACTACCTTCAAGATTGTAAAGTTCTCTGGGTTATATAAACAAGTGAAAATGTTTTTTAGATTTTAGATTTGTGCTACTTTCTTATCCTTCTAGTTTTTAACTGCAAACTAATTAACATTTAAATGTTAGCATTCTTTTACTCTTAAACTTTTTATGTTTGATAATACTAGTTAGTAAAAATAATCCCATGAAGGAGTTTTCAGAATTTTCCTTCCTTCTGCTATTCATTCATGAACATTAGTTATCTAGAATGTCTCAGCAACATTCACTTATCTTGAACCTATAATTCACCAATGTTACAGACTTAGGTTAAAGGACAGTTTATTTGTAAACTATTGAAATGGTTTTTCGTTTGCTTGATTGGTTGGTTGGTGTCCAAAGGGTAAAAAAGGGTGAAAGAGTAATGAACAATGACACCATAGGTAACATTACTCTGTTACCACACTGACCATGACTTTGGACACAAAACTGCTCCCTGTTAGGATAAGTTAAAGTCAGTCTACAAATGACACAGTACCTATATTGATTTTAGCAGCTGCATAGTCTTCATATATTACTTCATCACTATAATATATTCAATAATAAGTAGAATTACATCCTAATTGTAAAGATTGGAAGATTATTTGTGAATATTTGTACGTGGAAGGAAGTCTAATACTATCAGATGGTTTGGACCTCTGTGCCAGCTCTGTCGCAACAGGTTGCATCTGAAGAAACATCACCATATTGAGGTTGCGCTTCCCATTTTCCATTTCCCATGGTTCCCAACAGTCTCTCCTTAATGCTTTATTCTGTATGGCTCTTGTTAACATTGTCATTGAAATTTGTGAATTGAAGGACTACTACCCTGTAGATTGCATTTGCAATGAATGCAGTTTAGAACATCTTGGTTGTGTTTATATTTATGAATCTACTTAGATACTACTTCCTTATTTGTGTGAATGACTCCCTTCTTCACTGCATCTTCAATTACTTGTGGGAAAGTTTCTTTTGAGATTTATGTCTTCCTTTTGATAAATCCTCAATCCAATGACATGAAGAGAGAAAACACTTGTTAATTAAGTGACCTAATAAATTTTTATTTTTATCTTGACAAAAGGTAAAATTATTTGCTAGTGAGTCACTTTATTATTTAAGTTTCTCTTTCATCTATATTCAAACATATTTTGGCATCACATTATTAATGGGAAAATCTTAATGCGTGTAATAATTCTTATAAATGATTATGATTATGTGGTCACACTTGTAAATCCACATGGAGAAAACAGCATAGTCTAGTTAAAACATTTGAGGCTTTAAAAAATTGATCTGATCTGCTTTCTCCATTCAGATCCAAAGGTACCCATCTTCATTAAGTGTATTGTCTTAAAATTTAAACTAAAAATATTGTTACTTATTTTATAACTTTATAAAATTTAATACATATGAAAATACTATATGATCATTTTCCTACATAAATAGTAAATGTTTAAAATCTCTAACACTGAAAGGAGACAGAGAAAACATTGCAAACCCTTTAAATTGACCTTGAAAGCATCTTGAAGTGTTTCTCTTCACAAAAATGAGGTGGCAATATACATGCAAATCTCCATATATATACTTTGGTTACATTGGAATAAGGCATCTGAGAAATTAATGGAGCTTGCCTAACAGAGTCATAATATTCTTTGTGTATGTGTTAATCGAACATGTCAACTTGTGAAGAGGAAGCTAGTCCTGGTCAGGAGAAAGCTTTAGAAACCAAACTTAATTTTACAGTGTAGGTTGTGGAATTTTGGGTTGCAGAGGGTATTTGGATGTGTTCAGGCACAGACATTTGCCATGCTATTTTACACAGAGTTGGAAGCTGAACAGTCAATCAGACAGTTTGCCTGCCATTGTCATTTGTAACCTAATGGTACCTATTACACACTGACTATATTCTATGCTTGTGCCATGGGAAGAGTAAATGTTCGATATATCTATCACATTGAACAAAGAGATGCAGCAAAAGGTCTCTCCTTGATATCCATTCATTCAATTGTCGGTATAGAATTACTTCTTCTACCTCTATTCAAAGAAGACTATTTTTGGGGAAAGAGTATGTTTACAGCAGAACATAAAACTCACAGAGATAACAGTAGCATCCAAATTTGAAAGTATTAGCATCTGCTCAGCGTGATGACATCTTTCGTTTGTAATATCCGTTATTGACCACAGAACTTTGGAAGTCTCTTTCTGAACATCTCTCATTTACTTAGTTATCTACTACTCTTCATAGATATATTATATGATGGTAAGGACATCTCTTTCTGTTTATTATTTATACTCTTCATTACTCCCATACTGNATATATGCTGATTAGGATAGAGAAGGTAAACTAAGTACAATATCGAAGCTCTTAGTTTCTGGTTTTATGATTCTTGTGAGAATATTTGAAAATTAAATGCTCAGTCAATATTTTTTCTTCTCAATTATTAATGATTTCCTTAAAACCTAAATTTTGCTTAAAGAGATATAGACATCCAAGTTTTCTCCTAAATTTTTTAGCAAAGAACATCATTTTTGCTATATGTTTTTCTTGTCCTACTTACAAGAGAAATTATTCTTTAAAATATTTTTTAATTATGAGTATGTGTGTGTCTGAGCATGTGTGAGTGCAGTTATCATTGGCCTCCAGAAAAGGATGCTGGAATCTCTAGAGTTGGAGATACAGGTAGTTGTGAGTTGCCTAGTTTGAGTACTGGTAACCAAACGAGTCCTCTGAGAGACCATTAAGTCATTGTTTTTTCCACTGAGTCACCCAACCAGACCTGAAAGGAGACATTTATGATGTGTTATTTTAAAATTCTGAAGTCAGCAGGATGGCTCAGAGTCATCAAGCCACTAAGCTTGACGACTTGAGCTTGACCCCAGGGGCCCACACAGTTTAAGAAGAAAACTGAACTGGGCAAGCTTCCCTCTAGCTAGTCCATGTGTGTTTGTAACCACATATTTTCTTACATGCATGCAAAACAAAAATATAAAATGCTTAGAAGAAAACTAAACTAAAATAAAAATTCCAGAACACCAAACTAACAATAGACACCCCAATAATAAATAATATTATTTTGAAACACACAACTTACCTCCACGCCCAAAATTTCCAATTTCGTTTGGGCCACTATTGCTATTGTTTACTGGCAAACTCGTGGCTGGCCATGAGTCAGCAAGCCATGGGTAATTGGGGTCCCCAGCATTTAGAAGACCTGGACGGCTGAGACAGACATGAAATGGAGATTAGCCTGTGGGCTCAGAGAAGGAATTTGACATCTTCCTTACACACTAAAAAGGGTAAGGAGATATAAGGTTTTAATTGACTTTAAATTAAATTGCAAGTGCTCTTAAGAAATAAGGAACCTCAATAGTTCATTAAAGTTATACATAGATCTTCTCTGTCAGTGGAAGCGAAGAGGCTTTGCCTGAGACTCTGCCCACATACAAATGAAATCAGTTGTTCACCCTGGAATCAGAAGAATAGGGCGCATAGCAGCACCACGAGACCAAGCTCCATGGCAAGCTGACATCTCCAGGGAACAGTTCCTCTGAGAAATTGCTTTAGATCTGCTATTTCCCAAGAACTAAACTACCCAGTCCTCATTTCTGTAGCTGCCAATTGAATCTGTTTTGTCTAGGTAGGCACCCTTACACAAAGATCTCATACCTGACTGGGGGCAAATAGCTCAAGCCAAATTAATGAAGATTACTTTTAATTTTCTACTAATAGTACATTTCTACGTTTCTCACATTGCAAAATAAGGGCTAGTTAGGGGTTTTTAAAGGCAGTATGACCCAGTTATATGGCCCCAACACCTTACCATATCCTGTGAAGGAAACTTTTTGCCTGTCACATTTAATAAGGAGTGACATTATTTAATGTAAAGATGGAATTCTGATTCCTTTCCAGAATATCAGCATATTTGCAAAGAAATAGATCACCTATAATTATTGCACTTTTTTTTTGATAGACCCCTTCTGGTACAACCCCTAAGAGAATCGTAAGTTTCTATGGAAACTGCAATAAGAAGATTCAATTGCTTTTTGCTGTATCTGCTAGCTCTCATTAGACTTAATCTCTTTTTGCTAAAATATTGATTAAATGGGAGATTGGAAGTTATTACCAGAGCCTAATTACAATCTCCATATTGGCAAAGGGAAAATAGATGAGGATATATGGGTTTGTTATCAGCTTTTATCAATTTCAATTGAGTATCCAAAGTTCTGGAATCCAGTCCTATCAATCTACAGCCTATTCATCATCCATGAATCATTTACTTTGTGATCGATTATGTGTAATTGTTCACCCACAGCAATTTAGTGAGAGCCAATAAGGAGTCTTAAACAACAGCAACTTCATTTGCTAATGTCTAATTAATGCAATAAACATCCTGCTAACAAATGAACACATTCCTTGTGATATTTACTACTAATTTCTTCAGGGGCATCTGGGAGATATGAAACATCTGGACTTGATTCCTCTAAAGTGCACAACAGATAGATCATTAAACCTTGTGGTAAGCCATTCAATTCCTCATAGAATTCTAAGATGTATAAGTGATCGTTTATTACAATAATAGCTGTTCACTACAGAATTTCCCCAGTACTGATTAAAAATAATAATAAAAAGAGACTCCTTTGCATACCTCCCATTGCTCATGAGTCCTCCATCTCCTCTTTGAAATGTTACTGTAATAAAGGAAAGACATACACACATAGTAGTCAGTGTTAATCACAATTAATAACAGCTACCTATTGGACCTCAGTGTAGAGGTGAAGACCAGGAATTCCAGCACAGTATAATTAATGAACTTATATAGGTAGTGACAAGCAATGGCTTGGTTCAGTGCAAAGTCATCACTTGGGCTAAACTAAATTGATTGCTTTAAGATTCTTCAAGTGAAAAGAAGAGTTACAGTGGCCATTTGTATCAAGGTGTCAAAACTGTTACAAGTGGTGTATATGTGTTCTTGCTGGAAGGAAGATACAGCAATAATGTGGAATTACCAAATGTAGTCATTTATTCCCAACAAGAAACTGTCTTATTAAAACAAATCATACAAAACTATACATTGAAGAGAACTAGTACTCTTCCATCTGGTAATATGCTTCCAATAAAGCCACAAAGAGTATTGATCACACATTTCTGACCATCACAAATCACTTCAGGTATACTTAAAAGCATTATTCATTGAACACTTACAATTACGGTAGACATAAACTACTTTTAATGTGTGTTACTATTCTCATGACAATACTGTTTGCAAATAGTTGATACTGAATGGATTCCTGGATTCCAGTTATGTGTAAATATCTCAATTTTCTCTAATGCTGAGGGACTTATTAAAGTAAACACCAAAAAAAAAGTCTAGTAGAATCATGAACATGATTCTACTTTCCAATTATCATTTCCACTTCACAAGCCAGAACCATGAAAGTAGACCAACGCAGTAACCAAAGAGTTGAATATCAGTCCAGTTCCATTATTGCTTTCTGAAAATGGGTTAGGTAAAAATGTATTTGAGCTTTACAGTGATTTGTACAGGAAGTTACATTCCTCACAAAGGGTTTAGGGACCCAAGGCTGAGGAAACTCAATGCCGCCTAATATTTCTGCCACAAAAGTGAAAAGCCAAGCATAGCAGAGTAAAATATACACATAGTTGCAAGTTTGTTGGGATCAAAGTTTGTCACTAAGTTATCAAATTTTCTTTTTATGTAAAAGATATTTTCTTGAAAAAGTTTCCAGAATGCAGAAGTGTTAGAATCTTATAATTTGGACCCAAATCATTACAAACCAGCTCAAGCGATAAAGGGTGATGATGGGTATAAAATGAACACCATATTTTGTCTTTAGATGACACCTATTATGTTTTCTCTGATTTGTTTTTGGTAAACATGAAAATATTTTTTTAAAGAATTAAGTAGGATATAGTCTCCAAATGTATAGATAACTTTCACAATTTGGAAGTTTTCCATGACTTGTCATTTGCTTGAGGTTCAGAGCAAGACTAAACCACTCTGGAAATGTTGCAGTTTCCTAATACAGTGCAGCAGACTCTCCTTGACTGTTCTCTATTTGGTAAAATTATCATCATTAGGAAAGAAAATTTAACTCCAAAGGTCTACAATACATAAAGCCTGATGTGTGGCTCTCAGAAATGTACTGTATGGACCACACATACACTGCCTTCTCCACTTTAACCTCGCAAATGTGCTATGAAGCCATCCTGACATAACCTTTACATCTGCCCATAACTAGCTACTCAAAGACGATGATACCACTCACTGCTCCGCTTAAAGGCTTAAAATTTGGTCTCAGGTGTACAACTCTACCATATTGTACCCAGTTGTTAATTGATTTTTTAACATAAATGAATTAAACTATAACATTCAATGTAAAAAAAATGAGCTGTGATTAGTGGAAGGTATTAGATAAAAGCCTAACATATAAAAACACATGTGAGCATAGGCATGCACACACTGACAAAAAAAATGGCAACAGTAAAGATGATTACCAACCACTTATTTCATGAATTTTACTAGCTGTGAGGTTTATAATAGAATATTAATTGCTAAAATAAATTTAAGACAATGCTGTAACATTGTAGGTGTGCAAATAGGCAATGTTTGATGGACTACACTTCAAAAGTGATGCTCAAGGGATGCACAAGAAGCCAAATAGTCCTGCTTAAGATGATGCTCTTTTTCCTCTTTTTGTTATTACCAGATTATAAATATAAGAGAAAAAGAGACAGTCTAATCAGAGACATGAAAAGCGTCCAATGGCAAAACAAAGTTTTATGATATAATACTTAGAACCTAAACATAATGATACCATTAATTAAAGCTAATTTTCAGTGTTTGAATGCTATGGTAAACTATATTTACTAGTAGGAACTAAATTTTAAGTATGATATTCAAAGTGATTAATATTGTACATTCAGAAGATTTTTTTTCTTTTTGTATCTCAATCATCATTTAAATCTTTCTTAAATTGGTCTAGATTGGCATTGGGTGTCAAAGATCCCATCAAGACATATATCCCTATCTTTATAAAACAATTACAAAACAGAAACATTCACAGAACATTATGTAATTACTTGTGTAACCTATAATATCCTCCACACACACAATTTGGTGGATGTGAAATTCTTCCAATTTGAATACTTCTGTCAAGAGAATGGAGAAGAAAGGAAGAGGGAATGATGACACATGTGCCCATATGTCTTATCATAATAGCATTGATTACTTGTCTTTTTGAGGGGGAAGCCTGCCTCATTGTGTAGACCATGCTGGCCTCTGCTCAGACATCAGCCTGGCTCTTCTTCCATTGTGCAGACATTAGGTGTTTACCATTAAATCCCGACCCTAGTTTTTCTATTTAAAGGAGGGTGGAAAGAGGACAATAAATTTCCTTTATAGCCTGTGATCTGATTTGAAAACAACAAAAGTAACAGCTTTAATAGATAAACAGAATAAAAGCAAATGACAACTTATAAACACTTGGAATTAATACAATGGAAACTGTGCATGATCTTTTCAAAGCAATTTTAGGAGTTGTACAGAGGGAATCACAGTAAAATAATGTCATTTCCAATCAAGAGCTGCTTTGAGGAAACTCTAATTTCAAAGAAATATTTGCCTTGATGTGGAAAAACCTGGGATCAGGAAAGAGAATTCATGAGCATTTTCATGTCACTGTTTTTCTAAGCCCGGGCCACTTTGTGTTCATCTGAGATAAAATTGAAGAGACCTTGACTGCGAATGAGGAATTTCTTCTAGCATCTGAATATAAGAACTTTTGGGGAGCAACCTATAGAAGCTTCAGACATGAACATCTAAAACGTTTCAGAATTGCATTAAGTATTTGAACTTATTTTGCTTTTCATGAAAGTCGGGAGGGAGATTTTCCAAGTTTCTGTCAAATACAGAATAATTCTGTGCTTTTAATATCACCTGTGGGAATTAATCCTGTGGCATGTCTGCTAGAACTGGGGGGTCAAAGGGAAGAAATGGAACTGTGAAGTATATTGACATTTTGAAGTAAAGAAGCTTCCAGAGCGCCTATCTCTAGTAGGTCACATTTGCCTACTCCAAATGGAAACTTTTATGTTTCAGTCAAGCCTTCTCCCCCTTCCTGATAAGCTCCTACTCAAATATGAATGCATTAGTTTCCTTTTAATAAGCATTAACAAAGCCTACATAATCAGACTATAAAAATTCCATCAAATCACTGAACAGCACTTGCAGAGTCTGCCAAATATTTTGATTTCACCATGTTTTAAAAATCCATGCATAGAGTATTTACGGTGTTATAATGTTCTCAATCATGTTAAATTGTTGGTATCTACCAAGCTTTCTAAAATATTGTTCTTATAGATAATAGTCACGTAATATAATCTCCTCTTTAAAAGTAAACCAAAGCTCAATTTTCTCAAAATTTAATTACTCCAACAATTACAAATTAAGAAAAATAAGGGCTAGAGAGATGACTTGGTGGTTAAGAGCACTGGCTATCCTTTCAGAGATTTCCAGCTCAATTCCTAGTACCCACAAGGCATCTCACAACTGTGTGTAACTCCAGTCATAGGGAATAGGGATCTCATGCCCTCTTCAGTTTCCACAGGAGTTCAGGATTCAAATGAAGCACAGATAAACACGCAGGCAAAATACCCATATACATAATAAAAATAAATTAATAAAAATTTTACAAAGAAACAAATTGAAAAAATATAACATTGAATTATATGATATTGATAAGCATTATCCGGTTATACATGTACATATATGATATATTTAAATCTATGGGACACACTTTTAATGATTTATTTATTTACTATGCAAACAGTGTTCTGCCTACACACCAGATCTCATTATAGAGAGTTGTGAGCCACCATGTAGTTGCTGAGAATTGAACTCAGAACCTCCAGAAGAACAACCAGTGCTCTTAACCTCTGAGCCATCTGCCCAGCTTGATATATTTAAATCTAAATCTATTGGTACTACATAGATTTGCTTCAAATTTTAATTGTTTGCTTTTTTAGCTATGAAAAGCTATAATTGTGACCATATGTTCACTTTATATTTAAAAATATCCAATATTTTCTTTGTAAATCTCTTTTTAAATTTCTCTCACTTTGCAGCATCTGAAGTTGTGAATGTTTTCTTGTAATCAGAGTCCCTTCATGCAGAGACAAGGAAATTGTCCTCCTTGGTAAAAATGAAGGTAAATGCAGCTACTTGTTTTAAATGTGTAAAAACTCATTCCATTTATAATGCGGAACAGAAGGACCTAATGAACTACAATTGTCACTTGTGGGTTTATTTTACACATAGAAGCATGAGCAAAACTATGCTGTGCATTTGTGTCTGAGAATTTAAGTATGAGAAAAATACAGAAAGAAACATGGCAAAATGAGGATCAATTCTGCACTAAAAGTCCCCTGCTTTTGTCTGTGCAGAGAAGCAAAACGTGTTTAGACCAGCTTTTTCTGCAGGATGGTTTGAATGTATTAGTTTGTATTTGTTTCTGGATATTTGATTATACAATGGAGATTTTGTCCTTTAGTTTACTTTAGCAAATGTGTTAAATTTGCTGGTCCCCAAAGAAAATTATAACCACCAGGTAACAGAGTGTTTCTTTGTTTGGTTGGTGTTTTCTCTGCTCAAATTTTACAAGAACAATTCTGTAATAAAAAACAAGATCCTGGGTCTGAAAAAGCCTGGGTCAAAACTGGTCTCGCTGAACATAGCGGACAAGGAGGACTACTGAGACCTCAAGAACAATGGCAACGGGTTTTTGATTCTACTGGACCTAGTGGTTTTGTGGGAGCCTAGGCAGTTTCGTGGATGCTCACCTTACTAGACCTGGATGGAGGTGGGTGGTCCTTGGACTTCCCACAGGGCAGAGAACCCTGATTGCTTTTTGGGCTGACGAGGGAGGGGGGCTTGGTTGGGGGAGGGGGAGGGAAAGGGGAGGCGGCGGTGGGGAAGAGACAGAAATGTTTAATAAATAAATAAATTAATTAAAAAAAAAAAAAACAAGATCCAGAGTACATATAATGAGAGACAGTAGGCGCTTTGCCTGTATAGTGTGAATGAAGGTATTCTGCCAGACTTGGTGTCTCACCCTGCAAGCTATTTTTGTTCTCCACTAATTAGTGTCTTTCTATTTCAGACTTCCAGAGACTAAGAATAGACTTGGGACAAAGGTGTAGGGAGGGTGCTTCAGTCAAACCTGACCTGCTCTATATCGTTTTTTTTTTTTTTTTTACCAATTTAGTTTTATTTAAAGTCTATAATCCCAAATAGAGGGAATATATCAAACTTTTCACTGTATTTTCATTGGAATTTGAAAAAGAAAGTTATATAATAATCTAAGAAGTGGTTCTACATTGACTTGATTTGTTGAGTCTCTAATTATTAGAGAGCACAAAGACATAAACATGAGCGGTCAAAGCACCAGCATCAGCATAAAGTCATGTAGTGGTGAAGCAACAGAAACTTCAGAAATATCATCTTGTTTGTGAAATCACATTGCTTTAATTTTATCTGTTCTTGTATTTATTACTTCAAAATAACAAATTTCGAAAAGAATTTTTGATGAAAAAATATAAAAAAGACTAACACAGCCTATTTATAATTAATATAAAACCCTTTCAAGAAAAATGATCCATCAGTAACTCTCCTTTTAAAATGGGACATCAGTGCATTCATAGGAACCGTAATTACAAATGTGTGGGAACATGTACATCACTATCAATTCCTTATTAAAATCGCATATCCCCAGCTTCTGTAAAGACAAGAATGGAAAAATTGAAAAAAAATAGAGGGTAGGTGAGTAAGAACGAAAATATAGAGAAGGTATTACAACCCAGATAGGAAATGCTCCTTCTCTAGGATTGGCAAATCTTCATTTGCTTCCCACCTAGGAGAGAACAGCAATTGCTATAAGGCAAGTGACAACGATAAAGGACATCTATCCTCAGCCATCCATCAATTAGGTATTAAAGCCTTGAAAGGCTTCTCTCTGACTTGGCCTTCTTCCAAATACCTGAAGGGCAAGTGCAGTCTGAGTTAGCAGTTCCCTTCCAAGCTCATGGACATCAATCATGAGTCATGAGAGCACGAAATGGAAAATCCTTGTCAAGCTCAAAGACCAACAGATATTTTCAAATTAAGTGTATAAGTTTTTGCAAAGAATTGCTATGAGAGACAGGAAGAGATGTCTGCCTGATGTAATTGTACTGAAAGTGCAAACTACAGCCTGCAAGAACTCTTGCATTGCTCCGGCATGAGCGACTAAAGAAGAATGCAGGTTACAAAGGTACCATTTCACAAGTGAGTACATCCGGACTTCTCATTAAAGTGACTTCTAAGCTTTATCTTCTATTATTGCCACTAAGTCAATTGAAGTAATAAGACTAAAATTGTCCTTGAGTTATATTGGGCCTACCTTATGTTTCATATGATTGGTATGAGCATGTCACAGGAAGACATATATAGCTTAATGACAGATGAAGCCAGTTGGATGATTGACAATATCTACAGTGCTGAAAGTAGAGGGCTGGATTGCAAAACTGGCATTGAAATACTGTTGAAATTCAAGACTTTGCCACCCATTAGTTGTTACTAACCACTGCTTTCTGGGAAGGATCTCTAATCGGTGAAGTGTAACACTTAAATGACAAAGAGTAAAGAAGCAGACAGCTTTGACTACTGTAAAGTGATATTGGGAAACTTCTTGTCAATGGATATGATCTTCTTTTTCTAGTCTTATTAGTAACTAATACTATACATTTCGTATGTTATAGACATAAGAACAATGCTATAGTCAAGTTGCCATGTTTAATGTTGTAACACAGCAAGAAAGACAAGATGCATTCTTTGCATTGTTCTACTGTTAAGATATTCTATTAAATTTCCATTTCAAGCATACATACTTTAATTACTGAGTTTGTCAGAGAATTTATCAGTTAATAGAAGATTAAATACAGTATCTCAAAATATTTCAAGTGTTCAAAGGATAAAATAAAATTGCTTCTTTGAAATTCTACTGAGTGTGTGCTTTTGGAGTTAGTCTACTTTCACTGCCGTTAGAGAAAATAATTCAAAGTAACCACAATATAAATTGTAACAAAATAGAGCTTCAGCACTGAATTCATTCTTTCAATCTCTGGCTATGACGTTAGTGTCTCTCTCTCCCCCACTTCTGGACTCTATCTCTCTTTCTCTTTCTGCAGCTGTCCCTAACTCATCTATCTCTCATTCCTTTTCTACATCCGTCCCTAACTCATCTATGTCTCTTTCACATCCAACATTCTTGAGAAGCTCTCTTGCATTTAGCAACACGAATACTAATTTTGGAAATGTCATAGAGCATCTCGGGTCTCTTTCCTTTCTTTTTTTCTTTCTTTTTTTATTTTTTTTTTTTGCAACTATTTCGGTATCTTTGCTCTTCCTTTTGCTTCCTTCTGTTCCTCCTTTTGAAAATGTTGTTTGTTCACACTGAAATAAGTGCCCATTTTTGCTTGTTTATCTGTTTTTTTCCCCATCTGGGATATTTCCTAGTGTAATCTGCATTGTGACATACTGGAAGCTGATTTTCAAATCTTCTTTTCTGAGCATTTTAATAACTTTCTTGTCTAAATACACTTCTCAAAAGATGTCTTTATAGATTCCAAGTTTTGTGTGTGTGTATGTGGTTTTTGAAGAACTAGTTGAGAAAAAAAAAAGTAGCTGAGCATTTTATCAGTGTCTCCTCTCGCTATGCTTCACTGGAGATACAAGCAGAAAGCTTGCCTGTGGTCATAAACCGATATGGTCAAGAGCAATGCACTGAAACATGTTGCTTATAATTGCATTTTACAGAGCGGGTTTTTATAACAAGCCCAAATCATCCATTTGTTATTCCATTCCATTTCTTCCTCTCATCGCATTACATTCCAGAAGATAAGAGGTTTTTATAGTCTCTTACCAGCATAATTGCTGAGCCCCTTTCTCTTCTTTCTTCTCCAATACAACCAGATGCTAAAACCCATCAGAATTACCCAGCAGGCACCACCGATGCCAGCTATAAATGCCGGTTGCTTCACAACATCAGTTATTTGCTCAGTTATGCTGTTATTGTTTTCTGTAATAACAACTTCGTTGCGTCCCCCTATGGAAGGAAAAATGATGTCGATAAACATTAAGAGAAATGATTGCAGAAATACAAACACCATACCATAGGCATGTCCTTTTTTTAGCTCAGTTGATAATAGTTTTGTCCTGAGGCTGTCAAGATTACTGATAAGAACATTTTAAGTTTAAAAAGAAGTATGGAATCAATTGTTGATTAGTGTCATTAAGAATGTTACTTACTTTTAATTTTTCAAGTACAGGTTCTAAAACACCTTCAGATTTATCATATTATAAACATTCATTGGAACAACTACTAGCAGCTGAAATGACAGGTATTTTTCTTAAACAAGGTAAAGTAATTTTTTTATCAAATTTCCCATAACACAAGTACTTGTTCATTGCTTTTTTGCTCCAGTTTTGCCTATTTTGATAGGCATAATTCACAAGATTGTATAATTTCATAAAACCGTCAATGAAATCAAAGATGTAAACTTTGATTTTTGATGAGGCATGGAATTCTCTGTATAGAACAATAGCAAATATGAAAACATTAATTTATGGAGTTCAGCATGTATAATTAAAACATTAAGAGATTCCAAATTTTACCCACTCCCTAAGAGCCATGAAGAGTTACTTGACAATTGGGCATTGAGTCAAGATGTTGAATGTTGAGAAAATTTAGACCTCTGAAAATCAGTTGAGCAAATCCCAATCCATACTTAATAGGTTATGGACTTGGAAAATCATAATGACACTGGACAACAAGGATTTAGATGTATTTAAAAGATTTTTAAAAACTTAAAAAATGAGAATCAAATGAATCTAATGTCAATATCATTTTTAGTTAGTATAAATCAAGAACAAATGAAAGGTAAATTGCACACAAAATATAAAAGGGGCAGCCCAGCAGATCACATCATAGGAACCTTTTCAATTGTTTTGGCAAATGCAGCACTGTTATGTTAGAAATATGATATATGTTATATAACTTATGATATATTTTATATGTCCTTGAACAGATAAACTCTCCCTGCTACTTACTAATAGACCATAAATTCTAGGCTTCTGTCAAGACCTTAATCTGTATGGTGCTGATTCAGATCATTGGCAATGTTACTATTGTTTTTCATATATTTTGGATTCGTTGTGGTGATCTTTCATCTTTCCTTCTTCCTTGCTTCCTTTCTCCCTCCCTTCCCTTCTTTTGGTGAGAACTTTCCTTTTCATACTCTAAAATGCAGTTGTACAATAGACTCTTAGGCCAGTAGTTTTTAAAGGAGTCTTCCTTCTCTTAAAGACACGTGTCGAATCTTGAGATACATGCCAAATCTCAGAATATCTGGGGTTGTCTTAACTGACATGATTTAGGAAATTGGAGTGCTCCCAAAAGCCAGATCAAGCACTCGGGACAAGTCCTGATCCCACTGCCGGGAAGAAGACAAACAGACCAAGCTACACAACTGTCACACACATGCAGGGGCCTAGGTTGGTGCCATGCAGGCTCCCTAGCTGTCAGGCTAGAGTCCATGAGCTCCCGCTGGCTCAGGTCAACTGTCTCTCTGGGTTCCCTGTCATGACCTTGACCACTCCCCGCTTCCCAGTTCATTAATATCTGTGGGAGGTCTATCCCTTTTATTAATGGAGATTGAGAAGTGAATGGGGTGGGGTAGATGGGAGGCAGTGGGGGACAAGAGGAGAGGAGGGAGGGGAAACTATGGCCGGTATGTAAAATAAATGAGTAAAGTTTATAAAGAGAAAAGAAACGAAGAATGTTGCTCGTATCTGGAAACCACTTGCTGTACAACACCTCATACATAAAACCATTACAAATCAAAGTATGATCAAAACCACATAATTGCAGAATTTGAGACACAGAATGAGAACACAATAGTATGAGAAGCTTCTATGGAAGCTAACAGGAGTACAGCTTTGTCCCACGTGATGTAGAGAGTTACATTAAGTCTTTCACTGGTTTTTTTTTTAGACCTGTCAGGTGAAATGCTTAAGATTGAGGCTCCTGAAAATCCTTTTAGTCTTTGCTTCTGGGACAGAAAATTAACAAACATTCCTGCATCCTCCCTGCCATCCAGTGGTCGGTAGCCTGGCGATGACTCACATGCCTCCAGCTGCACCCCATAGTAGTGGGTGGCAGGGCTCTAGTTTCTTCCTCATTCCTTGTGTATCAGAAACCAGTGTGTGCTGTAGGCCATCGTGTCTTTAAGAGACAGAGAAGCTCTTGCTAAAAGAATATAAACTGCTGAATGACTATGGAATAAAAAGCCAGACAGCATTCTTCTAACCACTGTAACATTGGGCTATGGAGAATCAACAAAATATTTTAATTTAGTAAATCAAACTGCAGGCTTCTTTATTATAACGGCTAGAATTTTCTTACACACACACACGTAGGTATACAAATATATGTGTTATTTATATGTGTGTGTGTATGTTTATATACATACACTCAGGGATGTGTGTGTTTCATTACTGAAAAGTATTTGTGGTTTTTCAGGTTTAAAATAAATTAAATTACACAATAAATTTTTCTTGTCTGAAATATATGCACCTTTAGATTTTATATGTATAAAAGTAAAAAGCTGTATTTTAATAACACATTTTCAGTATGTTATCTGGTGACTCTTTTCACTGTAGACTTACTAAAAGGTCCCCAAACAGAAAATAAACAAACAAAACAAGAACTCCCCACAGCCTGATAAAGTATAGAACAAAGACTAAGAGGAGATTTGCACTTTTTAAGGCGGGTCCTTAAAATGTTGTTATTTAATATTGCACAGCATTTTCTGAGCCCCAGTACATTATTTCTTCTTACACTGATAACTTTTGAAACAATGTTGTCAATTGTCTTGAAAGTAACACAGACAAGGTGGTGTGACCACTATGTTCTATTGTTCTTGCAGAAAAAAAAATGGAATGAAATGTAATACCTTCCTCCCATTGGAGAGTAATGAAGAACAAAAGTAATTTGTTAGATAAAGACTTAATTAGACACATCAGAATCAATTGTACCTATTTTGGTGAAATTATGTAATTGTATTGATGATCACCAACTCCCAGGAAGAGTATGAAAGATGAATACTTTAAAAATAGTTTTATTGATTTCTCTTTCTACCTTTTCAACTTCTGTCTGTTCATTGTGGCTTTGTTGTTGTAACTTAATACGACCTACATGAGGCTTGTACTAGTAAAGTAAATTAAAGACAAAAAATAGTTTTATTATTAAGATGATTATTGCTATTTAAGGTACTATTTGTTGTGGATAGTTTTTGTTCATTTTTTATCTGTCGTTTTATTCTAAATTTCATGTGAAGCCCACTTTCACATTGCAAATTGCTAAAAAAAATAAAATAAAATAACACAAATTTCAATGCTATTTCACAGTATTTAAGGTACTGTATTTTTTTCACAACACTGAGATGAGATAATGGAAACTTTACACAGCCTGGCATAACAGCAGTCTAAAATTATGAACCATAAACTGCATCAAATGCCAGTGCACGGCTTAATTAGCAAAGGGAAAAGCAGGTAAGCTTGAGTTGCTTGTCATGCTGTTTCCAGTATGGAATATACAATAGGGGAAGCATAAATTGAAACAGAAAAGGAGATTAGACATCATTAAGCCACTATTCAACTGAGAACGAGCAGTTGTGTACAAAGGCTTATCAGACAAGATGTGAACCTTGATACGGGAGGATAATTAAAGAAACAATTAGGAAGTGTCTCAGGACAGCAGTAGATATTAAAAAGAGACGGATCTCTGGAGGACACATCTTTTCTGGGTCGAACTGGACTTGCACATGTGCATGTCCTCATTTCGGTTACTACACTGCTGGGTTCATGATTACCTCATAAGCATAGCACATTCAAATTACCTGAATACGATGCAGGAAAGGCATTGATAGGTTTCATTGTTTCTAAAAAAAAATTTAAATGCTTCTTTGATATGCTGAGATAGATTAATAGTTGTGATCAAAATCCAGTTAGGAGACTCAGTCTTTTGGATGTTATACACTTTGGTAAAACTTTGCAATTTATTTAAAATCATCTAAGTGAAATCCACTATTTTGCTATAATATAATTGCTCTGAGAAGAACTGCGCTCATCACAATACAGCATCAATTTGTGTAATGTTTCCTTGGTTCCAATAGAATCAGGTATTCAAAATACTGTGAGATAGACAACCACTAGGAAAAGAAAAAAACTCCATTGCTTTAAGCAATATATATATTAATATTTAAGTATATAATATTTTAGTAATATACATACATATGCATACATATATTACTAAGCAGAGCAGAAAAAGAAAAGAAGACACAGGAGGGAATACAACTACTTGGCAGTCTTACTTATCTTCAGTAAGAAAAACTGTATTCAGTAAATCCAATTTATATTCATTTTCATTTTAGGGGTTTTCAGAAAGAAATATCCTTTTAATTTCATTTAAAGAAAAGAATTCTCACTGATCAACAATGATGCATTTAGAATTAAAACACACAGTGAAGGGAGATGTACTTTTGTCTTTTTCCACACTGTTTTGTCTGTTTTGAGACAGAGTCTCCATATGCAGCTCCAGCTGGACTTGAGCTCAATGTGCTAGTCAGAAACTCTTCGTTACTTTCTTCAGCCTCTATGGTACTGAGATTCTAGACTAGAGGTAGCTGGCACTACACCTGGGCACTCATAGTCTTAAAATAAAGGAAAAATGAAGTAAGAAAGACTTATTTCTAAACACTTTAAATAAAATATGTATTTATGCATACACATATTTATGTGAATATATATTTAAAACGTTTTGAGCGCACCTATATTTCTTCCTTATTCTAATTTATTTCATAAAAATCTCAGAAGGGTAAGTTTGTAGGTTTCCCTCAGGTTAAGGAATTAATTCAGTTTGAACAACTAATTAAGAAGGGAAAGGCAATTTAGAGAAAAGGTAATACTTTAACTTTTTTCTTCAATGCTATTCATTTAGCAAACAAAGAAAAGATGGGAAGTCTAAATCATTTAACACTGTGACTAAATATAAAGTCTGTTTCTGTGCAGAAGAAGAAATCATCACCCAGAAATTGGTACTGTCTTGTTTGCATATCATTTTATCATGTTAGAAAATAAGGAGGCAAAATGAATGCTTTATGAACTTTTGAGGAACATTTTTGATATATGTATACTTTTAAAAAATATTTTCACTATGATGTCAATAAGAGTGAAGAGAATTGAAAGGGCTTAATGACAAGCTGTGGTAGAGAAATCTTCATTGATGAGCTTTTGCTTCCTTTAGTGAGGGTTTGTTGCAGTGTAAGCAAGCCTGTGACCACACTGATAAACCTCAATGACATTTATATGGTATGTCAGAATACACAGCTTAGGATGCTTGAACAATAGAGAATTTAAGGGAAATCCACACTACACAGAATCATTTGAGGGTAATGATCACTAAGAAGCAATCAATCACCCCTGGAATCCTGAGGTGAATACTTAACTTTGCATTGAGGAATACTGAAAAGACCTGGTGCAAAGCAGAGGATGAAAGACAAAAGAGGGTGGCCAGCTAATATCCAGTCCAGAGAAGTCAATTCCTGATATTTGAGATCCATTCAGTTAGGGGCAACAGAAAGACTTACTAAATACGCCCGGGTTAAAACCGGTCTCGCTGAACATAGTGGACAATGAGGACTACTGAGACCTCAAGAACAATGGCAATGGGTTTTTGATCCTACTGTACCTATTAGTTTCTTGGGAGCCTAGGCAGTTTCGTGGATGCTCACCTTACTAGACCTGGATGGAGGTGGGTGGTCCTTGGACTTCCCACAGGGCAGGGAACCCTGATTGCTCTTTGGGCTGATGAGGGAGGGGGAGGGAAAGGGGAGGCGGCGGTGGGGAAGAGACAGAAATCTTTAATAAATAAATAAATAAAAATAAATAAATTAAAAAAAAGAAATTCCCAAAGCCCTTACTTTAGATTGAACATCAAACTGAGGTTGTAATCCAAGAAAAAGGACAAGATCTAAAAAACTCTCATACAAAGACCATGAAAATCAGTACGACATCTCAAATTCAAAATAAAAGTCAAATAAGGCTAGTTTGTGGGACAAACACAAACGTACTCTCACTGATCACAAAGGTCCAAATATATCATAACAAAGACCAGTATCCAGGAAAGTAGAGCCAGCCATAAAAATATAGACAGAGAAAAACAAACAAACAAAAAACAGTCAATGCAATATGAGCTAGGGGCAAGAAAGGAAAAACATTTAGTGAAAGTAGACTATTCAACATAAAGGTTTTAGAATCAGGAAGAAAATATTTTACATGTTGTATTCAAAATAATTTTGTTTTGTTTAGGGGTTTGCATATTTTTCTGACTGTTTGGGTGGGGCATACTCCTGCGATACACATGTGTAAAAATTAGAGAATAGCTTGTGGTCGTTGGTTCTATTATATGAATCCCAGGGGGAAAAAAATGCAGGTTATCATGTTTAGCAGCAAGCACTTTTATCTGCTGAGCTATTCTACCTTCCTGAGAAATAGATCTGAAAGAAGAAACTTCAATAAAAATAATATACAACCCATATAGACCGATGGAACTTAACGTAAAGGATGAAACATAATGCAAACACTTAAAGAGATGACCGGATAATAGTATTTAAAAACAAAGTACATTTCAGAGCAAGAAATCTCACAGTGAATTAAAAGCAATATCTGATGATGGTTGTGAAATAAGCACGCCAACAGGGTGTAAGTCTTAATCACCCAGTAGCAACTAGTTAAAAAAAAAAAAAGATGCAGACTGAGGGCGGGGGAGAGTGCTCCTTACACACTGAGGGCTGGGGAGAGATATCCTTACAGACTAATGGCTGGGGAGAGTGCTCCTTACAGACCCAGGGCTGGAGAGATGCTTACACATTTCACGATCTTGCTGCACAAGAGAGAAGACTGGAGTTCAGATGTTGAGAGTCAACATCAATGTTAGATGAACATGGAAATCCATCTGTAATTCTGGCACAAAGAAGGCAGAAACAGCATAGCCCCAGAGACTAAATTTATCAACATGCAAACTGTGGATATACAAGATCATGCTTCAAAGGATAAGACATAAGATTGATAAAAATTCCTGACATCAGTCTCAGGACTCCATACACACAGACCTGTACACACACATGTGAACATGCATACCTACCACATTCATATCTCGATAAGTAAGAAAATACCAAAAAATAAAAGCAAGGGCTTCTATACTTAAAAGGTGATGCACAAATGCATACTTATCATGTATTTCTAGATTCAATTTTTGTAATTATATTTGCAGAAGATAATTATATTTATATTTCATATGCAACAATCCAACATTCACTAAGATTAAATCACCATAATTACTATTGGCATGGATAGCATTGTGAAGTTAATAAATAAGGAAGAGACAACATTGGTCCTATCAAAACTCCTGAAGGATAAATAAAAATTAGGAAAAAAGACTACTTTATAAAGTCATTCACACTCATTCCAAAACTTGACCAAGACACAAAGAGATAAAATGACACAAGAAGGGAAAGAATAACCAATCTGTATCCTTCATTAATGCAAAGTTAAAATTCTTTACCACGTGATAATAAGTTGGATCTGGCAACAGACTCAAAGAGTATAATAATGATGGAGCAGAATTCATAACCAAGAATTAAAATATGATGTATCTCTTAAAAGTTTCAGGAGAATTTAGCATGTCAATAACAACAACAAAATGGAGAAAGAAATTTTTTAAAAGTTAATATATAATAAATATCAATGAGAAAAAGAGATTCCAAACAATGACGCAGCACAGTGTAAAACCCGTATCATACACTAAGAAAGTATATCAACAAAATATATAAAAGATCACATACTGAAAACTACAAAACACTGTTGCAGACGTCTGCAATGAAAACATGTATTATGTTCCTGGGAAGGACTCACTGTTATGCTTACTCAGGTGGACAAATACTGTCTTTGCAATTACATTTTCTAGATACTTTTGTAGAAACTGAGAATCTGATTTGAAAAGTATGTGTAAAGCAAAAATATCCACAACGATTTTGCAGAAGAAAATGATGACATCTTCATATTGCCCAGTTATAAAGACCACTGTAAACCACAGCAGTGACAACAGGGTAGTTTGTTTATATAACCAAATATAAACATTAGAAACCCTGAAACAGATTCACATACATTTATTATATTGGGGTGGAGTCAATAGATGCTGTCAATTCAATTTGATAAATTTATAGAATATTTAAGTCTCAGCCTTTCAACTTCATGCAATTACATAAAGATTAATTATAGATATAGGTATAAAAGCTAAAATTATAAAGCTTCCAGGATAGATTTAAAGTGTCCTATTTATAAATAAAACACAGTTTCTCATATATATATATGTGTGTGTGTGTGTGTGTGTGTGTGTGTGTGTTTGTGTGTGTGTGTGTGTAAATTTAAGAACAATATATAGGGGGCTGGAGAGATGGCTCAGTGGTTAAGAGCATTGCCTGCTCTTCCAAAGGTCCTGAGTTCAATTCCCAGCAACCACATGGTGGCTCACAACCATCTGTAATGAAATATTCTGCCCTCTTCCGGCCTGCAGGGACATATGCAGGCAGACCACTGTATACTTAATAAATAAATAAATCTTTAAAAAAAAGAACAATATATATAAGAAAAAATAGTAAATTGCCTTTCATTAAAATTTAACACTTCCTTATCAAAAGACACTATTAAAATAAATAGAGAACTCGTGGACTTGTAGAAAATTTTACCATAGCCCCATTCTTGTATGTGTGTATTTGTGTATGTGTGTGTGTGTGTGAGAGAGAGAGAGATTTCATTTAATATGCAAAAGGCCAAGAAATTAGCATAGATAAAGTTGTTTTACATCATTACCATGCAAGAAATTGCATCCAGTTTACACCCACTGGAATGTTTCCTATTACAGACTGGCAACACCAAATGGTGATGTTGCAGAGAAACTGCAAGTCCTCTTTGTGGTTCCCAGGAATCTCAAATTTTACAATTTCCAAATTGTTTACTGGTTTCAAGTAATGTTAAAAATGCGCAATTCTAGTATTTGTAAATTCTACTTCTAAAAATTTCTCCAAAGAAATGAAGGCTTGCGCCCTTGCAAAGGCTTGAAGAAAAATGCATATTCACCAGAGAGAAAATCTGATAAACAAAATAGAGCATAGTCATAGGATTCAACACCATTCAGTTACCAAGTATTTAAACTGTGTTAAAAAACGTGAAAGAATCTCGGAAAGTGTTGCTTGAGTCAAAAAGCAAACACAAATTGTCATGTTCTAAATAATTTCATTCATATACTTTTCAAGAACAGACAAACCTCACCAAGAGTGACAGGAAGCACTTTTTTTTTTTTTCAAGAATGTGAATAGATGTAGCATGAATTTCTGCCCTCAGGGGCATTACCAAGTTTTTTTTGGATTGCTTCTTATTTCGGTCTGCTCAAATGAAGCATAGAGCTTATTTTTCTATATTGTTATTGAGCCCCAATTATTAGTAGATCTATTGAATACCAATATTCTTTAGCCAACTAGCCAGCTTTTGATAAGAAGAATCAATGGGTATAGCTAGAAGATTATGGGACACATATACAAACAATTATTTGTGTGAATTAGTTGTAAGAACTGTCAAGTATCCTACTTGCCTGTACTGAGTGTACCTGTATGGGTCTCTCAGAAGAGCTGGCCATGGTCAAGATGAACACTCAAAACCACAATCTACCTTGCTGTCCACATAGAGACACTCAAGTTCAGAGTCCATAGCCTGATACTCACCAATTATTATTGGCTGTGGTTCACTTTTTACTCCGACCCCTGCACTTGTGCTAGCTGCCACTTCTACCCTGTATTGAATTCCAGGGAATAAGCCACCTATTACTACAGAACGAATAGCAGCATCCACAGTTTTGTTGATATGGAATCGCGTTTCATTTCCAAGACACCAGATCTATAGAAAAGAGAGTACACAGAGATAGAATGACATTTCTAATCTGACAATTCAACTATTATAACTGGATACATATACAGTGACTGACCAATTTTGCAGTCTTTTCAAACTGTTTATAAATGACATTTGTGGTCATTCTCTGTGCTTCGTGTACATTTCTGTGCATTTGAAGGAGAACAATATGACAAGCTGAAGCTCTGTCATGTTCTTTTACATCTCCCTATTATGATATGAGTTTACACTGAGCAATATAGAAGGCACAGTGACTCCTTGGTCATCAGGTAACTTATGGGCTATTTTAAATTTCATATTTGTGTACATAAAATATCATAGTTTTCTTTTTAATTTATCAAATATATATCCTATATATTATATGTATCCAATATAAATTTGTCAAAATTTATATTGTCAAAAGTATGTAAGTACATACCTAAGTAATTCATATTACATTCAGGAAAATATCAAGTTCAGATGTAGTTAACAGGATTAATTGATCTCAATTACAGGAATTGATCAAAATAAAATTAAAATAATAGTGATATATAGAGCAATATCACTAAATTTTAGTCTTTATCAAAATATATTTACACAATACACATGCATGAAACAAAATGCAGGAAGGATTCAGACACATGCTTAAGTAGCTAGGTTGTTATTTCAATATAAATTGAACTTCATGGGATGTGTTCCTTAGAGCTACAGAAATTTGTTACTATAAATGATTATGAAAGTTCTCAAGTATCTACATTTATTTTCTTATTATACAATATTTTACAATAAAATGCATATTCATGTGCATGAATGAATAACATTTGCTTTTGAAACAGGGAGTTCTTGTAAAATTTTCAGCTAAAGATGCCTGTGAATGGTTTATTTTGTTTCAATAAAGTATCTGCATGGGTGATGGAGGTGCACTTAGCCCTTATCTGAATGCACACTACTCTACCCATATATGCTAGACATATAATAAATGAAAAACATCATGCTGTAAACCATTGTTGCTATTTAATTAAGCCCAAGTTTAGAGTATTCAGCCTCGGATGATACAGAAACAAATCCCTGGCTTCTTTCACCAACACATACTAGTGCTTAACTTTGTAATATTCCCACAGGGCTGTCACACGCTATAACTTTACAATTGACTTAGCTGTGTTTGCAGAAGGACATCTATCCTTCCTAAGCATGGTTGCTTAAAATAGGATAGGGGTATTAAACAAAAATGTATAATTAACATATTTATTTGCAACACGAAGTTGACCGTTAATGTGACAAAGGTTTATTTTAATAGATTTTAGGAATAAAATTCATTCTGCACAATTTAGCATGAAATTATTCTGCCTATTTTTTTCATACCAGCAATGAATTTCTGAAGTAAAGTCAAATCTCCAGTTATTAATACTGGCTCTAGTTAACATGCTACTTTTCAACTTTTCAGTAGTAAGAAATATATATATATATGTGTGTGTGTGTGTGTGTGTGTGTGTGTGTGTGAAAAAAATAATTTCTTTGAATTTTTCCCAAAGTTTAATATATAATCACATCATGATTCAGCCAAAATTTCTCTGAGTCTTAAACTTCAATGATAGTAATAGACCAACAGGAATGCATGTCTTCTTTAGATTCCATTAGTTCAAAAATGAGACAACTACTTTTTGTTATTCTGTCAACAATTTGTTTCAGTGGCCTAGCGAAGGGGAGCCTCAATGTGAGTTGGGACAACAGTCCAGTTCCTTTCTTATCCATTTTAACTTTCTTAATCTTCAGTTCATCTCTCCTTGATAATATGGGCGAACTTGCTTGTAATGTGATCAGTTCTTCTACCTCAAGCCCCTTCTTCCATCATTCCCGAGCCCCAGTATACTGAAAGCCATCCCACTCTCCATTTTCCAACTGAGCTCAATGTGTCTGACCTTGATGTTAGGTTCTCATTCCCTGTGCCTTCTCGCCCTTTCCTACCACGCATCACAGTTTGCATCTGGGCCTTTAGAGACAGGCTCTGTTGCAGTGGTACTGAGATCTCTTGGTGTAGCTGCCCATGAGCCTCCTTCGTTAGACTGGCTTACCTTGTATTCCTGAATAATTCCATTCTGGTGGTCTGGAGGTGGAGGATCCCAGGATACACTGATGCTTGTGCTGTTGTGGCTTCCCACTGTAAGCACAGTGACGGACTGGGGAGGGGCACTGGGAGCTGCAGAGGAAACAGACTGAATGTGAGCAGTAACTTCTGGTAGGCACATGCTCACAGAACAGGAAAGTAAAGACCTTTATGGCTCTGCCTTCCAGTCACCCTGAATCTGCGTATAAATTTCAACAAGCGACAGTTTGTTAACAAAAGGTTTCCCATGTACATTTTAAAGTGGTGCAGCCAGTAGGGGTGTTATCCGTGCTATCACAAACTAAACAGCTACACTCAGGGTGGTTTTCTGTGCTTGGCAGTGTGCTGCCAGAGTCCAGTCTTTCTCATGACCTCAGGAAGCAGAAACAACTCAGTTCGCTTTTGAGCAAGGGGGCCATATTGTAAGATATTATAGGCGTCAAATAGTAAGTCAAAATTTCAACCCAGAGTATTTGATTTTAGAAGTTTGCATAAATCTTTAACACTTTCAAACATCTGTGTTTCTAGAGGAATACATAATTAATTGACTCAAATGTATTCTCAGATGATGTGTCCCAAAATGCAAACAAGCATTAATTCTAGGGGGAGGCATTTTTGGTGTTGTTTGGGGTAATGCTTACTAAGTAAAATAGACATGCAATTATAAATCTCACCAACAAAAATAATGCTTTTCTTTTCATACTGGGGAAAATAATTGACTATTAAGAACTGGCTTATAATTTAAGATTTAAAACATATTTTATGTGACTGGGTAAAAGAGTCTGCTAATAAAATTGAAAATGGGCTCATGTTGGGTCAGACGTGAAATGGAGTTTTTTTTTTTTTTTTTGATTTCCGAGAGTCATTCTCTTCCTTTATAGTTTCTCCTATAACTAATTACATCCATGCTGAGAAGCAATGAGTGAGAAGTGGTTCCTGAATTTAGATTGCTGGGTCTCCCATTCGGGGATTCCTAGAGCTAGGAAGCACTAATTGTGCAGAACTCAGCCATTCTCAGTGAACCTTTCAATTTAACTCAATGAAAAAAAAAAAAAGAGAGAAACATTGGAACATTTGGATAACAGTAAAAACCTGTCTAGAGATTTAAAACAAAGAATTGTGGACCATTAAAGAATTTCTTCAATACTCAGAAATAGGACCACAATTTACACCCCCTTAGAAATATCCTAAAACAAACACATTTCACAGGTCCGCTAAGAAGGTGTCCCATGTTTGGTCAATTTGTCACGACACATATCATTGGAGTGACATATTTGAATTGAGATATAAAATGCAGAGAGACAGCTGCTAATACAGTTTGCTCCGTACTGTCTCTCTGTGTGACAGTATTACCCAAAATGTGGCAAAGTGACATAAATCTGACCACTTGCCTACCACCCTTGCACTTACAAGTAGCTAGACTGCACTAAAAACTATCACCTGGAAGCCAGCTTTCCTGTCTTTTTGTTGTTAGCTGGGCGAGAACTCCATGCCTACTCCCTGACAGCTCAATTATTCTGCTACTCAGCTTCCTTCTGCAGATTTGAGAGAACGTGAATCGCTGCTCATTGCTCCAGACTTAGTCCAGCTGAGACCATTTGTTACATCTACCTGGCCACGGAAAACGGAGAAAAATGTAGTCCAAATGCTGACAAATATCTAATCCACAGGAAAAGTCCACTGCAGTGAAGCTAATTTTGGAACAAGGCTTAAAGTTATCCTAAGTTATAATTATTTGCCTTATTCACTGGTGGGAGATGTTTTCAGCATATGTCAAGTTTAATACAGGATAAAATTATTAATAATATTAGTATTTTTGGTCTTTATTTCCTAAAAGTACTATGGTTTCAAGTATATTCACTTTTGTCTGTGTTGTTGGACAAGTCAACGTGAAGTTCATATTTTTATTTTGCATTATATCATAGGAAGTGTGTGACTTAAAAGCTCTTTGCATGAGCATCAGACTTTTATAGAAAGAGACCCACACAGTCCATTCACAAGCTGACTTGGGGGCCGAGTGCTTGTGGTCTCCCCTTTTCACTCTGAGGGCAGCATGTACTAAATGTCTTTCATTTACTGAAAGAGAAAAAGACTGGCTAAAATCTACACTCATCTCAGGTCACCATGGGTTGACTTTTAAGTATCTGTGGGTAAAAAATATTCCAAACATGGGGGGAGGAGATGAAACTCTTCTAAGATGTCTTTAACAAGTGTGCAAATGGGCTTTCAAAGGAGAAAGCATGACTCTAGCTCCCAGTTCCTACAAAGAAAAAGGACTGGTAGATGTCAGGCTTGGCTGTATCCCTAAAGAGTGGTCAACATGAATGAGCTTGTTTTGTATACTTGAAGCTTATTTTGTCTTCTGAATCTAAATGAGCTAGATCCTAATTAAAATACAAAAATGTATTTTTGCTAGTTAAAATGTCCTAAAACAGAAAGCTTAGGACAAAGGTGTAAGAAAATAGATTTTAACTTTTTTTTTCTTTTTAATTTCCTTTGACCTTTTTGTCAGATATACATAGACACACAAACATACAGACTTATATATACACTTCCCACATACATCTTACACACTCACACTCTTCACATACACCTCACCCACACACCTCACCCACACACGCACACATCCTTCATCTGTGTTTCCATCTTTTTACTATATATATATTATAAAAAATTACATTCCCTGGATTCACTCTTCAATACTCGTTTTCTGGTCTTCCGATTAATGTGAGTGAAAACTACAAATGAAAATGGCGTAAGCAAACGTTTAGTTTACAATGGAAACTTTACTGACCTTCCTCAGTAGTACGGATTGTTTTTGATTCACTGTCCATTCCTTGGAACTCATTAAAATATGGCCTGACTTTAATTTCATAGGTCACCCCCTTTTTCAGATTCACCAGGACAGCACTCCTCTCGGTTGGGACTTTGGCATCGAGATTCTGCCATGCAGTGGAAGCTTGTAGGCCAGAAGTCTGACGGTACATCACTCTGTAGCCCTGAATGAACTGGGGCTGCCGATCCACCTGGAAAACGACAAAACAGTATAGGATAACTGATGGAAATTGGGAAGACATCACTGACGAATTTGCCCATCTCTGGCCTTGCCATGACCATCTGAATGATGCTAGGGGCATCTCAGTCATTTCCCTGCTTCTTATAAAGTCCTTAAATCACAAGTACACATTGTTATTTTAAGGTATTTTTTTTTAAAACGATGAGAAGGCCAATTGTCTCCATGTCTGAAAATATGTCATCCTATCTAAAATGGTCACACACGATCTACTAAGGTCCCAACTGATCATCTTTGGTTTCTCATTTGGTTTCCATTTTCTTGCATTCAACAATTCGCACTATCCTGGTTTTCGTAAATAATAGGCAATTTTCTCACATCAACTCATTCATTCCTTCTCATTTAGAATCTTCTGTTGTTCTTACTGACTGGTGCCAAGAACTATGCTGATTTCTGAGAGTGAAAATGGGCAATAAAGGATAGATCCTTATTCCTCTCATAGTCCATGTAGAAGGAGGGCATTAGTTAATAATTAGTCAAATAATATTAAAGTTACCATAACAAGTAAGCATAAGGAAAGGCTCTGAATGTGAGCACTGGGAATTAGAGGAGGGAGGAAGCTGAGGTAGATGGCAGATAACTTGAATGAGAGTGGAAGTCACTCCAGAGACAAAGCAAAGGATAAGAATTCATACATTCCTGCATCTGGATAAGCTGCATGAGAGATTAAGACTGTGAGTCCATCATGTTTAAAAGTACATGCTTGCTCTTCCCTGTTAACAGTATGTAATTCAAATTCCACCATTTCAGCAGCTGCTTCTTCCTCTAGTAGTCCCCGTCAACAGGTTTTGACAACTTCCATGTCTCTCCCTATATTAAACAGCAGCTATATTTTTTACCTATAGTCTGGGATTTTGTATTTGACTAGTAAAATCTTTTTACTTTATGACGCCTGGGTAACAGGTCAGTTGGAAAATAGTCAGTTTGGCAAGTTGAAAGTCTGAGCTAGAGTCTAGAACACGTGTTAAGACAACTACAACAAAAGCAAGCTCTGGGGAGGGGAGACCATGGGGATTTCTAGCCAGCCAGCATAGCCCATTTGGCAATATCTAGCCCTTTGACAGAAAAGGAGTGCTAAGAATAGTACCAGAAGAATATCAGTGCTGCATACGCTTCCCCCTCACCCCCTCTCTCAGAATATCACAGAGGCTGTTCTTTTCTTTTTTCTAAGAGAAACCTTTAAAATTTTTATTAGTTCCTTGAGAATGCCATGAAAAGTGTTTTAATCATATTCATACCTCCCCCAATACTTCCTGCATTTATATCCCTTCCCTCCCTATTCAACACTATAAGTTTTCTTTCCCTCTTTCTTAAAACCTTCAAGACAAATTTGTGTTGCCCAAATATTCAAGGATATCATCTTCTACTGGAGAGAGGTCAACTAATCAATGACTACCTATATAGAAAACTCTCGCTCTCTGCTAGCAATTGCCAATAACCCCATGGTTTGGGGTGGGATTGTGGGCTAGTACAGGTTTTGGACAGGTTGTCTCAACTGTTCCTTTTCTTAGAGGTTTTGTGTTTGCTTCAGTTACAGGGAGAAATGTCTTTTTTGGTTTTAACTATAGTAACAGCAAAGAATATCAAGTCATGTTGCTGGTTTACCTTGCTTTTTAAAGGCAAGATTTGAACATAAGCAATTGTAACTGCTTCCTCCATCACTAGCAAAGACTACGGGTATATGCAGTCTACCCCATGCAGTAGCCATATGCTCAGAAGCACAAAACCAGCCATTTCACTGTGAAAGTGTAAAGATTAGTGAACAAGAAATAAAATGACATAATTTCAAGACAGTCTCAAGGAAATAAAAAAGAATATGAGTTTTTTACTAGGGCTTAAAAATTCAATTATCAGCATGCTATAAACAAAAAATTCATAAAATAAACTTCTAATCTATTGTTTATTTGAGTATGGTTTATTTTGCGAGAAAGCAACAAACTGATGAATAATAGATCACGTTATTGTTTTTTAAGTATTAAAATGCAAAGCTTCAACTAAAACAATAAAACAAAGGTATATTTTTCTATTTAGAATGCCCTAGCTAGAAAATACATTTTTTTCCTTACAAGTACATCTTCAGCTGATAGACAAGTCTCCAAAACTAGAAATCCCTTCTTTTAGCTGACAGACTTTTAAACCCCAAAGATTCTCTGGATCATCCTGAAAACCAAAGATTCTCTGGAATTGGAATCACACTTTTATGAGGCTGTATCAAGAAAAATTAAGCTCCGTCTAATCTGGAGCCTCATGCATGACTTTAAAATGCTCAGCTATGCTACCAATTTGTGTTTATAACAACATGACATAATTTTTGAAAGCAGAACTTTCTCTAACATAAAATTAGGCAACCAAGAAACAAAATTTAAATTCATGAGAACCAGGGAGAATTGCCTTTCATCAAAACTGCCAGAGTTAAAAAAAAAAATTCCTTGCTGTGGATGTTAAAATAACATTAAGCTTACATTTTATAAACTTCTCTGAATTCCCTTTAAGTGAATTTATATACTGAAAGAAAGACATAACTCACAATAATAGCTTGTTAATACTGAAAGAAGCAAGCTGTGTTTTTAAGAAGAACATTAAGCAGCTGTTGGAGATGAAGGGAGTCTGTAAATCAGGGCAAATTGGTTTTATCCATGTTTGGATTTCATTAATTAAGTGTTTTAGGTACTTTATGAAGCTAATGTTTACTACACAGCATTGCTCTCTCACTCCAGTGAGCACCGCCATCGCCCAGTGGATAGTAATGCGCCACTTAATAACAAGAGTTTAACCTAATTTTGTGCAGTTGGGAGGCACTGCTTAGAGGGAGGGAAAATGTTGTTACAGGTGAAAGCAAACAGGGAAATGCTGTGAGTTGGCCTTCAAACCAATGAGCCATCACTCTTGCTCATCTTGACAGGCAACCTTTTCTAAGGTACGTTTTGTGCTTGCTAATAATCTTATGAATAAACAGGTTAGAAGATGGGCATTCTATTCTATTAGAATTTATTCCAATCAACGTCTAGTACAAATTCTTGGGAGTTTCAGTCCCTAAATTAGAAAAAAAGGGTAGTACTTATGATGCATTACTAAGGGGTTTGCCTCCTGGAGGAAGCAGAAGACACAGAGAACACCAGTCTCCAGTTGTGCCACCTGATTTGGTTTCTACCTTCACCTATTTAACTTTCTGTGTTCAAGAATGCTGACTTTCTTGAGATCGCACATGCCATGAGGGCATGAAATAGTAAATCATGAATGTAAGTAAATGTACCCTGTAGTCTGTGGGGATTTACAGAGCATTTATAGGTCATCTCTGCCCAGATAAATAAATAAATAAATATAAAAAAGAAGAAATAGGGTATTTTCAAATCCACATTTTTACTGAATTGCCAAAAGCTATGTTCACTTATACAGTTTCCTTAATAAATAGAAAAATAGTAAGAGAATAAAATCCTCCACCCGAACAGGAAACCCCAAAGAATTTTCTTTGGTGGGCCAGTTGCTCTGGCAATTGCCTTTGAAGAAGCACTCATTGCAGGCCAAGTGTCACGGTGCTAAAAGGAGGGCCTCTAATTCTTCTCTCCTTGAATCACAAGAACACTGCCCTAAAGTCATCATTTTTTTCAAAGCAAGTAATTTTTTTTTGCTACTTCATCTGTTGAATAGTATTTAAAATCATTCTTATTTACTGTCACAATATCTCTGTTCAGTTTTAGCAAATTGCCACTGCTAATTATTTACATTAACGTTAATCTTTGATATATCTTGAACGTGAATGGATTTTTCCAGGAAAAGAAAGTCATGGACAATTTTGTTGATTGACACCTAAAGGCCACTGTGAGTCACTTTGGGTGGCCTTAACACTAAACAGGAACTAAAATATTCTTGTCTTCACACCCTAGCACAACTGATACTAAAATACTGTGAGTTCAGTAATTTATGTAACCTATACAAACTGTCTATATTGTTGTTCTTTTATAAAAATTGCTACTTAACTAAATAGTATTTAAATATTATTTTAATGGCTCCTGTTCTAAGATACAATTCCTCAACAGTTCCCATTCTAAATGTATATTAAATTAATGCAATAATATTTTTGAAACCTAATAAACTAGCACACCTATGTGACTGAAACGTTTTTTCACATGTATAACATTTTATGGCACTTATTGTTAATTTTTTCAACTAAATTTGTGACTCTTTAATGACATTGAGGTCTAGAACAGGCTTTGTACTAAAAAACTGCCTTGGAGCCAGACTTGTTCAAAGTAATTAATATTGAGGGGAAACCCAAAGAATTGTCTTTTTTTTTTTTTACTGTGTTTTACATCTCAAATAGTTTACCAAGTAATTGATAAAAGTAAGTATGTTTTATCTCAACCTGATTGGTTGAGAAAGTTGGTATGAAGTGTGATAGAGTTGTTTCTCTACGGTGATCTGGATGTCAAGAGGTAAAAATACCAGATTAGTTTTTAAAACATGTTCAGCTATTTCCAAAACAATGACTACAGATACAGTTAAATATATTGTTACTAGTAATTAAAGAAATGAAAGTTGCACTCATAGTGATGCATCACTGTCTACCCACTAGAGTGGATACAACTTAAAAAAAAGAGCACATTAAGTGTTGATGAAGGGGAGAAAACTGGAAAAACTTTGGAAGAGGCCAGTATTCTATGAATTTACTAGCAAGAATATACGAACACTTAGGAAATATTTAGCAAGTTTAACAGAATGTTTAGCAAGTTTAACAGAATGTTAACTGTCAAGTTAACACATTGGTCAAAAGCCATGGGACTATACCAAAGAAAATGTCTGCATTGAAAATGATCTAAAAAGAGATATAGAAACATTAGTCACAGTAACCAATAAAATGAAACATTTCATAGGTTTACCAACTAAGTTGTAAAAGGAGACTATGGACTGTGCACAAAACAAAATATTAATATGACAATGTCATAAAAAAGTTAGATGTAATATATTTTATATCGGTACAATGCAAGGAATAAAGAAATAATACCTATTAGAACATGAGTGCAACTCCAACAACAATGTGCTGGACGAATGAAGCAAAATACAGAATGATTTCTGCGATTCCCTACAAAGCAACACTCCAGAATATATAAATCTATAGCAATGCTGCATTTACTGGGTGGAGAGGGGTAAGGATGAGTGCAGAATGGAATGATCACAATGGTAACAGGGTTTTAGTCTGTGATGATTTTAGCATTCCTAACTTTGATTTTGGTGAGGATATCAGAACACTCATCATGACAAAAGTATTCACTGTACTCTACAACTTTGGCATGTCAACTAAAGTTCAGTGAAGTTTGTAGAAGTAAGGATAGAGAAGACCTTATTTATATAACAACTTACTTTTAATTATAACTCTTCATACAATTTTATTTATTAAATATTTTCTTTGTTCCCATTGATTACATTTTCATTTGAAATGATGAGTGTTTTAAATTTAGTTTTGGGTTTATTTAACTTTTTCCTTAAAAGAAAATTCCAAAGAAATTGTGTTGCTGTATATAGAGACTAATATAATCTCTGAAAACTTACTGTCCACGTGACTTGAATGGTTGTAGGTGTCAGGACAACTGGAGTATGTAGACGAACAATGACGTCTCCTAATTCTTTCTGTACTTGTCTGTGGTCCACTCCTTGTGCTGGGGGACTGATATCTGTAGTAAGAGGATAAAACCACTCCTAATTACAAAATTCATTATTAAATTCTAGTGCATTTGACATAATCCAATTTAAGACTAACTGCCAGATGGAAAAAATTCCTCATGACATAAATCAGTTTGGTATACAAATATAAACACATGTATATAAATATGAGTGGATGCATGTATATGTGTATTCCATGATGGTATGCAATATTTATTATCTTTATCTTTATCAAAAAAAATTTATAAAAGAGTCTTTGTAACTCTACATTCCCACATGGATGTAATATTTTGGAAAATCACAAGATTAGAAGTTAGACTGGAGTCTATGTCCTAGTAACTTGCCTAGAATGACCATTTCTGTAGAGATGATAAGGCACTGAAGTATTTTTCAAGTTATATTTAAGACATATCTGAAACTGAATATTAGAGTTATCTTTAATTCTCTTAGCCTGATCAGGAGGTTGTGTGTTCCAACTCCTTGACCTGTATCCATTTGAGTCACAGTTTGATAAAAACACTTGAGAGAAAAAAAGGAGCACAGAGTGAAAAAAAGAACAAAGCAAATTTGAATCTTTCACAATATTGACAAACTTATAATAGTGGTAGAAAGTTCCCAAAATAATCAGTTTGGGCTTGAATTCCTTCATCTAAAAACAGGTCATATAGCTGCTTTATAAGAGCAAGAGGGAAAGCATAAATAAATAATGCTCCTGGAATGACACATGGTCAACCTTCATTACCATTTATCATACATAGTTTGCTTAAAAACTATTCTCTTACTTCATACAGTGATAAAATATATATCCCAAGGTCTTCATAAAAACTATTAAAAATTACACACATTCAAAGCCATCAATTTGATCTCAAGGATTAAACATTACTCATATGCAAATAGAACTCCTTAACCAACACACTTCAATGTCAAGATAAAGTTTTTCCTAAAGATATTTCATTTTTAAGGAGGATTTCCAATTCTAAGTGATTTTATTTTCTTAATTTCTTCTACCTTTTCCTCAGATTGTAATGCAATGCTCTCGCAAAAGTTTTGAAGCATAACTTGAGTGCGCTAACTTAAACTGAGACATAAATAGTTAGGAACCACATAATGTCACTTACTTTAATTTCCACTTTTTCATCTTCAGCAGAAACAACAAAGTAAGACATGAATTGACTTAGAACAATATGTTCCTTTATATGAATACTATTAACCTTTGTTGATATATGTATGGTCTACTGTGATATTTACCTAAAAGTATTTAAGAGGTTTAATGAAGTAAACAACTTTCAAAGTACATGGTCATTAAAGCCTTTGAAAGCTCAGACCTCAAAAGCCAACATGTGCTTTGTAAAAGAATACTTTACCGATTGCCAAACAGATGAATGTGTGACATCAAAAATAAATCTGACATTCAGTCACAAAACATGGCTTTTCCTATTAAGTGTCTGTTAAGAGAATATAGTTCTACAGCTCTTTGAAGTTTCTCGGCTGCAACATGCCAGATCACAAAAAAAAAAAAAAAAAAAAAAAAACCTTAATTAATCTTTGTGACCTTTTCACGGAGAGTTTTATTCTGAGTCAAAATTTAGTGACTGGCACAGCTACTGGAGATCATGAAGGTGTGCCGCCCTCTGTCACGTCACACCAGAGGCTCCACAGTCTTGTTTCTCTCCCTCAAAACTGCAGCTGCACACACAATGACCGCCAGCCACGTAGGTAGAGCGCATAGACATTCTAAAATTTCTTGAATTAAAGAAATCGCACATCCCTTCCATTTCACAGTCGTTTAATTTACTCACTCAACCCAGACACATTAAAAGCGGTTGCATAGGGATGAGGTAAAATGTAACGACTTTCAGGTCTTTAAAGTCTTTGTTGTGCTTTTTCTCTCTCTGGAGACAGGTTCTTTACCTACATACCCTTCATCATCATGGAAAATTAAGCACACTATGGCGGAGAGAACAAAAGCAAAGTATCATCCCCTCCTCCCTCAACTGTCACCATGTCAGCCACGTTACCATCACGTGGTGACTTTATTTGACTTCATTCCTTTACCGCACCCTTCTCTGTGATAATGGCATGCTAGTCACTACCCCGAACTACATTGTAATTATAATAATATTTTATGGCTGCATGGTGCTTTTTATAGCATAAAAATACTACTTTGAATTATATCTTGTTCAAAAGCTCTTACAAATAAGAAATAATTAACCCTCTCAAGAACCCTGTGGGGAGTAGGCTGTAACAAACAATAGAGGCCCCATTTTCTATTGTACTAACTTATTCTCTTCCTAGTAAGACGGGAAAGGATAATGCAGTATTCCATATTATACCCGCAGTTTAGTGACTTCTCAGCAGCAAAGGACAGATTACAAAAAGGGAGGAAAAAAATTCCATTTTGAAATTAATCATTTTAATATTATAGGAGATGTGGTTGTATGTTTGTCAGGAAAATCACCTGTGCCAAGAGGAAAGGTTTATTTATTCTTTTCTGAAATAAATATCTCCTTGAAATTTCTCATCAGAATAACAATATGGGGTAGCTGTTAAACATTGGCACTATACCATACTAAACATACTAACCTAACTCAGGACCCTGAGTGCCTCCTTTCTTTGGACTAGAAGCCTGATAATATATGTTGTACAGATTCACAGTCATTCAGATTCCTACTCAAAACCCACTAGGAAAGCCATCTTCCTAAAAAAATCAAAACAACAAAAACAAACAAAAAGCAGAAGCCAGAACCAGGAAAAGAAATTCTGGCACTCTTGTTTAGGTATCTATTTTTAAAGGGTTTATTACTTTTTCTATTGTAGAATAGAGAAGGAGAAACTTTCTTCTTCATTCAGGGACTACACATAGCTCCAAGTATTTGTTTGTTTCACCTATGTAGACCCTGACAGTTCTGAAAGGATACTTCAGAACAAAGTGATATGGAAACATTTCCTTGCAAGGGCAATCCCCCAGAGAATTCTGCACAATTAGTGTACACACATGCTCTTTGCTCATGCAATTTCCATTATTTTAAGTTGATGTACCATCCCAAAGCCATTATTTAAAACAGTTACTGAAATTACCTTGTGTGCGTACTGGATCCGACATAGGACTTGGGTCACTGAGACCTTGAGGGTTGATTGCTCTGACCATGAACAAGTAGATTGTATTGGGCCTCAGTCCTCTCACAGTATAGAGAGTTGTCTTAACATGGTTGGCCACCGTTTGCCAGCTATTGCTCACCGACTGGCTGAAAATGGAACAGAAATGGGTTTAAAGACTAGTCATAAAACTATATCAAAATGGAGCTGAGTGTCAGTGACAAAGGTCAATGGCTGAAAATTAAACACACACACATACACAACACTGGAAGTGTCCAGCCCAGTAATGAAACATTTGGATGGATTCATTTTATTCAACCACAAAGCCAAGCCCACCTAACAGAGTGCCATGCACAACAAGATTAAACTCAGTCCAGAAGATGTGACAGCCCTTAGCTAAATGCACAGCAGCCCACTAAATGAATACCTGTAAAAGGAACAAAGGCCAAAATCACAACTTCAAGGTTATACAATAAATGTGGTCCTTGTAAATGTGTATGTATATACCTTGCAAAGAATTAACCTGCAGAAAGAATAAATGGGCTACAGAGTAATATATGCCAATACATTTTCCTGTAACAAGGTCTGTTTTCTTTTGCATCAATTCCGCATGCAATTTTATAATAGAGCCTTCTAAAACTACATATCTGTAAAAGAAGAAAGGAAGCATGTAATGAATATTTTTTCCCTTGGTTACATCTTTAATAAAATGTACATTACACAGTATTGTGATCTCTCATCTCTAAATGATGAAGTATCAGATTCTGTGTATGGACCCTTTTACAACTAGCTCCAATGGATGCCATTTTAGAACACTATGCCTAAGGTCAAACGCGATTATGATAAATTTAATTAAAAATGTTACTTTTATGTCCTTTTTAGCATCAAAAACATCCTTAAGCCTTAAACAAAAAATAATGAAAATTACAATTTGAAAATATGTATGTCATTAACTTTAAAATTGAACAGAAAAGCTTAACATAAAAAGGAATCATTTGTCCTGATTCTGAGAAAAGACTGTGGCTTTCTTTCAGACTGTGTAATGTCAAACAAAAGCATAGTGAAACAGAATGTAAAAATACAGCACGTACATTTTTTTCCATTTTTACTTTATCAAGTTTAGAATAAATAATATAATGCAGTGATTTATCAACAATACCTGTAGCCAGGACAACTCTTTCACAAAACACACTGAAATGTCTTTTCATTCAAAAACTAGAAGCACATGGAATTGATATCTTAACTTTGGTTTTCAGATTTCTTGCAGAAATAACCAATAGATTTATTCAAGAACACGATATAAAAAATATTGGAATTATTCTATATTTGTGATCTAATTACTAATATTCCCAAACCTAGTGTGACAATATATGCCACATAACATTAATAAGTACATATGTCTAGTTATGGTGTGTTCTGTTTAGGTCTAGTGTCCTATAATGATACATAGGGTTTAACTTAGCTTTAAAGAAAAATGAAATTCTGAAATCACCAGAAAAATGAATGGATCTGGAAAGTATATTATTAAGCAAGGTGGCTTAAACTGAGAAAAATACATGCAATTTCTCTCTCAAATATGGTACCTATTCTCTAATGTGTGGGATGTGTATACAAATATAAATATAAGTGTATATATATATACATATATGTGAAGAAACTTAAAATATTAGAAGGTATCTGGGAGAGTAAAAAGATAAAAGATAGAAAATATAGAGTATAGGCAAAAGGGGATGTGTTATTGCATGTATACACACAATGGTCAGGAAAAAAAGATGGAGCAATTATGTTACAAAATACCTCTTTATTTTAGAAATAAAAATAAGGAATGAATTTTTTTTGTTTTTTTGAGACAGGAAATGAAAATCTCATATCTATTTTTGAATAAAATAAAAAAAGTAAGTGGAAATTCTTCAAGAACTTGTCCTTAACATAAGGTATCAGAGCTGCTCAAGTGAAATTGAAGATTCAGTAACTAAGACAGAAGTCCAGTGGAGAAATGAAACAGGAATTGCCTCATACCTGAAAGCCTCAATGATATATGCACTTGCTGGAAGAACTCCAGGTGTACCTGGTTGCCAGGATAAGGTAACACTGTTCTTAGTAACATCAGTGACCTGTGGTTTGGATGGTGGCCCCGGCAGGTCATTTATATCATAATTTTTACTGATAGTTGCTCCAGATTCTGTAGAGGACAGACAGAGTAAATTTCGTTCCTGATTTTGTAAGCAGACTATAAAGCTCGAGAGAAGGGAACACTAAAGAAATTGACTTGACAGTGTGCACTTCGTCTTCATAAATCAGACAGTTATAAGCTATTAGTTGGTTTTCCAACATGCTAATAAATATAGTCTTCCTTTTCATGCACAATCAGTGTAATCACTTGCATTTCAGAAGAAATCAAGCAACAAGGTCATGAGTTACAAATGCATGGAGTTCCTCAGATGCCATGCCATGTTCCACCTAATGTTCGAATACAAAATTGACGTTGTGGGAAGTAGAAAAAGACAAGATCTTCTGAGTAAATTGTGAGCATGGGGACCATGGGAGAGGGTTGAAGGGGAAGGGAGAGAAAGGGGGGAGCAGAGAAAAATGTATAGCTCAATAAAATCAATCAATAATAAAAGACATTGAATGTGACAAGTTAGATTTACATCCAATGCATATAAAATCTAGATCCAGCATTACATTGCGATTTAAATCTGACTCTCATTAGGAACTCACCTGTTACATCCAGCACGGCACTCCAGGAAGTCTCTCCACTTGAACTTGTAGCCACACAAGTATAAGTGCCAGTATCAGAAATCTAGACACGGAAAGAAAGAATTCAATTGTGATCAACTTGTAATCACTCAGTCTTGATCAGGCATGAGAGTCAAACACGTGTATGTACAAGAATTTTGTTGTGTGTGTGTGTGCTCACGCGCGCATGCATGTGTTTGGCATTAAAACAACCTTTTGTAACAACATTGATTAAGTATTTTTCAAAATGATATTTATGAAACTAAATATAATTTGTCTGATAAAGTTCATTAAGTTTCCCTGCCTCCACTGTAATATGTGCCTTTTAACTTCATGTTCTTTGGGATTTTTTGTATCAGTGCCAGATATTAATAAGCCAACTTAGAATTCATGAAGAATTCTAGATGAATGCAATCCTTCGTAAATGCAATGCTGGCTTTTCTATTTCATAGAAAACATATTTTAATAGATAAAAGCATCTAGTACTAAATAGATAATGAGACATCCACACCTCTAAGAAGCCTATCTTTTGTAGTAATATAGTATCTTCTTTCATTTAAAGAATGCATTCTCTACTTATAAGGAAATGCCATAAATGTAATACCCAATATCAAAGTGGTATAATCTCAAAACAAAAAAAAAAATAAAGGGAAAATTTTCATGGAGCCTTGCCATTTTGAAATAAATATAATCAGAAAACAGAATCAAATGCTGAGTAAAACATCCCAATTCACTGATGATTTAAAATGTCTTTGTTTCTTATTGAAGAATGGCCAAGGACTTTTAGAATTATTGAAAGCATGATCAAAAACTGTCTTTTACAAAAGTAAAAATAAGAAAAAGAGAGAAAAGAAAATCTTATCAAAAGAATTCCTGAAGATCAATAAAACATAAAACTCAACGATCCTCCTGGTGTTTGGGGTCTGGGAGCTTGCGGTGCCAACATTTACTGTCAATAGGTTGGTGGAGTAGGGAAAATAGATGCGAGCAAAAGACAAAGGACAGTTTAAAGCAGGCCAAAGATGCAGAATTTAAGTTCCATGATGAACATGAGTCTGTTTATGATATGTAGTAGATTACAGAATATCACACCTTCAGGTTTAAAATTATTCTAAAACTCTAAGAGTCATTGATTCTCAGATAAATCATTAGTATATGAAGTTACTGTCACGTTATCATTTTAATTGATTTTAATGCCATTATGTATTTAACTGTCATTTGAAAATGTTCTAGCTTGTCACTCTTTTCTATATGATTTCTGTAAAATTGTCTTCTATCTTGCAGGGATGATGGGAGTAGCCATCGTAGAATAATCCATTCTTTCAAATGTGGCTGCAAGTGCATTATAGTCATTAGGAATCTTTGCATTTAAGAAGCATCACTCACAAGCTAAATATAATGAGCTGAAGTTGGATTTTAATGGGATGTTCATTTGAATATGGACTGTGAACGTGTAAAAAAATTTGCATTTTATTATAGCTGTTGAACTAAATTGTAGCACTTGTTATTCTGTGTAAAAAGAAGAGTAGGTAGGTAATGTATCTTAACTGCATCCCCTTGTCATTGTGTGGAGATACGAGCCTGACATTAGCTGTGGTAGGTAGGTTTTAATGAGTATTGGAATATTCAACTTCTCAAAAGATACAGATTCAGATACCAATTAGCCGGACTAGGAGAACTTAGCATCCATCATGCTATTTTGTTCTCTTGCCTTATGCATTGAAAAAAGAAATCATGAGACACAAAGGATCTGACCTATAGGAAACCTCTCGACGACACCAATGAAGTGGTAAAGCCTGTCTTAATCCTCCTTTAACAGCATCCATTGTACAGAAAAAGAACAATGTGCTCAATTTGGCACCGATCAAAGCCCAAATAGCTTTGGAACCTCACTTTTGTGTTGCTATGATCACCATCACCGTGTTCTTTCTTTGTGCTTTAGATAGGACGTTTTCTGATCAAGAGTGCTTCACTTTCTTTCTCTCCTTATCCTTGCATCCTTGACCAGTTTCTTTTAGCAGAAATGAATATGTTAGCGCACTCTGTCACCCCTTTTCTCCTTGGACAGTTAGCTACAAACAAGCCTCCTGGGGATGACTTCTCAGAGACACTATTCAAAGACCTGTGCAAGGAGTCAAAGCTTGCTTGACATCATCAAGCCTCTACCTTTAATTACTTCTCTCTAACATTCCTAGGGATCTTGACTATCCATGCACATGCGTCCTTTAATGCAGCAGGACAGTAAAAAAGCATTAACCTTCATGGCCCAAGTCTGCCTTTATCTCAGAATGAGGTTAAAATGTTTATGCAAGGAGAGCTGTTATGAATTTCTTAATAACTTCAATTTTGTTCAAAGAAAGCTAGCTAATTCAGGAAGAATTTTTAAAACTCATATTAAAAAGAGCCCATGTTAATTTACTTTCTGTTCACAGAGCTTGGCAGTATTTTTTACCTACACAGTTACAGACACCTAATCATAAATAAATGTGTCAAAAACATACATTGGAGAAACGACAGTCTTTTCAAAATTAGGGAAATCATTGCGGTAAGCAAAATAAGCCAGACTCAGACAATTCCTCCATGTTTTCTTTCATATGTGCAGCCTAGATTTAAATTTGTCTATGTATGTGTGTATGTGTGGGGCAGGGTAAAGAGATTTTTAAGGAAGGAATAATTAATTTTTTAAATAAAGTTAAGATCATACTTACATGTACTAAAGTTTATAAGTTTTGCAAATATATGTATGGTATATTGATCAATTACCATATATATGTTTAATTGTAAATATATTGCATCCTAAGAAAGGAATCATCTTCACTGGAAAATACACATCAAAGCGTTTTAACTTTAGCCGTGGCTTCTGAACATGAATTTTCAAGATTCAGCAAATTTGTATATTCTTCATTTTATCTACTTATTTATCTATTATCTATCTTTCTATCTATCTATCTATCTATGTATGTATCTATCTATCTATCATCTACCTATCTATCTACCTACCTATCCATCTATCATTTATATATATCTATATACAATCTATTTATCATTTACCCATCTATTATCTATTTGTGTATCTATGTATTTATCTATCTATGAATGTATGCATGCATGTACGTATGTATGTTTATCTATCTATCATCTGTTTATCATATATTTATCTATATCCATTTATTAGCTATCTGTCTATAATCTATGAATCGATGTATGTATCTATCATCTATCTATTTGATGTATATGATATAGGTGTGTCAAGGCTTTTGTTGGAAGATGACAGGAAGCTTGAAGCTTCAGTTCTCTCCCCTTTATCTACGTGGGTCTCAGTGATTGAACTCAGATCATCAGGCATGGTGGCAGGTGTTTTCACCCACAGAGTCATCTTGCCTGATGACTCTATATTTTTTGTTTATTTGTTAAATTACTTTCCTTTGTCTTGGTTTTCCGTTTCTGCCCAAGTGTCACATTTTACTAATCATTCTTCCACTAAATAATTACCAATATTTTTATATAGTATCTCATTTCCTATCTCACTTCTGGCTTCCATCCACCCAGGCCTGTGATTATTTTAAAATATTGCTCTGCTACCATGTCTGATAACTCTGGTTGCGTGGGTGACTTTATCATACATAGCTGAGTGATTGAGCTGTGCTGTGAGCAGACTGGCAACCCTTATAGTAAAAACCTCCAGGTTTTCACTTCACTAATGTGGAGATGATACCTTGAGAGTGGTTTCTGATCAGTAACATACTTGAAGGAGGTTTCAGCTACTCTATCTGAGATTTAATGCCATGAAACTGAAATGCCCACTTTCCTCGGCAGCTTTCAAGTGGACTATCCTCATAGTCATATAAGCACACATATTAGGAAAACCCAGGTAGAAAAAAACTAGAGGCTATCACCAGACAATGCTCAAAAGAAGGTGGATAGTTAATTTATCCATCCCAAGAAACTTGAGGTAACCAACAATCATACCACAGTGTTTGGAAGTAAATCTATCTTCCCTTGATTTTCTGGCAAGCCCCTAACCCTAACGGGCAGGTAATCACAGCACTGCAACACGTGTTAGTCCTAGCTAAATCATGCCATTGTTTTAATTTAATTTTTTAACAGAAATTGTGAGAAAATAACTGTGTCTTGCTTTAAACCACAGTTTTTCCTAAAATGTTATTAAAATTAGAAGAAAATTAATACAACATTCGGAATCGCAAGCTATGTTCAGTCATCTTTGATGTAAATCCAACTTGTCTCATTTTGAGCCACGGTCATTGTCTTTCATGTACATTCAGATAAAATACCTGTGACTTTTTCTCATCTATAGGCATAAATAGGAAATTTGTAGCAACCTAAATAAAAACTAAGGACTTTGTTCAACTATCCAAACATGCCTTATATGAACACAGTCTCATTCTTTTATTCTTTTCATGAAATCATTTGTTGAGCCAGTTTACCCACATAAACTCACAGTCTTTCTTGATTTTGAGAGTAAATTTAGCAGCATCTCTTATTGTCAAATGATTTCAGCTCTCTGCTACTCTCCAAATTTTCTGTAAAAGGTTTGTAGTCCCACTATTGGGAAGAAAGCTGAGTCGGGGCTTGCTTTGTAGGCATGAATATGGGAGTTGGGTCCCGAAACCCACTTAAAAACCTAGGAATGGTGCTGTATGTGTGAGAGCCCAACACTGAGAATATCAAGAATAGTGGGGTTCTGGGCTCTGTTCTCAGTGAACTCAAGTACCAAGGGAAACCCTGACTATTCTCCACACTCCCTGTTCAAGGAATGCCCTGGTGAAAGTATTTTGAAGAAGGAATGAGGTTGTCCTTTAATTTCTAAATGCACAAATGAACATATGCATGTATTCAAACATACATACAGAACAAAAAATTAAAGTAATATATAAGAACTTTAATTTCACTGAGGACGTGCATATAGACGAACAAGGGAAACTGATGAAAGGACAATGATAGCCTTCTTCATAATTTAAATTAACCATAGTTAAGACAAGAAATAACAAGACCTATCATAAAAAGTACAGTGATCATGCTGAGGTGTCAGAATTGGTTTTAGTACACTGTATGCGTCTTTAGAGCAAGGCTGTTGATAAGATGAAGGGACAATAACAAGCCGAATCCTACATACCCGTAAATTCTTAATTTGCAGTGTTCCTTGTTCCTGGATCGTTGCTCTTGGATCTCTACCCAGAAAGGTGAAGCCCTCCTTTAGCCAGCTAATGACAGGAAGAGGGTCTCCAGTGGCTTTACATTTCAGTAAAGCTGTCCCATCTACTGCAAGTGTTTGGTTTATTGGTCCTTGCAGGATTATGGGTGGAGGTCTATCTGTCAAAACTAAAAGGTAAACATATATTCAGGAAATTTAGACTTCTATGACACTCGGTAGTCATGATATATTGACATTGAATGGTAATAGTAAACACCTAAAGCATTTTACAATTATTTATAATGTACATAGTCTTTTCAATATCTATATTTTCCACCCATATACAGTGAACATATATATATATATATTGCATAAAGATCATACTATTGTCTTAACTTACTGTGCATTCATTATAATTAAAATGATTTGAGGATAAATTTTGACATTTTAGGAAGATTAAATTGTATTGAAGAGCTTAGTCACAATGAAATTAAAGTAAAAATATAGGTAGGTTCTAGCTGTTAATCGTAAATTGTTCATTTATTGTTCATAGACACACTTTTTAAAAACTATGTGACATATTGCATGTAAGGCTAATCATTTTGCTTTTCATTATAAATACATGTGTATTATATAGATGAGTATTCATAGCAGCTGATGAATGCTATATTTACATAGACTGATGTGTTTTGTGCATGATAAAACATTAAAACTTAAATAATTTATACACAAAGTCATGCCATTCGGTCTTTAAACTATAGTCATGTCATTTGAATGAGTTCATTGAGTAGATACATACAGATAATAAGAAGAAACTAGTCAGCAATTTGTATGGCATGACTAAATTCACACAATTAGTATTTACATTCAGCATAATGTCACAGAGTTATAGCACAGAGTGTTTCCTTGTTTGTGGAACATCATCCTATAATAGAATATTTATTGTTTTAAGAAATATTTCAAATGATATAGAAGTTTTAATGTCTGACATGGAAGAAAAACAAAATTCTTTGAATATTATGTTTATTTAAGAATTCACCAGATTATCATAAAATCAGTATGATATGCTCAATTAAAAATAATAACTTTTAGAAACGAAATATCTATAGTAGGATAGACAACACATATTTTTGTTTGTTATAAGTTTGTATACTTTCTTTTTCTATAACCATGCATGATTATCTAGATGGATACATATATATATATGCAATGTATGAACAAGCACACAGTGTATCTTATTGAAATCATATTAAATGCATAATATATGCAAATACTTGATAAGGACCAAACAGTTGTAATTGAACTGAAATCAGGTCATAGGTCCCTACATGTAAGAATGCTCTGACTTCTGAGCAACAGGTACCTATGATTCCAATTACTTAAAACCTACAAGAAACCAGACCACAATGATTTACTTGTAACAAATCCAAATTACAACTTCTTGTTTTATCTGTTTTTCTTATATTTAGGAGTAAATAAAATAATTTAATTGAATAAGGATGCATAGCATTATAGTAATTGTAGCAGATCTGAAAATAACTGGACAAATGGAAGCTTAATGGAAAGGCTTACAGGTTTTCAAGTTAAATTCATGTCATAAAACATTATAAATAATTATATAATCAAGGGAGAAAATGTGTCTTCATTACCCAAGTAAAATGTGTTTATCAAATTTTAAATGCTGTGGCCTATCTGCTCCAGGTTAAATCGCGATGTCGAATTCACAGTAATTTCTTATAACCTGCTTTTATTGTCCTATTTCTGACATCATCAGACACAACTAAAGGTCAACTAATTAGAATCCCCCTCTTTGTTGCACTACCTAAATAAGTAGCTCATTGCCTTTTGAATGACTCCAATCAATAAGGTAATTGAAAATCTCCCAGCTAGAAGGAATTTCAGTGGCAGGGATGTTATGTCTGGAAGATGACCACAGCTTTCCATGACACCCAAGTCAAAGGTTAAATGAACATTTAGGATTTTCACTGACCTGTGAAGAACTCTGTGGTCTTCTTTAACTACACATTATAAATCCTTAGTAAAACATTCAGATAAGGCCACAGTGTGACATTTATTGTCAACATAAAGTGGAAAATGTATTTTCTTTCTATGGGCTTTTTACGTGCTGTTGGCTTTACCCATAGAGTGGTCATTACAATTTTTTTTTTTAATTTGGAGTAAAAACATTGGAGACTCAAAGAAGTGAACTTACTTCAAATTAATGATATGTAAGGATAAAAATATATTTTATATATTTAAAACATGAATATATTAAATACATTGGTCCAAATGTCTTATTTTTCAAACATATGTCTAGACTTTTTTGTGGTAGAAAACATGAGGTACATGTTCTGTACATGTACAGCCTACAGCCTCAGCCTTTCTCTAGACAGTGTCTGTCTGTACTGCCCAGCCATGCATCATTCTGGCACAGACTAAACTGAGCCTTGCCATAGATAGATATTAAAAGATATTGTCTTTCTATTAATTTTAAATGGCTTTTTAATCTGCATGTGTATTTGAAGTATAGGAAAGCACAATGACTTTCACAAGAATAACAGAAAGAAAATCTGGGAGTATGCAGTTCAAGAACCCTGTATCTCAGAAACTACCCTGAAGAAGGATAAAAAGCCAAAAGTAAGGCAAAAACTAACAAAAATAAAACAAAAAAAATGAATAACTTTTAATTTAAGACATCTATGATCGGGAAAAATTCATGTTCACAGCTGTCACATTATCTAAATCTCCCTAGCTGTCAAGTGCAATAAATAAACTATTGGTGAAAAACTCAGACCCTTTTCAACTTTTAGTAGAAATTAAAATTCAAAGTACAAATGTGAAAGTAAAAAAATAATAATTTTAGCATTCATCACTACTTCAGAATGTTTTTAATTAATTTAATTTAGTGAGTGTATAATTAAACTTGGAAGAATATCATAATATGATTAGCTAACTAAAATCTCATGTCTGTTTACTGATAAAATTTAAAGATGATATTTCCTATACTTTAGTAAAATAAAAGTATTAATAGCTATTAGAAGCAGTCATGCCAGGAAAACATTCAATTAAAACATACAGATGAGATTTGTAACCACAATGAGTCACATTACTTGTTTAAAATAATGCACCACTGCAAATTTTAATGGTCTAAATAGCTGTCTTTGAGATTCTCTTTTTTGTGGGGGATGGGTGGTATAAAATCAGAGAGAATTAAAAACTATTAACAATTATTACTTTACTTACGTAAACGATATATACTTACTAAGGCAAAGATATTCTGTAGACACCTATACAAATGATTCAACCACTCAAAAGTCTCCAAGCCTGATGTGTATAACTAAATATAAACATACTCATGAGAAAACTCGTGATAAATCTCACCATCGGTAACCTCCAACTGCGCTTTAGCTAAGATGCTTCCTGCCACTGTTAAGGCTTGACAGATGTAGTACCCCGCATCTGAACGCTGGATGTTGGTGATGGTGAGGTCTCCAGAGGGGGACACTGAACTCCGGCTAGTGGGTTGCTGAGGTTGGTTTGGGAAAAGCAGGTTCTGTGGGAAGAAAAAAAAAATAAGACAAAACAAAACACAAACTCTTCAGTGCTTCTCTCTCCACAAGGAAAGTCACATTAACAACAACTACAACCACTGTTGGCATATGGTTGGAAAAATAAAACTTAGAGACTTAAAAACACATAGTATTGAAATGATTGTGTGTACCACAGTCAGTTTGACTGGGAAAGATTTTCCTAGTCATAGCTTGTGAGCTATAAAGTCAGCATGATGTAGCTAGAGGAACAATCGTCTGTGCTTCTTAAAATTCAGTACTTTTTTTAAATTTAAATTTGGATTTGGACCTCATTCTTACAGTTTTATAGCCCACAGAAATACTATTCTGATGCCCGACTTTCAAGGCACCGTAAGGATGTGATAAGTAGGGAGGTAGTTTATAAGCTGGACAGTGACAAGCAATGCCAAATACCATTGTTGTTGACCAATTTGAATATGTCAGCACACAGATCTGAAAGATATTGACCATATCAGGGTCATTAACATAACTATATATCAACTATTTACACCCTAATGTTTCCTAGTTAAATATTTCATCTTTGCAATCTAGTGCTCATAATTAAAATAAACAGACGAAATACTATTCTGATGCCCGACTTTCAAGGCACCGTAAGGATGTTGACTGTAATGATAAGTAGGGAGGTAGTTTATAAGCTGGACAGTGACAAGCAATGCCAAATACCATTGTTGTTGACCAATTTGAATATGTCAGGACAAGTGCTAAGCAGTCTATAGTGCACACTGATTGAGGGTGGCTTCTATCTGTGATAAGTTTTCCACTGTAAGCCATAGTAGATTCCAAAAGAACTATGAAAAAAAGAGACAATTTAAGCAAGGTGAAGTAACTTGTGTAAAATAATAGAGACTATGGCATGGCTCTGAAAGTGCCATATGAGTCCCCTGTGACCTTCACAGTGTCACTTCCTTCTAAAAACTGTTTGCTGCCCTCTCCATTAAAGCCTGACACACACCTCGGACTGCTCAAACACGAGAACTCAAGGTTCTTCCAGGAGAATAGGATCATTAATTTGGATGACCTATGATGCTTTACTGTTGTTCAATTAAGAAAAACATGTGGCTACAATAAATCATACCGAGGTATGTTTCTAGCTCCATTATAAATAACAGCATACCAATTTTTATGTTGTATTTACTTACAAAAAAAGAACATTAGAACCCTCTGGGATCTGTTTGCAATATAGTAATTAATTTTCCAGGTTTGTAATTAAACAATTTCAATAAGTTGAAATTTGAAGGTAATAACATTCAATTAAAGGCACAAGACACATTTTCACCTTAAAATATTTTTACCCTTGAAGTAATGCCAGTGGAAGAGGATAAAATGGGGTATTAACACTTTTCAATTACGCTAAATGACTTTAATCCAGCAAATGATGTCCTACTTTAATTAGAAGCTCTTCTCTTTATTGCGACATGATGGATGTCCACTTTATTAGATTCAAGTGTGACACTATAAGCCCACTTTACATAAACATTACCATGCTATTAAATGCTGTCTAAAAGGAGCAATGTTTGCCAGCATATCAGCAATATGATTTAAAAATGCTGTTGCCCTCTTCTCAAAGTTATTTTACTACACAACGCTAGGTGTTTTCATATTCTTGAAAGATAATTTGAGAACAAACTAAATCTCCTGTGGAACCAAATATAATACAGATATAAGCCATCGCCAAGAGAAGGGCCTAAAATTTAAGGGCAATTGAAAATGCTACAATGTGCACTTTTCAACGATTAGCCATTAGAATACTAATTTACATTGCACTAATCCATCAGAGGGCCTAATTGTCCCAGGATCTCTTCCTCTTCAGTGTAATATCATTCTACCTTCTAAATGACTTGTTGACATGGAAAGTGGCATTTGATTGAGTTGAATCTATCATCTGTATTCCCAGGTTGTATGACACAGGCAAAAGTAATGGATTACAAGTCAAGCCCAGGAACTCTGCAGAGCCCTGGAAGTGTTTGAGAATCTTATTAATACTAATTGGCATTATCAGCACATATTGAAGAATATGGACCATTAAGTCTAGGCTCGTAGCTCTTTCGACTGATGGATAGGGACAGATCACTATAAAAATTGAATACCGGAAGCAGGAAGATATTTTGATATGTCTCAATTCACTGAATTTTGATAATGTCAATTAATTGAATGGAAATTTACAGCTTGTTCAAATATTTCATCATTATCCTTATTCACTTATTCTCTTTTTTCACTCCCATTGCAGATATATTAGTGAAAGAAATAAAATTATATCTAATATTATAAACAAATCATCATACCTAATGAGAAATTTTATGTAAGATTATTAACAATATCTCTAGAATTAAATTTCACTTTGTCAAACAATACAGACGGAATACTTAAATTCTCTTGACAATTACTTTTCAAAGTCACTGATGATTGTGTTAAATACTCTCTGTTGATTGGACCAGATTACCAGCGTACATTTTGACTTGTGTTAGAGCTATATTAGGGAGATTTGTAGGTGTATGAAATTATTTTAACTTATATCTTTAATTAGGAAAAGGGCATGTTTCTTTTAACATGCTTTATAATTCAATCTGCAGTAAACTTTTTTTTTATTTCAGAGTTACTGAACTAAAATAAAAATTAAACTAAAATTAACTCCTGAGGAGAAATTCATCCCGTGCAGTTTTCAGAAAGCATGTCACTATCAACTGTGGACGTTTAGAGAGATTTCATTACCCCCTCCCCCAACTTCTTTCAGAAGTTGGAGTGGCAAGTGAACATGCTGAGAAAAAGCACTGAGTGCTTCTTTTTGAGAAGTATGTGCCTTGTTGAGTTATTTATAGCACCGTCAGAATGAACACACAGCTCATTTCAAAAGGAATGTGCAGACAAGTTCTCAGGCTAAGTTCCTTATTTTCTCATCTACATCAAGATGAAAATTTGTATTCCCTCAATCAAAAAGCTAAACCCTTCTTTATAGTCGATCCAAATTTTACTTAAGACGAATAATGTACCCTGCTGAGTTTTCCGAAAGACAGTGATAGATGTTTTTGCTCAGAAGGATCACAGCAAAGACAAGATAACTGTTTCCCATATAAAATGTGTTGTTTCCTGTGCATAAGGGAAAAAAGGAAGAAAAGAGTTCTTCCACCTTTAAATGGAAGTGTGCTGAAGTCTATAATCTTTTTATATTGCCCAAACATGGGGAGGGGGTTGAAAGTAGATTCAGTGACAATTAATATTGAATTTTCAAGAAGCCATTTCATTTCTTATGAGCCAAGGACTGTTCTAGGCCCTTCGTATGCAATACAATTAATCATAACATGCAACTGAATGCAACAAGGCAACATGACCTTTGCCATCAGAAATTTTAAATAGGTTGGGGCTCAAACTATTTTATTTCTCTTTTTTCTTATAGACAGTGTTTAAAAACTAACACTGGCAAATAAAGAGTGTTCTGTTGGATCACTTGACATCCAGTTATTTCAGAAGCATTTCTTTCTTAGAAACAAAATCCAGTGAGGCATTGATAGCAGAGGAGATGAGGCAAGCTCTGAGGGTCTTTGAGAGGCGAGGTCCAGAGATATCACAAAAGCAGTTAAGCCCCCACTCACCTGGCTGCCTTCTTTCTGCCAAAAAACAGCTGGCTGTGGGTTTCCTTTCGTTTCACAGGGGAATGTCACTGTCCGGCCCTGTGCAACAATCTGATCTCTTGGCCTAACCACAAACTGTGGAGGAGCTAGAATTTGAAAGGAAAGAAAGTGTAAATATCAACCTTCAACAACAATGAAAAAGATATCAAAGAGAAAAATCAGGTCCTCCGTGAGTAACTCAGAGACAAAGCAGGGTTCCGTGTCTTTACTTACTTTCGTGGATTTCTATCAACACAAGGAAAAGAAAGAACACACTCTAAAACGTGAGGAAATAAGCAAGGTTATTAGCACACATACTCTAAACACTATGCATTATCCTCCTATGTCATAAACACTTGCTTAGAAAAATAGTCTCCTCATGTTTCTAACATTCTCAAGAAAAAAATGTACTTTTCAGTTTAGATCTGTATTGTGAATGGATCAAGACGAAAAAGGGTCAGCATCTTAAACAACTATCTCCTTCCTCAAAAGTCAAAGTATCAGCACACAGAAATTTATAATGTTTAGGGGATATTTCTGAGACATAGAAATAACTAGAAGGTCTAAAATGTGATCCAGATTCTCATCAAGCACTTGAACAATCAAGGCTTGGCAGGGAGCACTGAGATACTTGAGAGATGGGGATTACATACAAAGGTAACTAGTAATGTAAACATGTGCACTGAAACAGTTGGTTTTGTTTTTGTTGTTTTTGATTAACCTTAGTTCAGTAAGCAGTAGTCAGGCAAAGGTATGTTCTCCTACTGGGCACTATAAAGTTAGAGATGAAAAGCTCAAGGAGTTCATAGCCTTGAGAACCAAATATCAATGAAATTTGATGACACAAACAAAGCACACCTAACAATGATGAAGAATGTGATGAATACATAGGGGGCTTCTCAGAGCACCTTAGAAGAACACATCAATTTATATTGCATATAGCAAATGTAACAAGACACGAGAGTGTAATCTCCTATATTACAGCATTTTTGAAAAAAAATCTTTGAATAGAAAATGAGCATTATAAGAATATTGATCCCAATTTTGTCCCCGGCAATTTTATCTACTTCCCTTAGCCAAGAGGATAACTATATGTTTTTTCTTGGGTTCACCTTCTTCTTTAGCTTCGTTAGGTTCACCAGGTATACACTCCGTGACCTTTATTTATGGCTAGAAGCCAATTATGAGTGAATACATCCCATGTTCATCTTTTTGGGTCTGGGTTACCTCGCTCAGGATAGTGTTTTCTATTTCCATCCATTTGCATGCAAAATTCGAGAAGTCATTGTTTTTT